TAACGAAGTTGAGATTCTCCTACTTATATAGAGGAGGCTGCGGAGTCTTGCTGATTCATCGGCATATATTGGTTGATAGAGTCGCCACGCGCTGTGGTTAACATGGGTGCGGTACGCAGTGACTGGTGGCTCTTGGATTAGGAGTATGTCGAGGTTCGGGGTCTGGTGGTCGTTAATAAGGGCCTCCATTCCTGCCCTAGAATTTCATGATGTTCAGCTGTAGTAGACGGAGATTTGTAGATCTCATTGTGATAGAGTGAGATTAGGTGATTGACAACTCCTGTCTCCGGTGGGGTGTTCTGCATCACAGTCTAAGCATCTTGGTCTCATTTCTCGAGGGTAGTTACGGTATTCATGTTGCTGAGCACAGTATCCGCATCTTGCCTGTTGTTTGCAGGCCCAGGCTAGATGGCCGAATCATTGACAACAGTGGCATCATTTCCGGTCAAATCGGTATGGTTCCACGCTCCCGATGTACCTCTGGCCGACCAGTAGTCCATTGGCAATGAGGTATTCTGCTGCTTCTGCGGTGTTTAGCCATATACCCAGCGACGCCGATGTCTTTAACGGGTGATCCTTCTTCTTCAGCCATGCATGCCCTCAATTTGGAAGTTTTGCTGCTGAGGTCGTTTTCTTCCATGACCTTGTCTATCCCATGGTTCTTATTTCTTCAAGGTCGAAGTCTTCGGTCGGTGTGCAGTGGACCACCACGCCAAACCGAGGCTTAACCAACTTAGTATCGTTGCCTAGTTCTTGCAACCATTCAGTGTTGTTCTGAGCCTTTTCAGCCGATTGGGTGTCCCTGAACCTAATCACATATCCTGTCTCTGTGGCGCCGATCCCTGCCACTTGTACATCTTTGGTGGGGTCCGCGCTCAGTAGGGCCGATCTAATTTTTGCATTGGCCATACTACGAACTTGGCCTGACCAGGGCTTCGATACTTTCCTGCAAACATGTGTCGATACTATTGGTGCGAAAAGAGGCAGCGCTGAAGGTCACTTTCGACATGCATCGAGCTAGTAAACAGCTAATACGTTTGGAGTCCCCCAGTCGTGATCTTACAAGGCGTCCTAGATCTGTAGAGCCATCTGCGCTGACGCAGATTTCAGTCATCTCCCGAAGCGTTCTCTCTATATAGTCTCCCGCACCGCTGAGTTTCAGAATATGTGCAATAGCACAGTGGACCTTTAGAAGCTTACTAGCAGGTGGATCAATAGTAAGCTCAGGACTGAGATGAAGTTCCCGGGTAACTGGAAATAGAGGATCGCGCAAAAATGGCCTTTGTTCGGTGGAGTCGATGACATATGTGCGCTCAGTGCTAGGGTCCTTCTGTTCGAAATATATCTCAAACTCTCCAAACAGCCGATGGTAATTGTGGGATAGCGTCAAAGTATCTGATACGCGGTCCCATACATTCCGCTGCTATCGTTTCGTCATTCCTCGGTGAAGGGAGAGACATTCTGATCGATACCCCTTTATTTGGATATCGTTATCCGTTCTCGTTCATCCATCGGGACTCGGACTTAGTTACATTACCCGCAGGGTTCTTCGCCAGAGTACGAAATCGTGGACCGTGTTCGAAGCATGGCTGGCACGAATGATACCGGGTGCAGGGTTCTGTTGGACATGCTATCAAGGGGCAGCCTTTTCACAGTCGCTGATTGGCAAATATTCACGGGTATGCCACAATATGCCCTATCGTGAATTCGATATAGTTTAATCTATAACTACATAAAATATAAAATCTGCAAGTAGACAGGTCTAGGTGCTTCGGGAAATCCGTCGGCAGCACTATAACTTTTTGTGGCATGCTAAGCAGCCGCTAGGTGTTTGACAATACCACAATTGTTCCGACCGCACACGCCGGTCACGTTTCTTCATGTGCACCAACTCGTCGATTTTCTATTCCAGGTGTTTCTCCCAATATTCACTGGGGGCTACGACCAAGTCCTGCTCGGTCTCCCGGGCCTCAATTGTGCGGTTGATCATGAGCTTCCATGCGATCGTGTAACGAATGAATACAGGCTCTTCCGGTTCCTCGTAGCAATTATCCTCCGTCCATTTCTCCTATTCAGCAAATGGGAGAAACCCAAGGTAATCAGGCTGCGTTTGGCAGGAGATAGGCTTAGGGAATACAGTGTAGCGGGTGTACGGCCGAAGTCACCCGGTGTTGGCGCGTACTGCGCATCTTCGTCCCATTGGTCGATCAGCCGGGACTGACAGGCTGTGGTTGCGGTGGTTGCAGGTGACGAGGCCTCAATTTTTTGGTTGCGCGCCGCGAAAATAATTAGTAATAGTCTTAGCAGTCATGTGACAGGCTTCTTCATCATAGCTGAAAAGGCTAACTATTGGTCATCCCTTACAAGAAGGAATGAATGGTTCCAATTCACCTAATATGCTGTAAGCAGTTAGCCCACACCGTCTCATGCCCAACGGGCCGTTCAATAACATGGGGCTGCCCATGATAATAAGCGGAGCAAGGTTTGTGCAGTGAACAGCAGTACAGTACCAATAGAGTCTTGCCTGTCAGACCTTGGCCGTTGATGATCGCCGGAGCCTGCTTACTCCTGCAGCCAAACTGCAAGATGCAGGAGAGGAATGCAGAAGAGTCGCTGTCGCTATTGACAGCTTGCCAGATCAGACAGGACAGCCGACCGAGATGAAATCTTCTAGAAAATTCCCCCAACCATGTATCTGCCGATACAGTTTTCTAAGTATAGTATATTACAGATACGAATCTGATAAGATATATATTGCCTACTATGACATCATAGATCTATATATACTATGGTATATTGCATAAATAATGTTAGTATGCTCCACTGGAAATCACTCCCTTATTAGGTAAAGATGAATTTCTAGCCTATTTACACGCCCTTATATCCACGCACAATGATATCAAAATCTAGTATGGCCACCACCTGCCTCAATGACTGCACGGCACCTTTCAGGCATAGATTTTAGTAGATCATACAGAAAATTAGGTGGAATAGCGTCCCAGGCCTCTCTAAGTGCTATCCTAAGCTCAGATAGAGTCATATATTCAGGGAAATTTGCCTGAAGATAGTTCTTCATCCAATTCCATACCATCTCAATAAGATTGAGATCAGGTGAGAAGGGGGGCCATCTAACCATATGGACTCCATTCCTCTCAAGCTCCTGGATAGTAGATTGAGCACCATAGCCTGGAGCACTATCCTGTACTAGTTAAAGATAAGGATGGTGATGGATATACTCTGTTATAAGAGGTACTATATATTAAATATAGCTTTGAGCATTAATTATACCCTATTCCTTCTCCCAGAATACCATAGGGCCTTTAGTAGTCCTATAAAATGACCCCCAAAACATCCATCCTATCTTACATAGGCGCCGTTCAACAATATAGTCTTCATAGAAGACGTCATCCTTACAGCAAGTAACCCACGTACGTGTATAGCGACCTGGATTTACCCAGGTTTCATCAGTCCATAGTATAGCTTCCCATTGACTAGGAGACCAGTTAAGGTGCTCTTATGCCCAGAGGAGTCGTTTCTGCTTATTCTCAGGAGATAGTAGTGGTTTCCTTCAAGCAATATATCTTTAATAGCCTCTAGAAAGTAAGGCTGATCGGATTGCCCACTGAGAATAGCCTAGATCAAGATGTAAGGCTAATTCTCTATAAGTAAGGTATCTTGCATACCTTGTTGAGGTGATAAACCCTATAAGATAGTCTATCTCCTCATCTTTCATTGCCAACGGCCGACCAGACCTTTTAGAAGGGGTAGGGTGACCAGCCTGGCAGGCTAGCTGGACCTGATGTATAGAAACCCCTAAATGTTTTACAATATCTTCATATTTCATATTTAGTGAGCGCAGAGTTAGGATTTGCAGGCGCTCATCTCTAGTTAGCTGGAAATAAGGAGGTGTAGAAGGAGTCATATTGCTGTATAGATATTTGGTAAAGAACTGATGTTGATGGTTATAGTTGATTAGATATGCCTAAATGATAACGGCACAGAGTTCATCCTATTTCTACACAGTTCAGTGACCCACCATACTAACATTACTTACTCAACATACCAGAGTACATAGCCTTGCATATTAGCATCTGTTTGGAAGTAAGCTTGGCTTGAGCGGGGGCGGAATGAGGTTTCGACCCTCACTGTATCTTCCGAAGCGGTCATTTCCATCGTCATCACCGTCAGAGGCTCGTCGTGTGCTGATTCTGATGCAGTTGAGTTCGTCCTTGGGCGGTTTAGGGACTGCGTTGGGTCCTTGCGGGGGTTCGCGGGCTGCCACCTCCGCCCATGATCTGGTTCGTCCTGTTCCCGGTAACGTGTTGAGTTTTGTCCTTAAGGGCCTGCACTTCTTCCTGCAGGTCCGCATTTTGGCTTTTTGGGTGCTGTTGATCAGCCTTGATTTCAGTTAGGTCGCTCGCTATTCTTTGTATGGTGTCATTTTGCTGTGTTATGGTCTCCCTCAAGTCTGCGATCACCCGCAGGATTTCATCCGGGCATGTTGCTCTTCCGTCTCCACTGCCTGAGAACCCAAAGACTGGTCCTCGAGTAATTTCCGTCGCTGTGGTTCCATCTTTCCGTCGTTTATATTGCCTCGTAACCCTTCTAAATTTCGGAGGGTGGTGAGAAATCCCTGGTGGTTATTTCGGTGATCGCCCCTTGCGTGTTTGTGGGAGGCCATAGTGACATCGTCCCTCCTAAAAATACTGATAAATTCTCCTCTTCTTATTCATTACTGTCATTCCTTTCCTTTCCTCCATTCATTTCTACATCTCTTTGACTCTTTGACTCTCGAATCCTCTGTAGCTCCTCTTTCAACAAGAGCTCTTCCGCATCGTCTCATCCTCATCGATGCGTTCTCTGTCTTGTTGAATGCGGATGTCTCCCTCTCGTAGCCATTCCTGCTGATCGCGTGCCCCATCGTGGGCCATGCGAGATTCCCCCTAAACAGGCATAATAACCCCGCCGAGAAGCCGTCACTCTTCTCCTTCTTCATCGTCATGTACCTCTCCAAGCTCTCCTCGCTCGTCGATCAGCTCGTCCGGGTCATCCGAGATTCCCCCGCACACCCCTTCGACCGCTGGTGGAATGTATCGCGGAAATTCTTCTTCACTCTCGCCTTCATCTCGCTGATCTGGGCCAAATTCTTACACATATATGCTCACCTCTACTCATTACCACCGTCCAAATTGCTCCTGTGGGGTCCGACCTTCTTTTTCCAGGATGTCATCTTTATCCTCCTCGTCCGTCTCCTCACCCAGACCATCCCCTGGCGACCTGGCGCCGTTTTCGCTGCACTATGCACTGTGCCATTCAGGTAGATCATCCACTATTCATTTCTGAGCTCGTCTGCAACATCAAATAACTAACTCTTGGTTCTCGTATCAGTTTGCTGATGTCTGGCATGGCGTCTTCCGCCACCTCCTTCTACGTCGTGACCGGCGCCGAGCTTCACTGGCGACAGGTCCGGACTTTTCACGGCGATGCGGCTGCCGTTCGCACTCTGCTCACCGGTTTGACAGGGTCTCTGATCGTGGAGGCCATCCTAATTGCCGCCTCCTGGTTCCTGGCTGCACCCATACACCGAGCCACTGGCGGGGTCTTGCGGATCTTGGGCGCGCCCTTGCAGAGGTTAGCGCAACGGATCTGGAGTCTTCGCTGCCGGCAGTGGACGAGGAAGACCAGTCGCATCGATCCCCAGAGGTATGAACAGATTGCGGTCGACGATTATCTGGACGACAAGAGCGACGACGGAGACTCGGTGTTTCTGCTCGACCCGATGAGCCACGAGACGCCGGTCAAACATCACGAGTCGCTGGTCAAACATCTGGCCATCTTCGTCTTCTTTGGCGCATTTGTGCTCCTCCGGTGCCTTCGCCCTCCCAATCCTTCGTACATGTTCCTGTCCTGGGCGCTTCCCGTCATTCCATTCTCCCCAGCGAACCGCGGCTTGTCACCGATCGATGCCGACCGAATGCCGGGAGACTACAGATGGCTGGAGAATCGGTCTGCGCTGGATAAGCCGCCGACGTGGGACTGGCTCCCGAGCGACCCCATATCCGGGTTCGAGGATTGGTATCCGGGATTCGAGGACCATCATGGACCGCCTCATGGACCGCATCATGGACCGCCTCATCGCCGTCGTCCTCCCCCGCTGCATTACAACCCGGCCGAGGATCCGTTGCACATCTCCAATCTACAGTATCCCGTGCTCGAACCCCTGAAGGAAGCGCTCGCCAGCGGAAACGTTAGCATCAAACACGTTATCCTGCTGAAATTGGAGAGCACCCGAGCGGACGTCTTTCCGCTCCGTAAGGAATCGTTCATGTGGAATCGCATCGCCGATTCCTACACTAACCACACCATCCCCGATGCCGTGGAGCACAAACTGGCCGACTTGACCCGAACAGCCGAGTACCTCACCGGGTTTGCTTGGGGCTTTTCGCGCGACCCCGCTGCACACAATGGCCGAAAAGCGTACGGCGGCATCAGCGCCCGCAATGCCTTCACCACGGGCACCTACACGCTCAAGAGTCTTGTCGGAACCGTCTGCGGCGTTACTCCACTGGTGACTGATTTTAATCGCGAGTACAAGCATCACATCTACCAACCGTGCATGCCGCATGCCCTCAACGCCCTGAACCATCAGATTGAACTCATGAATACGACTGGGGATTTCACCTCGTGGCCGTGGCACTCCAAGTGGATGCAGTCTGTGACCGAGGGCTACGACAAGCAGAACGAGTTGACCCCGCGACTGGGTTTCAAGGACATTCTCGCCAAGGAGCGGCTCGAAGACCCCAGCGCCAAACACTATCTGGTCAAATCCAAGGAGATCAACTACTATGGATACCCCGACACCGAGCTGCGCGAGTACTTCCGCGATGCTATCGATGACGCCGAGCGGGAGCACAGGCGACTCTTCATCACCCATCTCACCGGTACGACTCATCATCCGTGGGGAATGCCGAACAACAGCTACCAGCAGTTCATGGGCAACCAGAAATTCARGGCCAAGGATGATCTCAACAAGTATCTGAACACCATCGGTTTCATCGACAACTGGCTGGCGGAGATCATGGACATTCTGCAGGAGAAGGGCGTTGCAGACGAGACCCTGCTCGTCATGGCCGGCGATCACGGATTGTCTCTTCCCAACGACGGAGGCGTCACTCCCTACGACAATCCGCATATTGGCAGCTTCCAGGTTCCCATTGTATTTGCTCACCCCAAGCTCCCGCCCGTGGAGATCACATCCCCCGTGATCTCGGACCAGATTGTGCCGACGATCCTGGACCTCTTGATYGAGACCTCTTCGCTGGAAGAAAAGGCCACCCGTGCGGCCAAGGATATGCTGTCCATCTATGAGGGCCAGTCGATGATTAGACCTTTGATCACAGAGAAGGATGGAAAGCAAGACTGGCAGTTCACCGTGATGAACACAGGCGGGTCCTGGCTGGCGGTGCGCTCCGCCGCCAAACCAGCCTATCGGCTCGTCATCCCCCTCATCGACGATCTGGAGTGGCGGTTCACGGATCTCGAAAAGGACCCCAACGAACTGCACCCGATCAAGMACTTTGACCTAGTTGACCTGGCCCGCAAACTCCAAACACAGTACGRCTCCGAAGTGACCGACTGGGTCCGGGACGCGGCTCATGTTGCCTCGTGGTGGGTGGGAGAAAACTGGCGTYGCTACCGGTATCATCCCAAGCCCAAGCGATGACTTGCATATTTTCTATCCTCTTTTCTGTWCTTTTGTATATGCTCTTTAGCTCTGCGTTTTGCATTTTGATATCACATATTACATCTCGTCGATATACCCGACCCCCAGGCGTACACGCCTTCCCAGTTCGTTGGAGTGGTCACAAACAACTGGACGATTTTTGAAGCGATTGTACATATTACTTTGGGAATAAATGCCGAATACCAATCTCCAACGAGTATGCTGCCGGCAGAGTTATCCAGCATCTACTCGGGAATGACCCCTGTCTGAGTTTGTCTGCAGCATGCACTCCGCAGTATTCAGGGTCTGCAGAGAGTTGCCCCGCTCCCATATCAGTAATTGTGAGGCCGATCGCCTATCTCCAGCAATAGCGCTGTGCTGTTCCAGGCCATCTATCCTCCTGTCATCAATGGCGTGCGCAAACCACGCAAGCCTGGGTGTAAGTGACCCCTGTATTTGATTCGTATAGGACTTCAGTACTCACGTTCCCAGGTTACCAGGATTCTAGATCGGATATTGCCTACTTCCTACGACGATAGGGCATCAGGGTCATCAACCCCCCATCCGTCGCTATCGATTCCTGTCACGAAGGCTGGTCCTTCCCTAACACAGAAGAAGGCATCTACTCTGCCATCCAGCAAGGTGCTACTCATCTCTGGGCAGACACTATTCTGTTCGCATCACATCCTCTCCTGACATCAAGCTGATTAATTCCTCTGGCGTCCAGTCTCTATATCATCGGGCAACCACCGGCCCAGTCGAAAATTTCGATGACAAGGGACTCTTGAACAGCAAACTGCGCGAATTGKGTGGGTTTACCTTGCATCGCGCATGGATAGTGGACGGCTTCTCCGCCGGACTACCGGAGTATGGTACCAGTGACGCGCTTCAACCATTTAGATGGTATTGGGCCATATAATGGGGTGGTGGCCGTCACTGCAAACTTCCGCATAGTGTCGGAGGACGAAATGGAGGTTCCAGCGCACAACAAGGTGATGCGGCAGTGCGAAGGGGTCGACAGGCTGATAGGTGCTACTGCGCCGATTCGGGTAGATGTGCGTGGTTCCGAGAAGGATCCGAATTCGCTTTGCTCGACATCCATATGAAGCCAGTATGTAGTCGCTTTTCGCCTTCTGCAAGTATACTGTACTGTTCACAGAATATGACTGGTTCAGGGCTGCCAGGACGAGAGGACCAGGCCAGCTAGACTGCCATTTGCCGCTGCGGCGATCGGCTGGGACTACGGGAAGGACAAGAATGGCTCCAGTTATCTGGGCTCAAATAAATAATTCCCATACTATTTCCAAGGCGGCGCACTTAGGCCACACGGTAGAGGAATTCGTTTGAATGACTACCGCAGTCCTCGATCGACACGCCCCAAGGCAGCGGCCATCACTCAAAACGGTGGTTTACTCTCGCTCCCAAAATCCAACAGCGTGAAGTCAACCAAGCTCGCCCTCCTCCACGTGAAGTCAATTTCTAGGCTGTTCTTTCCAGTAGCGCAGGAACAGTATATCGGGTCATTAAATTCATTGAAGTTGAAGACGGGGTACTGTAATGTTCATTAAATTAAACCTAACTTCGTACACCGCCCTCCGCTAGCCATCGGCCTAAGACCAGGGAGAGAAGCAGAGGTGATGCAGTAAGGCATTGAAAGAGAGCAACAGACCTCTCCCCAACGAACGCTCCTCGTCGATTTTCAATCTGCTGTGAGACGAACTGGACAATGCCGTCCTCAATCATCGAAGCAGAGCTTGCACAGTCTTGGTTCCGATAATCATAGTGAAGGGGAACTAGCGTTGCCGATGGTAGATGACTAAAGATTATGTTGACGGCGTCAAGGAAAGCGTAAGGCTCCCAATCGTTTTCCACCGCTTGTTTGAATTTTCTCAACGAAGTTTCCTTACAACGTTCGGGAAGGTTCCAATACCTCGCCAGCATGTAGATGGAACAGTGAAGCACGAATTCATGGATGTTATCTGTGTAGAGTGTTAGTCCTGTGCAGTAGCCTGCATTATTAGAGCGAAGGATGTGAATAGGGTCTGCTATCCCACCTGAGCTCTCTGCCAAAGGAGAAGGGCAATCTGAATAGTCACCGAGATAGATGAGCTCCAGAGTCTTCCAAACAATGTTGGCAGGCCAATGGCTAATGTGATATTCAATTAATCCTGTCGACTTGAAGCTATGTTGAAGATGATACTCGAGATGCGCGCTTTTGCTCTCCAAAACGAAGGTGTGCACAGGAATTCTATAACCAGCCACGACAACAAATGCATCTGCCCCGACTCTTGTTTTCCATATTGTTCTAGTAAGTTCTTCTAAAAGAGACATGTTCCGAACATAGCACGCAAATGATTCGCGACTTATCTGGCGTAGATTGGCGATCCCGTGCGCAATTTAAAATTGTCAGTTATTTGAGCTTGGACGAATATGCCTTTGCAAATGGCCAGCAGTAGCCACGAATAAATTGGCCTGAGTCTGTTCTGCATGCGAGAGACATCCATAAATTCAAGCTACACATGCCTTATTCAGCCCTTCTGTTGCTTAATCTCGAAGTCGAGAGACGACCACCAAAGTTGTTCACTGTTGTTTTGCTGTTATTGTCGGGCCGAAGGCAAGGGTCAACTATCTATTGAGCGCCGAATGCGTTACAGAGAACAGACCCTACGCATACACGTCATCCACATAGAGCAAAGATCAACATATTGTCTTCTAGGTGGCAATAGAAATCTTATCTACGGCAGTTCTCAGGGCTGTTGCAGGAGTACTAATCCATTTCAAGCTAAAGGCTTGCGAACTGACCTTGTGCACCCCCGCCGAAAATAGAGAGTAAAACTGGACCGGCCTATATTGGTGCAAAAAAGGTGAACAGTTGCCCCAACATTTCGCACCTGTGACAGGTTTCCTGTAATAAAGAGTAGCCCTCAGAAAAAGCTGATTTTAGCCAAGGCCCCCTAGGAAGTCCGTGCCTTCTCAATCGTGTAATGGAAAGAGACTGCACGGCAGGGCCCGCACCGTCGACTTTCTGATCTCTCATCGACCATGACAGCCGATGCGCCTCCATACCTACCTGAATCTCTTCCATTTAGCTCACTTGAATAAGGCTAACAATTGCCTATCTTCTCCCTGACGGTCCAACTGTGTACAATCTTGTCAAGCAAATAATCATACTAGACGAAAGTTCAAGTCCATTTTCCCCGGATTTGTTTCGCCTTTGATGCCGCCGGGTTCTGTCCAGATCTCACTGGCGTCGTAACGTGTCGATTCAGTGGACGACTACGAGCTCAGGGATGTTTGGGTAAGTTGTGGTGACAATCAATTCAATTCCGCGAACTGTTAGCAGCCCTGCGACAGCATATCTACAGTACCTAACTACACAGAGTTCACCTTCGTACTGCTTTTTCTTCTTCTTCGTCCTTTGCCCGAGAAGATAATGTTGTGGGGGACAGGTGGCCAATTGGTCGACTGAGAAATTAGAGAGACCGACAAGGGATTAATGTACAGTATGCTGCGATCAGATATGCCTACCGCAGTTGTGGTGTGGCCGGGAAGAGTAAGTCAATGCGACCTTACAAGATCAACGTTCACCACTATCACGAGAGTATTCTCCTGAGTAATCCAGCTTGCTTTACATAAGTGACGTTGACGTTGTCGATTCTATCCGATTGCCAGCATTGCCAGCACCAAAGAACGTGCGCCACGACAGGGGTCTTGGCGGTACCCCATGAGATGTAGCATATTCCGCAAAAGCACGCTTGTCGCGGGTACTGTATCAGTACCACTACAATCAAATTCACGGGAGTATGCTTCTTCAGTCGCTTCGATGGGAGGAATACCGGTTGTTATAATCGCTAGGTCCAAAATACCTGACAACTGGATGGCGTATAAGGAACCGTCGTTTGACCAATGCAGTAACAGATGCCTCGGCCTAGGTCGTCCTGACAGAAAATCTTAGTTGGTGCGTTACTCAAAGTCGCATGCGCCCTACTGGGCTGAATGCAAAACATCTTTATGAAGTCATCGGAACCTGGCCCACTAGAGGACACGCTCACATATGTGTGTTTCAGTCGTCCGAGAGGTAAAGTAGACTTCAACCAGAAGTGGGCTGGTGCAAGCGGCTGCAAAGAAATGACACCATCTTGATGGCTAACTGCATAAAGAGGCATGGCAGTACAATGGACTTACTTTATAACACAATAAGGCGCAGTCGAGGTAGCTGACGGCGTGGATGAAGTAGGAGTATCTGCTGTTTGACTTTCCGAACAAGGCGCAGACTTAGGCGAAGTACTGATTTCAAACTTGTGTAAGTGGGTTTTAAGACATGAGGATGGCTATCTACCTCGACGGTATCGCTGTATCAGAGGATGTTTTTGAGCTTTGAGTCGCTTTCTGGCTGTGTGATGTATGCGAGACCGGTGGGGTCCGTTGTTCCTCGGTAGCTTGTTGAGCCGGAGTGGACTCCGTCTCCTCACTGGCGATTGTCATGCTGGGCACTGTATCGACTGTGCGCGACTCAATCGTTGCTGGCACAGGCTCGGCGCTATTAACCGATTGCAGACTTATTGTCGATGACGAAGAGCGGCCAAATGATAAATGGAATTCGTTGCAATTGGTAGACGACGATTCCGCCAGACCTGATTCGTTGTCAGATAATTTCCTCAACGTAGAAGCCTGCCATCCCTACAAGGAGTGGAAACTCTGCCCAAGTAAGCTACACAACCCTCCGTGAGTGTTATTGACCATGTGTAAGTCTCTGTCTGTCCATCATTCAGTATTCCTATGCGTATTTGTGTGTACCCTGAGGCGTTATCAAGGACGCTGCACGCATTGATGAATACACCTGGTTGCAAAAATGGCGCAAATGTTTATACTCTTCCTTTATATCTGAGCCCTAAAGCTAAGCTTGATCGGGTAAAGCATCGGATTAGCTATGACCCGTGTAATATTTTGGTTTTTGTGGTACAGCGCACAAAATTATGCTGTATGGGTTATCTGTATCGCCCCGTACCAATAAACCGTCTAAACTTGGAAGCTTCCTTGCAAACTACTCAAACCCCTGCATGGCACTCTTCGGCTGTCGAATAGCAAGCGCCACCACTTTCCTGTTCCTAGCTCGCCACCGTCAACAAGATGCCTATTGCGGGTTACGCACGAGTTTCAGCGGAGCAACGCAAATGACCCTGTTTATTATTATCTTTAGCTTGTCAGCAACAGTTTCCCAGTCCTGAGATAAATCCGTCAGGTGAAGGCTAACATGAGATGATTCTCGTATTAGGCTCCTCGGCGGCATCCTATGCCTCGAGGGTGTGACCCCGCCTGTCAACAACTATCTAGTCCCTCAAGCTGGTACTTGGGAACGCACCCCTTCCTGCCCTCCTACTCCGGGTAATTTCGGCCGCGGACGTACGCCTTCTGAGTATAGCTATTTTGGCGATCGTTCTCCGTCGGTTTCCCAATCACGCCCCGGTAGACAAGTGACTTTGAACCATCGAGTTTTGGTAAAAGACACGGAACAAGACTTAGATTCGACGCCCTGTTTGTATTGGGAGAAGATTAAACAGGAGGCTGAACGTCTGCTACGTCAGAAAATAACCCGTGACCGGCGTGTCAGATTTGATGATACTACGGTTGTTGTTTCTGTAAACGATCGCTCGCAGCGTGATCTTACAAAGCGTTTTGAAAAAACTGATATTGACTGGACAGCTATAAATAGGCAGATATTGATGTGCCAAGATCTCCTTTAGAGAGGGTTTTCACTCCCTCTCTGTCAAAGCATATCACCACATTTGTGGAGGTCTTTTCCCCCTTTTCCTACGGGTTTTGGGTTGTTTTTCCTCTACATGCAAGATCTTGTATACCTAACAGGTGCTACAGCACCTTTAGGGAACTGCAACACCGCAGGATTAGGGACCTGGGATACATATATGGTTTTGTTGGGAAGAATTTCATTGTTGGAAAAACTGGGCCTGGCACCCTGCCCATAGGGACCCAGGTCAGGGTAGTACGTGGGGCCCTCCCACTTCTTTCAGCACATCGTGCTCAACTTTGTTATTTTAGGCGTCTTGCTTAGGTAGCACGTCCAGTTGCCCCTTGGGAGGCCGTGGGTCACGTGCCAGCGTGACTCGCCGAGCGACGTTAAATAGTCAATCAATCAATCAATCAATCATCAATAGGAATACCAAGCGATCCTTCATACAGACAGTATCTTTATAGCACCGTCTTTGCAACTGGAAGCTCAGTAGGTTATTCCACGCTCTCGGCAAACACAAATGGATTCACCTCCGCTGAATCCCTGTCTTGGGATTGGCCTTCCATCTTGTCTGCGAGACTTGCCTGTCCCGCCCCCCGTGAGTTTGGCCGATTCCAAAGATCAACAGGTTTTCGACGCCATCCGTGCTCTCGGAATCCGCTCCCAGGTACCCCAAGAAGAGGTCGAGAAGGCGTGTTGCCTCGCTGCTGGCCCTGCGGACTTAGTAATTCTTCTAGAACGACCTGGGCCTAACCACGATTATACCGATGACTTTGAGGATTTCGTTCGACGCTGTTCCACCTTGCAAGCCATTGATGAGCTCATCAGGTTTTCTAGCAAGGGAGCGCGGAGTATTCATACTACTTCTGTCCTTGATGCATTTTTGCTCAAGCCCTCACATACGCAGGCTCTTCCAGCTGACACTGACTGCTTTAACACCGTTGAGCAGATCTTGACAATCAAACAACCACGCGTGCTCGTATGCTGTTGGAAAGGTGAATGCCAGAATGAAAATCTTTCCCAATTCCGATCCAGGGGAGTTGGTTCGCTCCCCATGCGTTCCAGGGCGCGGCTGAATGGGAAAGAGATCATTAATTACCATTCGTTCCACCCCGCAACTGCGGTGTGGTATAACCAGTGTCAGCCTGTCTTGCGTGCTCTCCTCGCTTATCACTTTGCTGCCGCCTTTTTGGAGCTGCGACACCCTCAAGAACCGCCGGAGTGGGCCATTGAAATATCAAAAATGGCCGCAAATACCTCCACGAGGAATGAGCACCTATCGGTCAAGGCCGCCGTGAACTCCTTTCGCTCCTCGCTGCTGATAATTCTTGGCCTTGAAAAAATCCGTTCTGTCCGCTTTCGAACTCAGCCGACGGTTTCTCGTGTCTGGAGGGACGATATATTTACTCTTGTCAATTATCTGCCGACCACATCCTACCAGCACGGGGCACTTCAGGTCGCAAAAGCCACATTGCTGTGGCGGAAGTATTTCTCTAAGAACCCCGAATTCCAGAAAGTGCTTTCACAGCTCCTTGATCTCGGGAATCGACAGAGCGCCTTCTACCATACCTCGTCCATTCTTAGTACAACGGGGCTTGAGGAGTCTTTACTACTTCTAAAATTTGATGAGCCAGCAAGATCGCCAGTCTGTCCGAGTGACCAGGCGGAGGAAATTCTACAGACTATACGCCTTCAGTTTGATGATGGAGACCTGAGAGACATCCGTCGACAAGCCACTGACCTGTCTGCACACCTTCAAAACAACCTGGAATTGCCTGAGCTCATAGCCCACCCACTCTGGCCTGCTCTATGGGATAAACTTCGGGACTTCCTACAGAAGTATATCACCCATCTCGAGAAGACTGTGGGTCTAATAAACGCAATGCCTGCCTATTTAGGCGGGGCCCGCGGACAATACAATGGTGAGGAGCAGCCACCTTGTTCGATCATGGCTCTACCCTACAGCAGCTTTATCCTTGATCAAGTTATAGCTCTGTTAGAGGCCCGTATTAGTCAGGAACGCTTGTGCTCGGTTCTCGCATGTGATGTCATCGGCCGGAGCGAGTTGGTTGGATTGTTCGACAGATGCCGAGGTGCAGGGTCGGATGATATATTGGAGCTTGTTCGTGAAGCTCCGTCCGTGTTACGACAGCGGCTGAGACTCCTTGAGAAGGGGATTTATATCCTATATGCCATGGTTGAAGAGCGTGGGGGGGGCTGAAAGTCTACTGTTGCACGAGGGTCAGAACTCTCAGCGAATGAATCTTGAGGCAGACGGAGGTCTTACAGCAGTCTACGGAAGGATGAGAGCGACAGCGCAAGCAGTATCCGATCAAGACGCCGACAGCCCGAATAGGCCCTTCTAGAAATGAAAGAGGTCTGTCTTCTTCAGCGTAGCTTTCGCACCGGGTATACAGCGATTATTTGAAGTGACGCAAAATTAAAGACCTGTCAGGGTCAACAATGCTAAAGATCAGATTCATGGCTTCTCCACTGGAACCCAAGAGTAGGTTCTAAGCACGTGAATTCTAAAACCTTCTCGGCCACAACAGACAGGTCGTCGAAAAGCCTCTCTCAGTCTCTTTGGACGTGATTATAATCAACAGCTTCAGTAACTTGAGCTCAAATATACAGGTTATCATGTAAATCAAATAATAGTGTTCTGCGGGCTTATATTGTTTTCTAATGCGACGAAACAGTAACCGACGTAGTACAACGATTTGAATGAATGGTGGTAATTATTATGAATCTTAGTCCCAATCACGCGTTAAAGCCCACTAGTATTTGGCAAATTGAATAGAAAACTAAACCAACGCTTCATCCGCATTCTCCTAATCCACTCGTATGACCTCTCATATGTTTCCCATTCCAACGGTGGTGTTAGATCCTGGAGAGAAGGGAAGCGCTGTTGCAATACACCGATACAATTCATTCGATCCACAATATCATTGTCAACAAGACAGTCCGCAAGGACCCGAGACTGTACTTCGCGGTATTTTTGTGCCAAGAGTGGCGCTCCAACCACTGGAGCAGCTAAAGTTACCGAGAAAAAAGCTGCTCCCTTAAGGATCTCAGGTAGCTGAGAAAGTAATACGAAAGAGGTTGATAAAGAAGCATTGAGTACGCCTTGCGTTTTTAGCTTCGCGATGAGTATTTTTCGAAGAAGAAGCCGTGTCAGATCCAACCTCGCCTGACGCGCAGTCGCTAAATGGGCGAAGAAGACACCTATATCGTGACAATTCCAATATACGCGCCGATATTTGGTTTTGATTTAGTCTCATTTTACAGCATTCCCCACCGTTCTGTGCAGGCTCATCCTTGCCTAAAGCCATGGCTATTGCTTAGATCTATGAATACCTCCACAAATGAGTTAGTTCTCAGCGCGATAAATAGAACCTTGAAATTCGTTATAAACCCACTTTTCCCCCGCCTTTTGTCAGCCAACTTGGTTTAGTTAGTCCGAGATCTAGTCTGCCGCTCCCGTAAGCTACTACTGTACCAAGATTCGGAGCAAGGGGCTTCAGATGACGGGGAAAATAGATTTTCCGTTCTGGCTGATGATCACTTGCTCAAACCTGCCCCGCTCTCCCCACTTGAATATCAATTCTCGATCCTTGAGGGCTCACTATCCTAAGACAAACACAGTCTCCACAGAAATTATATAATGGTAATTCTCTAAATCAAACTAGATTTGTTTCTCGTTTTGAGCCTAATAAACCACCAGAGCCATATCGTCGATTTTGGGTCATGTCACGTCCATGACAAAATGAGGTTGAGGAAGCCACACCTGAAAGATACACTCCCAATCCAGCTATGTGTTTTATGTAATCGCCCTTTCTGCGTCGACCACAAGGGAAAGGAGGATGGTGTCTGCGAGATCAATCACGAGACATACTATCGAAACCACTCAGCCGCCCAGAAGTACTTGTATCGCACTTATGAAGACTGGAAGAAAGATTACGACCAGATGATGATTGATGAGATGTCGGTGAAAGAGGAGTAAGCTGTCCATCTTGGCAAAACTGTGAGCATTGAGAATAGGCTGGGGTCACGGCTTGGATTTCTGTCACGACGCTTTGCTTTCTGTCTTTTCGTTGCCATCGTTTTTGGTCATGTGAGTCTCGAAATCCGTTTGGCCAATAAACATACGTGAATTGTTCGTTGGCCCCACCGCCAAGAATCTAGCATGAGTAATTCATACTGTCACGTGATCGACAAACCATCGCTCCTATTTTGCGCCGAGTGCAGTAGTAACACAAGCTTCAGAGAAGGCTACCTGTGTGCATGGAGTACAATCTATGAAGGCCCCCCATTCTGGCGAGAGTTTGATGATCAAGCTCAGCGGAGCTGGAAGTTATGTAGAGGATATCCTTCGTGATTTGGACGAAGTAAATGTAAGAGCAGACGGCTCAACGAATCTGGGGCCAGGATTGTCTTCATAAGATTGCCAACGCCGTTTAATAAAGGCCTTTAGCTCGGAGAATAGCTCCTCAATAGGATTGAGGTCTGGTGAATATGGAGGTAGATATACCAGCTTAACTCCTGCCTGCGCGCACATCTGATCTATGTTATCCGAGTGGTGGAAGGAAGCATTGTCCATTACCAGCACAGACTTTGGCGCTGGCCATTTCCCCCAATGCTGAAGCAGTTCCTCGATAAAATCCTCAACAACAGAGGCATGGGTAGAGCCTTGAAAAACACGGGTCAAGGTGATCCCATCCTGCGTAGAAGCCGGAAGGATTTGATAGCGTCGGTCACGGTGGAACTTAGCCAACTTGAGGAGCTGTCCCTAAGGGGCCCAACCCGTTCGTCTGAAGCCTATCCTCTTATCACATCCAGACTCATCGACAAATATAAGCTGATATGATGAGAAATCCGAGATATAGTGAGCATATGCGTCTCGTAAATCTGCGTTGCGCTCTTTGACTTTCTGTTTCGCTGCCTTTTTCGACCAGCCTTCACGTTTCGGAGCACGGCTGATGTTGCATGGCGGAACTTCGACCCATATTCATCATACAAGAAGATGGCCGATTAATCAAGATACGAGCAGGGCGTTTCTATTAGGTAGTCAAGAAGAGCTTTGATCATTTCAGGTGTGAGGTGACGCGACCACGCCTCATGTGAGGGGCTTTCAGACTCCCGAATAAGCCCATGTTGTTGATATGCCTAGTGATAGTGCTCGGATGGCAGCCAGCAGCTTTAGCAATCGGAAGAAATTAGTCTATTACTCAAGATCATATCGTGGATGAACCCTAGTTCAGAGGCAGCGAGATCGGGAGCCATCTTTGCTCTGACTCTGATCGACGTGATCCTCCTGGAGGATCTTTGTATTTGGGACGAAAATGCCCACGTGGCAAGAAATGTCCTTGTACGAGAGGATACGAGTGACGAAAGCGGCGCTGAGTCAGTCTATCGACTATTACATTTCAATACAAAACGTGGTAACAATGCCCGGAAGAATATTCTTAAAGTAGTTTAGCGTAGACTTGATTAGGGCTTCTGAAAGAAACGGAAGAGTATAAACGTTTGCGCCATTTTTGCAACCTAGTGTAGCCTTTTTTTTTTCTATGGAATCTGAGTTCTACCGGCTTTCAGAGGCAGCGGTAGCTGTGCAAACGGCCAAACAGATACACAAATAGAGAAAGTCGCGGCTGTCGAGAGCGACAAACAATGAGACCAAAGCGCCAACTCCCAAGGACTCTGCGAGGATACTGATTCAGGGGCAAAGAAGAATTAAAGCGACATCAGTCATAGGACTGGAAGAAGAGACTTATATATTTGTATCAAGACAAGGCGCCTCGTTATTCTTAATCCTCTCTAGTTTTGAGTAGATTGCGAATATTGGATTTACTCAACATGTTCAAACCTGATGGGGAACAAGTAACGTGCTCAACAAGGGATCGTTTGGTTAAAGCACATTGGTTTGAGTACCCCTCGCGCTTGAACCTGTTTCGCTTCGACAGATTCTAGATTTACATGAGATCTACTGACCCTTCTGACCTAATACGGTCGAACAAACCAGATGCGACATTTTAGGCACCGAAAGGTGTGTCTCTCCACCAATTGCTAAGGCATACTCGTAAGTGGAACCGTCTTCCAGGGTCTGGTCAATGTATCCGTAATCGTAGTAGTCAGACAAGCGGCACGTGCTGGATATCTGTTTCGCAGGAGCAACAAGATCCCTACATTTTATTTGGATTGTCTGAGAGTTTTGCTGCATCAATCGCGTCAACAAAATTTCCGTTGTGACTGTGGACCTTGTACCCACCCAGTTGCAGAAGAAAATGGATGAAGTTCCTATGGTTGACACGCGTGCACAATTGTTCACCGGCACAGCACAAGTAATGTCGCTCACATTGTTGAGCCACTCTATGTTTTTCTCAGTTACATCAACATGCGCAAGGCTGTAGCTGAAAGAGCAAGTTTGTTCGTTGGTCTCAGTGCTAAGTCAGACCAGAAGACGATCTTGCGCCCATAGAGCGCTCCCGGATCCTGCTCATACTGTGCCTCGCTTAAGCACCCTCGTCTTGAAAGCACTTGCAGTAGCGGGAAATGTTGGCACGTTTAACACCTTGTTTTTCTGGAGTAAGCTTGGCTCGATATGATACTTCTGCGGTACGTACGGCTGAGTCTCAAGTCTCAGCTTTTTGGGGCAATGTTATAATATCCAAGTGGATCCAAAATGTTGAATTATGTCATCATCATACACCCTCAACTATCACGTAGTTGAACACCACCTTGGGTCGTTCTATAGACCAACTAGAAAGAAAACAATTAAAATCTAATTGCCCTACCCCCAGGCAGAGCCTGGGGCCCCCCGAATTTTCTGAATCGAATACGTGAAACCAACGTAACTCTGTACCCGACGCTAAAAATATATATCTATGAATCCAACAACTTAGGAACATCAATGTAGTCAAAGTCAACAGAATCAAACTCCTCCTTCTGAACTCCCTGACGAGCCCACTGATACGTCATATCCGCCAAACCACGGGGCAAAACGTAAGCCCATCCAGAAAAAAAATGCAGTTTAGTTGTAATGCGTTGGTGTTACAACATGTTCATGGTATGTTTGTCTATTCGTGTTATCACGGGCTTTTGTTAACCGTCAGTTGCTAGACAGGGACTGTGCTGAGCAATGCTGGTACAGGTATAGTGATTCTTCTTACTTGAAGAAGTTGCGCGAGAATTTTCGCGCTGGTGTGGCTGTCTTTAAGGGAGCTAGAGCGTCGATGTCTCGGGAAGAGGTTTATCGGTGGGAGGAGCATTATATGTCGGCGTTTGATTTGGTTACTGCTTATGTGAAAGCATTGGAGTCTGGTGTTTTGGTTGGCAAACAGCTGGAGGTGGAAAGAGAGCGTGTATTCACGCGGTATGCGGAGGCAATGAATGGTCTTGAGGGTTGGACTGGTACGTCCTGTTTATGTTTATTTTGGAAGTTGATACTGATGTTTGCAGGTTATCGTTTTTGTTGTGGATACGATATTCGGAGTGGTTGAAGTGTTACTTTGGTTGGTTCGCAACTTGTATGTTGCGGTGAGTATTTTTTATTTTTGAAGGTTGGAAGTGTTCATGCTGATTATGCAACGTGTTGGATGTTTTGTTTTTTGTTTTTAAAACGTACAGTTGTTGGTTATTGTTGGATTCTTTTTTGGGGGGCCCCAGGCTGTGCCTGGGGGGGCGAAGCCCTACGTTAGTTACGGAGTTGGAGTGTTTATTAGTGAAGTGAATATTCGAGTGAGGAAAAGGTGTGTTTACTTTCTTTGGTTGTGTGAGAGAGTTGTTGAAGCATGTTGGTTGTTTATTTAGAATGTGAGTGTGGTGTTGGTGTGAACGTGAGATATATATTTTTACCTTTGGTATGTTGTTTATTCTTATTGTGGAGTTTCTTTCTTAATCTAGTTGAAGATTATTTCTTTTCGGTGAGGCCCCGGGCTCTGCCTGGGGGGGCGAAGCCCTACGATTATAGAAAGAGTGAGTATGATTGAGAGTTTACTTGGTGAGTTTGATTTACATACGCAACGTGATGTTCATTTACTTGTTAATTGAGTTTGTTTCTAACTGGAGGTTAGAGAACTCAAAAAACAATCAAATCATTTGAGGGGAGCGCACCTCGCCCCCAGGAACTATACTGTATATTTATATCTGTCATGCTATGTATGATAAAGATGCTAACAATTAGCTTATCACGTGCATTGCCCCGCAATGCCAAGAATCTCCTTTTCTGGTAATAATCTCAGTCTCACAGTCTCATGCAGAATCTCCTTCTTGGGAGGCGGTGAGTCTCTCACCGCCGTGTAACCAGCGGTAATACAGTCTCGATACAAGAGACTGCCCTACTCGGCTAAGATCGGCGCTGTGCAAACGTCAGCGCTAATACTGCTGTTATAATATCCGGTGGATCCAAAAAGTTGAGGCCAATCAATGAAGAAAAACTTTACTTACCGTAAAGTCATACTCCCCCGCTGGCTTCATATATAAACGAACACACTCTGTTCGAACAACTGTTAACAATAAACTCTCAATTATCAAGTAATTGACCATCACCTTGCGTATGTCTGTCAAACTCACCAAGTAAACTCTCCATCTCAATCCTCTATCTCTAAACATCGGGCTTCGGGCCCCCCGGGCAGGGCCCGGGGCCCCCCGAATTTTCTCATCAACACATTGATGAAGGCAAAACCGTAAGTCGTAAATATATATATATATATTTGATACTACCAACCATCTATCAGCTCTGCACACGATCACTCAACCAACTGCTTCACCAATAAAGAAATGAACTCCGACTCATAGACAAAAAATCTATCAAATACAATCAGCTCACATAGACAAAAACAAAACACTAGACCAAATTTTTTTTAAAAAAAGTCTCTCACAAACAACGAACAAGAAGTTCATCACGAACAAACTTTGCCAAACATAGCCTTCACACAAACAGTCACGAAACCAACAAGTCAATAAAGACATACTCGACCACATAGTAATCGACAGAGAAACATACACTGTATACTAACTATCGCGCCTGGACGCCGCACACGTTCCATAGCCAAGGAGAAATATAGAAAGAAACACTTCCCACAGAAGTGATTGACCATCGACCGAACTAACATCCGTCGAATAAAGCAATATCTTCTGAGACAAACTCAGCACAGCACACAGCAACGAACTCTTCAAAAATGGTCAGTAAACACTACCGCAAAGGGACATATACACCTACAACGACCCTTCAACTCCTTCCTAGCTGAATCAAACAACGATTCAAAATCAAAACTCTTCTTGTCCAAGACAACACGGCCACCGACGGTCGAGATCTTTATTCGATAAAAATGACTGACGTGACCTTCGTCCGATGTCCAAGACACCTTGAACCCACCACGGCGAGCAGCCTGTAGAATATCATCCGGAACCGCCACAGGACGGCCATGAGACGGCTTCCAAAAACCCATCACGGACACAGGAACTTAACACAGGGACAGTCCCTGAACTGTCAACAGGAACACGAAAATTATTCTAAAAGAAAAAACTCCCAGAACCAGGGAGGAGTATACTCTGTATTTATATCCGTCATAGTACGTATGACACAGACGCTAAGTCTTAGTCCCCCACGTGTACTCACGAAGACGAGGACTATCAGACGACATCTGTCGCAGCCCAACAAGGTACCGACCGCCAACTCCCAAGTCATATTTGCCATCCGGATCTACGATCCAACGAACGTATAATCAAACCGCTTCTCGCCATCCTCATCTTCAGGATGGCCACACGCCCCAGCAACTAACACTCGCTGGATAGGAACACCCAAACCGTTCCTGCCGAACGCCTTCTCCAGTACACTCGAATAATCGAAAGGATCGACTGGAAATGCAGTCGACCAATCCTCGACAATACCGTCCATCTCTAACCGATAGTCCTCAAATAAAGGGACTCCGTAAATAATCAAAGACTAAAATCACTCACCAACAAGTGAATTAACTAAATCAACTTTGCTACAAAGCAAAGAAAATATCCTAATATTCTAAGGGGCCCAGAGTGACCTAGTAGGAAATTTTGAAAGCGGCCTTTGTCAAAGCTGTTAGTTGCCCGTTCCCCTTTAATATATACAGCGCTGACATGTTATTTAACAGATGGACCAGATACTGTGACGGCTAATATCTGTGGCTCAGCTAAAGTTCTTTTGGATTCCAGGGAGGCTCTGCTCGAATTTAGCAATCCTTCTGGTGACTGGCAAGTATGGAAGCTTCCTCAGTATGAGCCCGGAAAATCCATAGAAACCGGCGTAGATGCTGGTGGTCCGAATCAGCCATACCAGAACAATATCCTTTCATGATTTCAGAGACGGGCTTTTGAACGTATCCATGCCATGTTAAGGATACAGTGGAGATCCTTTGAAGTATATAGTCTCTTAATCTCCGGGTTTATTTCAAGTCTGCAACCATTATTGCAAACGCAGGGTGTTGTATCCATAGGAGTTTCATAGATCCTACCTTAAGCTTTGGAGTTGAGATTTAAACGGCCGTCTATACACGGAGTAGTTATGATTGCGATTTGCGAAAAAGCTTCTGGCGGATATGGCCATCGTATCAGAGCCAGAATCGCAGCGCCCCCCAGCTGCTGCGGCCTGACCAACGACGGATTCACTGAGGCTCCCCACCAGCTTCTACAAAAGTCGCCGTCCAAATGGAATAGTGGACGATCTACTCAACCGCTGTCCGTGCAATCGTATTGACCAACTAATTTTTGTATTTTGTTGCTCGTTAATCTTGAAAGGGAAAATAGTCAGTTAAAAACTGATGACGCAGAGAAAGAATAAATGACTCTTTGCGCTCACCAAGTTGCGTCCAGATCTCTAGATACCAAAGCCGCAACCTGAACGGCGAATGAAAGTTCAGGGGTCAGATCTGGTTACAGAGTACTCAAATAGTGCTAGTGGAGTTGAATCCAACAGCGGACCGGCCTACTTGTCTTACACTGCTGACAAGGAGGCACATTCAGTTCGCTCATAGGACGAAGTGAATTCGCTCGAATATACCTATCAGAAACTAGAACTAGTCTGGTAACGCAAAAAAAAAGAGCAACAAGATTCGGATAGAATTTCAGATTTACAAAGCATGAATTAGCAATGTGCTTTAAACAAATACTCATTGCTGACATGCGCAGAATTGGCCCAAAAGGAGGATTAATCAAAGCAAGATAAAGATCGCAGGACTCCAACGAGACTACATTTCTTTGGATTCAGCTTTCTTTCAGTGATATAATGATGACCCACTTTCTTGGAGCTGCGGGCCGGAGAAGGTAGCTTTCCGATTTTTCACTGATACCATGCCACTTTCTTGCTTGCGTTGTTGCATGCTCAAGACCGCGGCTGAAACCTCTCTAGCTTTTCACTAATCTTTCGGGAAAACTGATTGAATATGTTATCAAGATAGTCCGTGGTCACCACATGTTCTTCTAGATGGTCCATGCGAGAATTGAGATTCGAGAATTTCTTGTCGAATTCATTCCGCAACTGATTCAATCCATCGTCATAATTTGGGGGAAAGGTGGATTCCCGCGTCTGTCTGGGCGTTTCAAAGTCTGGAGGAACCGAATCTCTCGAGTAGGTTGACACAGAGGGATCAATTGGCGCTGTGTTACGCCAATTGAGAGCCTTTTGCAGAAGGACTTCCTGCCTGCCATCCCATTTTGGCCTCATGGGTATTATAACATTGTTAGGAGTAAATTCCCGTGGGAGCAACATATGGTCTCTCTTCGCTAGCCCCTCCAGGATCTTATCAAGCTCCTCGTCGGCGGGAAGAAGTTTTTGGACGTCGCATTTCTGAATCATCCGGGGCCAGATAGAATTTGCGAATTTAACGCAGACCTCAGCGTGAGCCGACTGACTCGAATGGGCAACACTAGTCTGCTTTTGCGTCATCGTATAAAAGAAGACCTCTTCTATCTCTCCGTCTTTGTCCTTGCTATGTTTGCGATCTGCCGCCCAAAATGTGTACTTACTCTTAAGCTTACGCCATTCGTTCAAGATTTCGCTACCAATCGACTTTCTCATTTCGACCCTGAACTTTTTAGATTGGACGTCGAAGACTTGAACTCCAAAAGAGCTTTGGTCCCCGTTCCGACCATGCTTTTTCTTTTCAAAAAGTACCAGGAAGCCATTGCCTTGCAGTGTTCTGTACGGCCAGTATTCTGTTGCACTCCGGTTTTCTTTGTTGTAGATACTCCGATATTCATAAGTAACACCGTCGTTCGTTGGATCAATCAAAAGTCCACTTAACCACTTCTGCGGGATATTGTGGCTCCGACAAAGATAGTAGAGCTTAATTTTAGCTTTCCCCAACTTTTGGGCATATTCGTCGGATTGAGAATCTTCTGGTCCCGTGACCACCTCTTGGCTGATCGTTTTCTTCAACTCGTCGAAGGGAATAGTGAAGTTGGTGGTATCTGCTGGTTTGCACTTTAGAAGTTGCGCTGCAGAAGAGCAGATACTGTCATTCATAAGTCGAAGTATTTTGCCGGCCTCCTTGTCACCGGAAATGTAGTCCCTCAAAGGCTCAATAGCTTTGTCGTAGTACTCCTTCAAGTTGGACTGTAACTGTTCTCGAACATCATCACTCATGGGCGTCGCAGACCTTCCTCTACCCCTTGAGCCAGGGATATACTCAGACCCGTACTCGTCGCTTGAGTCGTCGGTAGAGTTGTCTTTCTTGTCGTCCTTCTTGTCGTCCTTCTTGTCGTCCTTCTTGTCGTCTTTCTTATCGTCTTTCTTGTCGTCTTTCTTGTCGTCCTTCTTGTCGTCTTTCTTGTCGTCTTTCTTGTCGTCTTTCTTGTCGTCCTTCTTGTCGTCTTTCTTGTCGTCTTTCTTGTCGTCGTTCTTGTCGTCGTTCTTGTCGTCGTTCTTGTCGTCGTTCTTGTCGTCGTTCTTGTCGTCGTTCTTGTCGTCGTTCTTGTCGTCGTTCTCGTCGTCTTTTTTTGGGTCATTTTCGGTGTCAGTTTTGCCGTTTTCTCCATTATTCTCGCTCTCGTCCTCGCCACTGCCGGTTATGTTGATGGAGCTCAGCTCTTGACGATTGTCAGTACGTGCAGTTTCATATAAAATTTTTTAGACGACTGACTTGCAAGTGCATCACCAGCGCCTTGAATTCCCCCCTTTTCTGCCAATGCTACGACATCCCGTAGGAAATCTTTTGCCTCCTCTCTATTTCCCTGGAAACCGTCTATATCAAATAATTTCGAATTGTTGAGTTCATGAATCGTTTTGAATTCTTTCCCGAGCACATCTTCAAGCTCGTGAAGTTTCGCTTGTGACAGATTATTGCTGACATTTCTTACATATTGAGGAAGGTTGTTGTCATCGATGAAGCCCTTCTCCACCAGTTTTTTATAGGCAGCTGTAAGTGGGTACTTGTCCGCCATCTGATGTTATCCGTTGTTCAGTCTGTTCAATTTGTTTTCTGCAATGTGATGGAAACTAGGAGATATTTACGGTATTTAAGCTGCTCCTGCGCCCTTCACTTTCCTGGCCACTTCTCATGAAACGCGGGGCTAGAGAATAACAGCCATAAGCACAATAACATTATCAAGGGGCATCAATATTGCCTTTTCCACTTAAACTGCTCCTACTAAATAATAAATTATAACCTGCTAGGACATTCGATCTAAGAGCTAAATTACAACATTCTGACTTTCTTATAGTGGCATTCCCGTTTTATTCATACCAGCCGGAAGAATTACGAGGTGCTGCTGTACAGTGGGCTCTACCTTGATGACCATGAGAATTTGCTAAGGCATGCACGGCTCTACATGATTTTATTTGCGGTTATGGCATTCTTGTGGTCTCGCAATACTCTTTGCGCGCAAGGGGTGAGTTGAGACGGGACTACACCGTACACGTCCTAAAGAGGAGGCGTGTGTTAATGCTTTTGTTTAACATACAATATTGCACCGTATTCGCCTGAATTATTATCTGCCGGGCTTTTCCAACCTGTATAATTACATGCCTTTCAATAGTGCAATCAAATACGTTCAGTCCACGGCTACCCACTAAGGACATGAAGGGTTCAGGTCCCGAGACGTGGCATTTCTGGGACTTATTGTGTCTCAAAATTAATAGGCGCATCCAGGAACCTTCGTCCATCTCCTTTTGGAAAAGAGCTGCTGTATATGGCCGACGTCCTAGCAATCAAAGAGCCCTCAGCAGAAGAAACCTGAGCTTCCAGCAAGCTTTCTCCAACACGGTGAGCCATGAGGACGAGTACTACCCCGGGCCTGAGGCAGTTTTGGTTGCCGAGATAGTATGTATTCGTATTAAGGATCTTTTCACCGCCGCTGATCTTGGACATGATTTGATGGAAAAGAATTCCAATTATTCCCCAATTGTCGTGGAACCGGATGTCTGCAGGCACCTTGACTTTAGCCTTGATGTATGATGCGGTGGCGTCACAAAGTTCAAGAGCTTCGAAGAGAAAGTCCGGTGTCTTATTGATTTCGGTGAAGAGAGCAGCTGTAGCATCTCTGGAGAGAATATTCTTGTCACTGTGAGGGATTGTCGGTCCGTTCATGTGAGACATGACCTATAGGGATTCGGTAGTCGTGCTGCAGGACCCTGAAATAGCCTTCCTAAAAGCGTCTGTATCTAGTTTGGCTGATAGTAGAAATATCCGTTTTCACAGCCGTCCTTAATAGAAAAATAAAATTACTGAGGTGGTTCGGAATAGAATCAAGCTATACTACTCGGTGTTTACCTGTCAAGATGAGGACCGTGCAGCCGGGGTCGATGTTGAGCAGGAGAGTTTAGTGTCCCTAGCTCGACAGGTTAAACCGATCCGGATATATGCCTACGTACCACATAGGAGAGGTTGAGGCGTTTCTGGGCTGGGTTATGCTCTGTGGCTCAGTTCTACTATTTTCCCCCTTGGTATTGCGCAAGGGAAACCGCCGACCTGCCTCAAAGTGTTCAACCTTTCCCTCTCCTCTGCAAAGCCAGATTACTGTCCATTGCTTTGTCTATCTGCCAGGTGGGTTTGAGATGAGATCATACCCTGGTCACCGCTGCTTGAGAAGAGATGAGAGGATCACCGCATCTCAACCAGCCATCCGACTATTTACCGCACAGAGGATCTTATGTCGGAATTCGCCTATGTAGAGATGCTCTCCATACACATCACTCCTTCGCCCGGGTAAGACATGCACCTCCATGATGCTAGCAAAATTCCCCGTCGAAGTGTTTTTGCTCATTATAGGCTTGGTTCGTATGCTTGGATTCTCTTGATAGTGTGGCGTGACGAGGCAGTTAGTCACGTCAAGTTCGGTCTACTAAGACTGGGAGCATTACGGCAAATTTCAAGCTATGTCCATAAAGGACGTCCGCGACGCGGCCGGTGAGTGGGGAAAAGGATGAGGGTGTCGAGACCTTCGCACCCAAGACATATTCTTTAGTCCTATAGTGGAGTTTGGAACGGCCACCACGGATCCGTACTGAAACCCGAGCATTATGTTACGTTATAGACGGGTTGGTTTTGGCTACTTGAATTTCCTCTGGTTGCGAAGTTTGGGCTTGATGGAAGGCTTCTATCGTCCATCCAATGTGGCTGAGAGCACATCAATTGTTGTTTGCTTCTTGCAAGCCAATGTGAATACCCACGTATAGTCTAGCTTTGCCAGCATCCATCTGAGGTCCGTTTGTCTTCAAGAATTGGCTTTGTAAGGAATTTCAAGTTTGCTAAAATATTACCTCAGCCGATACCCATGACCTCTAGTAGCGTAATGGTCCGAATGAGCATTGAATCTTTCATGCGAGCTGCTATCGATTTTGGTGGTTGCAGTAACTTCCGTTAAGCCCAAGGAACCAACTACCGTAATTAATATGTAGACCTATCTTTGTGTTTGCCATCTTCATTATTTATCGGCTTCGCCTCACCAGATAGAGAAATAATTCTCGACACCCTGGCCAGACCTCGCAGGAAGCTCTCTTCAACCCGACCCCTATTACGCGAAATAGACTTCGGGCCTTCAAGATACTAGCCCTACCGGTTTAAGTGGAGTGATAATCTATGTTCTCTAGCCGAGTCCATATATAGGCACATCTGACGTGCCACTAGATCCCATCAATAGCAGGATTTTCCACATGGACACTTCCGAGGTTGACCTGGTACGAGAAATAAGTTGGCATCGGGCTCGTAACTGCTTCTATCGAACAGGTTACGCCTTACTCAAGGAGTTGCAAGGGATCGTAGAAAGAGCCACTGATGATCTTTTATTCTTATATTATTCTGATCCCTCCCTCCCCCAACAGCTCCCAGATTATAGAAGTGTAACTGATATTCTAACTAGGCTCGAAGAAGATTTAAGACGTATCTCCGAGCGAGAGACTGCGGCGATCAAATGGTGGAACGAGCTGTGGGAACCCTCTAATGTCGAAACTAGGCCATCACGGAACTGTAATTCCTAGACTCCGAAATATCAACTAGCAGAAGCAGTGGGAAGCCCTGTTCCGGACAAATTTCACTTCTCGGTGAGCTCTGTCTTCTGGAGCGTAGGTCGCAGTTATCCAGCTTGGTAATCGGAGCTTCGACTTGCATTGACAGATGTCGCGGACTATGTACTGTATCTACGAAGCTGAAGCCATTCAAATAATCCTTGTGATAGACTCATTGTAGGCCGTCGGAAATCTCAAGTGACTATGAAGTAGCCAAGATTTATCAATCCGCTTGCGTACCTGACATGCCCGTTTTAGTGCTAGACATGGCAATGCTGACAGTTGCTTAATATATAGAGGAGCGCTGGGAATCGGGTGGATAACTAGCTTAAAGCACAAATCCCGATGCAGTGGATATAACAGCAAACTAAATGTATCGAAAGACAACAGCCTAGCCTTGGCCCGTTATGCCAGCGAACATTGCCCATTCCAGAAGCTATCCACCAGTATGCGTCACGATGATGGGCTGCTGGCCCGTTGGTCCACGGGGATTGTTGTCCCTCCCGCCTTCCCTCTGTATATAGAACCATCGCAATACAGAGACACTGCCTCCCTCCTAGTGAGCGCGGATGGGCCCTATCTGGCGCTACGGTCTAAGACCGCAAGCGACAGGTGACCCGTTATGGCCAAACTACTGCTTTCCTTGTTCTCTTGACTGAGTGAGGTCACCATAAATTGGACATATAAAAATATGAACCCCGCCATTACTGCGCCCTCCGCGGTCACCTATGTCATAGTCACTGTTCCCAAGTGGCGGACACCGAGCATCCAGACACGTGTTGGTTATGGCGAAGTATTCAATGGTTCTATATTATTAACCGTACCGCGAAACTTTATTTGCTATCGAAGAAAGAGACGGCATCGTTAACAAAACATGGTGGCAAAGCAGTTGATTCACGAGCTGGCAGCGCCGAAAGGCCCTGATATCGAGAAGTGAAACGTAAAAAAAGCACATTGCAGCACGAAGAAGCCACAGCGACGCAGGTCAACCCCCGCGAATGGTGGGCAAAGTCGACATCCGAGCACAAAGTTGCTCTTCAACTGTCTTCGAGATTTTTCCGAGAAGTGGGACGTAAGGTCGCTGACTATACTGTACCTACTGTACCAAAGACCACACCCTGACAAAAGAAACGCTGAAAAGAAACAGGCCGCAAATTTGATACGGCAGTGGAAAATACCACAGACCAGTCCCCTAGCACGGGCTAAAGGGCGCTCCAGACTGAAGGTTATTTATTCTACAGTCGACCTGTTCGTCATGGATTGGCTCTCGCGGTGTCCAATGGCAAGAATACCGATGTGGTAGGCGATGCAGCAATACTTGGTCATTACCATTCCAGTCTGTAACATAAATTTCTCACTGTTGTGCAGAGCTGAAGATCTCCAGGTTCCGAAAGTGGTTGATTGCCTTGTGTCTCCACCTTCGCTTGATGAGCAGACAAGTACAGTAAGTTCTCAGTCGCTCAAGTTCGGGCATTATAGCTAAACGGACTTCTGTGATTCCACAGGCCGTACAGCACCTGATAGCTGGCGCGGAGTGCATGAATACTCTCACTCAGACGCAGTTAGAAGATTTATTAAGGTCACTGCAAAGCTATCAAAAGCAGGACTCCAGGATGCAAAGCTCCCGAAAGCTCTTTCGTCAGCAGTGTACGTAAACTACCTCCATTTACTTATTTACCGAGTCAAGGACGGAATGCTCTGGATTTTGTGCACTCAATTGAGGTGTATGAAGACATCACGCTTTAGGCCTCAGATATTCTAATGTTTGTTGTAGCGCTTGAACTTACTGAAGGAAGTGGTGATCTCGCGGTCTTCCACGCCGACCCAGCTATGCTTGAAAATTCACCGAACGTTGGACTACCAGCGCCTGGTTCCTACCATTCGCGTCCGTTATCAGACCAAGAGGTTTTTTCTCAGTGGCTCCGCGACACGAGCCAGGACCCGAGAGAACCGACCGGCACTTCGGAGGTGTCTGTAACACAAGTCAACCACGACCTTTCGACAACAGACCCCCATCATCCAGTATTTCGTCTAACAGGAAATCGCAGTGGATCGGATGAGGTCCCCGAATATTTGCCGGCACAAGATATAGACGATGAATCAATGGACCCGGAACTGTCCAAGGCCAAAGAGAAACTCGATAAGAAGTATCATAAAGCCTTACAGCTTATGTATACTTACAAAAATCCGGATGGATCAAGCGGTTTCTTGAATAAAATGGCTGAGGTCGTCAAAGGAAGCAGTGACATTCTGAGAAGCGATCTTGCAGATTTTGCAGAAAAGCAACTTCGAGGATGGTTCGAGTACGGGCTGTGGCCGCCCCAAAGCCATTCCCAGGCGAGGAATAGCACTTGCCATCAGCTGTCAAGGGACATACAGGACGCGAACCTAGTAAAAGACCCAGAGACCCAAAAGATGCTCCGTCGAGTGGCGAGAGTCCGTCTCTATCTCTTGTTCTGGGAGCACAAGAAAGAACTGGAGGCGGAAGAAGTGAGCCGGGAAGACTCCGGCATTGAAAGATCGGACGAACAACACGCGGGCCAGGATGAACCTGGCAGAGAAATGAATGAGCAAGTCGCGCGCAGCTCAGTAGGCGTTCGCAAGGATACTCGCGCAATTGATACTCTCCTTGGGAAGTCGATCTCCAGCTGGATGGGAATGGATCAGCACAACAAAGATCAGTACCGCCGAATTTTCCTGAAGGACAGAAAGACTGGAAAGAGATGGTGTGAATTAGTCCACTACTTTGGCCCAGGAGTCTTGGTCACGTGTGGTATAAAAATAGACAGATTGATGTATGTTCCCACGAGGTTACCGCAGAGAAGAGCTAATCCGCGAGACAAGAAACGGAGCCTCCAGCAACACCGTTCATGCCCTTGCTACGTTCATCGTTACATGCTTCCCCGACGTCCTAAGGGTTTGTCAAATGTTTGACAACGTGGCAAAGACATTTCTAGGACGGAGAACAGGTGAAAAAGTCTGGTGGGATGAGCACATTCAGAAAAAGATCGGCGACGACATAAAAGACATCGTGAAACGGCTAGAGAATCATACTCTCGACGATAACGAGAGGCCGATCATCCATAGCCCACTTACGCAGCCTTCGGTCGAGCAGCTTACAACGCTAATATCTGAAGTTCTACGCTCTGAAGAGAACCGTAGGATTGAAGATGGCTTGTGACATAGTCAGTCCCAATAGGTGTTCCTTCATCCGTGGCAGATCGAATGAACGAAAACAGCCGGACAGGGCAAATAACTAGCGCTTGGCAGTCAATCTGAAAGACCGCTTCTTTGGCGGCTGCGAAGAATTACAGTGCATGTACACATCCTCTCCATAGACGCGACGATTTATTTCCGACGCCACATAAGCCAAGCGTCAGCATATAGTGTCAATCGCATTTTACACGACGCGTTATGAGTCCTCAGTCTTGGTTAACAATTATGCGGCCCTCTCGCTTCCCAATTTGATAGGATATACATGGTATTGTTGCCCTTCCTTGACGCAAATATCTGATATTCGGACCCACCTACAAACTGAAAGTCTTCTTATGATTCTCACTCCAACATCACTGGCTACCTACATGCTGTTGGAAACACAGCTTATAGAAGGCAACACCTTTCAATGAATACGCGCTAGGACGCGAGCCAGTCGCGTTCAACTGATTTCGACCTTTGCGCTTGATCTTCACCACTTTTCCTGAGCGGCCCTGCGGTACCCAAGAGCCATGGCGCTACTGACACGGGACGGAAGCTATTAATCAAGATTTGGTGGCTAGGGGCACATACCTGCCCGCAAAATACCATTAGAATGTTTGCGTTGACCGCCACCGTTCCGACAGGGTTTAGGGGATATGTGGCCAGGGCACTTTCTGGGAGAAGACAGCATTCTATAAAGTCATGGCGTTCCATTTACCATGTTTTTTATACGATGTACTTGATGCACCAAGCAATTTTGTTTTCCCCGTGGGAGAGTACGTATGCCAGCGCAATGCCGCTGTTGCAGAGAGCAATTGGGGTGCATTGGACTTGAGACCCATTACGGAAGATCTTAAGTGATTAATCAGTTATCACCGTGAATTATTGTTGTGTGAAGGTTCTACTACAGCGGTTTACATGTTAGTTGAACACGGCTAGTGATGTTGGGTATAGAGGTTCTAGACAATTGCCATCCTTGTTCAACGGTTTCCAGAAGCGCCACGAATTCTTATCCAGGACCCGTCAGAGTTCGTAGAACAAGCATGGGCCCAAAACAAGGCAGCTGATATGTCCATAGCGGTTCGTAGCATAAATACCGCTTTGTGAGGACTAGCCAATTACAGGGCCAAACGATTCTATTGGATCCATGACACGAGAGATAGCACAGTAGCTGTTCCTTTAATATCTCGCCTCGGCAGCGATGTCGCTTGAACAAACCACATTTGTATAGGTGCGGTCGCGACAGTATGGCTACTGAACTCTTTCCGAGAAGCGTGATTGCTAGCACAACTGCCTTTGCTAGCAGCCCTATACCAGGTCCTTCGATGACTGTGGAGCACAATGCCGCTACACCACCTTCCCCCAGGATAACTGGCGTTACACAGACTACCGCTGTATACTCGCAAAGTGAGGTTTCCGCTTCTACTACTCTCGCTGTATACGCGCAAACGAGTTCGAGAAGTAGTAGCCTGGAGAGCCCTTTCACACGAATACCGTTTGTGCAGGTGCCTATTTCATCTTCTACCGACTATGTGACATCCGCGCCGCCGACCGCGTTGCAGAGCCGCTCTGAAATCGTGACTAATGAAACTCTTGTTGCTACTCGCGATGCAAGTGTGACCGCTCTGGGAAATAGGCCTTCTTCCATTACAGATACTCTGAGCGATGAGTCGGCTCTTCAGTCCCTTGGTAGGACATCCTTTGTCAGTCAAATCAGCCTGAATGGTGAAATGAGTGTTACGACGAGTTTACCTAGCGCCAATTACCCAAGCTCAGCCAGTAGTGCTCCTGCAACTCTCGTTGGCAACATGCCGTCCCTGGGACAATCAAGCCTGGTTACTGAAACTTCCAATATGATTGACAAGGCGGTAATTCAAACTCCTCAGTTTGAAAGTTCTCCTCGTGCGAAGAGTCGACATGCTACAACCAGTGACATGGGCAGCAACAGTCGGGATGCTCTTTCTATTGATACCGCGACTTTATCCGCGCCAGCGGAGATCAAGCTTGATATGACTAGGGATGTCTCTGAGCTACCAAAATCTTTGTCTTTGTCCTCCAGGACAGTGGGAGCTTCAGCGCAGGGGATCTCTGAGCAATCAGTTACAACGAGCGCTCCCAGATACGACGTCTCGCGATCTGGGGTAGGGGAAAACTCCACTGGAACCCAAAGTCAGGAACTCGACGACACAGCTGACAGCGGTTCCAGTAAGAGTGGTTCCTCAGGGCAGAGATCCTCAACGACGACGCTAGCCAGCCCGAACGGTGAATTGGGTGTTACAATGAGTTTACCTCGCACATACCACCTAAGCTCAGTCAGTAGTGCTCCTGGGACTCTCAATAGCAACGTGTCGTCTCTAGAACAACCAAGCCTGAGTTCTGAATCTCCGAGTTCAAACGCCGAACCAATAATTTTCACAACCGAGATTGCTCACGAAAGCCCTTCGCTTGTGAATAGCCAGCAGCCTACGACCAGCGAACTGGTAAGCAGTCGTGTGACTGCTCCTACGGGTAATGCGAGTGCGGACACATCAGTAGAGAGCAATCTTAGTAAGATAAGTGATGGTTTCGAACTAAAATCTCCGTCAAGATCCACCACAGCAGTAGGGTCTTGGTCGCAAGGAACTTCTGCGCCGTCAGTTACAATGGGCGCTTCCAGTGGAAATATCTCGGAGCTCTTTGGGTTGGGGGATCCCTCCACGGGAATACCCAGTCAGGAAGACGGAACTAAAATTGGCCATACTCCCAAAGGTACTGCCATGAGCGGTGCTATTGTCAGTGTTACAACGGGAGAGAAACCCTCAATCACGAAGCTGGGCCATTGGACAACTTCCTTTGAACATGCCGTCATGACCTCAATTAAGCAATTAGCCGAGCAAAATGGGGAAGAAGTCTCCCTTCTGCTGACAGCAGGCAACCAGTCATCCCACCTATCCCAAGAGGGACAGCTCACCAGCGGCAACTCTACTAGAAGTACTAACCATTCGCAGAATGACCGCATTACGTCGACTCCACCACCCCAACCTGCAGAAATTGAAGATCCCAGCGGAAGTGTTCTTGCTAAGTCTACGTCGCATAGCAATGTAGCAAATTTGTCCATTTTGTCGCTATCAATGCCAGTCATGCTTCCGTACGCACTGACAAAATCCACCCCAACTTTATCTGACCCTGCGGTTGCCACGATATTAATTACGGCCCTCAGCGAGCTTACGCCTGTTACCATGGTACATCCCGTTCATTCAGGAAGCTTCCGAGACGCACTACCGTCGGAGCACAGCCACCAAACAGATGTTCTATCAGTCACGTCCACTGAAGTACGGAATTTTGAATCATTTACGGACGCCAGTACTTCTACTGCTCGGCCGACCCGTGATACAGATGCTGTATACCAGGCCTCACAATCGCACAGCGTAAATAAGTCAAGTGTTTTCATATCTGTGGGTGTGGTTTCCGGTGCACTTTGCATATTCCTAATCGTATTTGGGTGGGCTCGTCATTGGTGTAAGAGCGAGGGGATGATACGGACCGCTCGCGCAGAGACGCAGAAACTGACACCACGAGACCCAAACCGCTCCTATTTCTCCCTTTATTCTGAAGATGGATCTTGAGATGCTGTGCTGTACCGTTTCATCGCCTTGTTCACTGCATACCTATTAGAGCCCTAAGGCTATTGTTATGCTGTACAGCTCGTAGTGCCGGATTTTCTTGAGCGATAAGAATATTACCTATCCATAGCCGTTCGCCGAAGCGATACGCAGGTATCAACTACAGCTAATCCTCATGTGGGCCTAGTCATATTTATCCGGTTACATGAGGGCTAATTACAGCGCCTGATTTGTTCTAACCCTGCGATAAGGGAGGGGCTTGATACCATTGTGGGAACCGATCTTGCGTTGGACGGGAATCGAACCCATAACCTCAAAAAAGCAGCGTCACCGCAGCAGGATGGTGTAGCATATATACTTGGAAGGAAAGTCTTGATTATTTAACTCTATAGGTTCATGCCTAACATGGTCATCCAACATAGCAACTACTGGTTCCGAACCCCACCTTGCCGTGCCTTGACCACCATCGCACGCCCGACAGAAACGATGAGCAAAAGAGACGAGATGAACGTTAGGCAATGTTAACCCACCCGCCCGAGCCTCTAAACTTCATCGCGCATCAACTGCAAGCGTCTGGAGCTTCCTGGATAACCTCGTCAGCGCTGGGATGTTTCTGGGCTTTTGGTCTGAGCTTGCGGCGTGGGCCGTCCGCTTTATTTAGGGCACGGAGAACACCGCCCCGAGATACTGCCGTAGTAATGTCTCTTAAATAATCATCAGCTTTGTGGCTGGGAGGAATGTCAACAGGATCTGGGATGGGTTACATGTCCTGATCCAGAAGGATGATTTTAAGGCCGCGGGGCTGGAAAGTGTCGCTCAGGCAGCTTTTCAGGGCCGGCGACCTAGAAAACCCACCAAGGAGGAGAATGACCTACAGCATTTAGCGACAACTAGACTGGTTTCAACGGGGTATGTCCAGGGACGTCGGAGGGCAGTAGACAGCTTTACCTTGACATCTTCGTCATTAAGTTGCTCCAGCTGTTCCTTGATCAAATGTACGGTTCCAAGAAGACTTTGGCGGTAGTAGTTATCCATTTGTTCTCTGTAACTCCGTCAGGACGTGGATATGTGTGGACTTGCTGGTGTCTTACTTTCTGATGAAAAACATCCCCTTCCCAAAATTCCTCGGCGGGTCCTCCCTTAGGCAGTAAATGCGAAGACCTCTACTCTCACCCTCCTCCCAGTCAGCTGGATCGTAGATTCGTTTTAGCTCGTTCTCAAAGGTACGAAATAGGTCTTGTTGAAGGACTGCTTCTTTGGAATATATGGGCTCCCAGCCCAGCTTAATGATGTGGGCCAGTCTTTCTCTGGTTTCCTCAATAAAAGCCTGGTTTATATAGCTTGAACCGCAGTATTTCCCTGTTTATTGTTGTTAATGTGTTGCCCAGTATAAGTACTGGACGGGGGTTTACCGGTTGGGGTGGCTATTTCATCGAATCTGAAGGGATCCTCCTGCCGCACCTTGTAGGTGATCGCGTCCTAGAGAAAAGTGAATCATAAGTCACCTACAGCTGGTGATAGAGCATAAAAGCTTACAACAGTACCACCTCCGGCATTGCACACAACGAAGTTGGACCCTTTCTGCAGATTGTGAGTACCATCAACGAAGACACAGCGACAGCATCCATACATACTTCGATATTTTCGCGGATGTTTTCGTGGCGCAGGGCAAAGGTTGCTGCAGCTTCAGGTTCGTCAATAATAAATATAGAAAACTCCCTCCCTCTCATATCCGTCTTGTCTACTACCTCAAGCAGAATTTCCCGCATTGTGAGTTGCGCGTACGTTGACCACTTGGATGGCACGCACAGAACCAGTTCGACCTCCCAAGTATTATTGAAGCCCTCATATTTTCCCAATTGGCCATGGGTATGCTCAAAGACTTTCATGAGGTAGTCCATAATAGCTTCCCTGGCAGTTCTACCTACCTTGCGGAGGGCGTTCCTGGGCTGTGACAGCCGATCATCATCAACGCTCTCCCCGTCATCATCCAATAACAGTTTCGGAAGTTGGATGATATAGTTCATCGAATCTGCGTCATCTTTCTCTGATAGATTGCGTAGCGTACGTTGCACCTCATGGCCCCACAGGAAATTCCCATCACGATACCAGCTTTCGCTAGGCACAAATGGGCCCGCTGCGTTGGCAGATCGAATGGCCATCGGCCAGTTTGCTATGGATCGGATTCCTCCTGGATGGACGTGTACAGGAGGGTGGTCTGGGTTGAAGGTGATATACGAAATCGAAGTTAGGGTGGTTCCATAATCGAGGCATAGGAGAATTTTTTTCGCAGTAACGGGATTTTGCCCGTTTCGTGGACTGCGTCGCAGCTGGACGTCATCTTCATCCGTTACCCTGCACATGGAGGTGCTGGTTGAGGAATCCATATGAGCAAGTTTACGCCGTACGCGTCTTGGTGGATTCGATCGCTGGGCCATAGCAAACAAAAAATTGATGGCGTATAATGAGCACATTCGGTGAAAAGAATTGGGCGAACTCACCACTCAAATTAATGATTTATATAGTGCTGGGCACGGGCAGAGCACGGCTGCGACAACTAGGCAGCAACTGCCCTTGACTGAGAATTTCTTTGCAATCTAAACTGGGATTGGTGTAGTCCTGCTGCAGGTCAACAAGGGTCTCCTTTAAGCCTTGACTTAAACAGGCAGGCCGGAGGCCGCACTTTTGGATACATCGAGGCGCCTTGACCCTCGTTCTCTCCCGTTCCTGATGCCATCACCCCCTATATTTCTCCCATTGATAATATGGGCTTTCTTAGAAGCTAGCGGACAGAAAGACCGCATCTCACTCAACATTATGAGGAGATGACTCAGGGGAAAATTCTGAAGCTACTGTACTGTAACCTGCAAGCAACAAAATATTCCGGTCAGCTAGACGACCGTGCCCAGTGAGAGGAGAAAAGCAGAGCCAGGAAGATCTTCCCCATGTTGGGTAGAGTGCAGAGAGCTTTGAGTCTCGCTGTTGGGACTTTTGTACAGTAGAGCCACCCTCCATCCTCGAGACCACCGTTTATAAACTCCGGCTCTGGTAGCAAGCGCGGGCTATACTGTATTGTCAATTCCTCCTCGGTAACTTCAGACGCGCAATTACCAGATTCCCGATGGATTAACTTCCGGAAGAAGATTTAAAATTCTGCAAACAAATCGTAGGATTCCAAGTTTCAAGGCTGACTCTTCTATTGATGCTATAGAAACGGTACTGTTAGCAGTAGACGTACTGGATTATCTAGCTGGCGTACTACCATTTTGGAGATTATTCTTGTTCCTGAAATGGCCACCGCACTTGACGCAGAGGAACGTCATCATATTCTCTATTGGATATTGAGAAGGAGGCTATGGGCGCGCAAGAAGGCGCGGAATTGTTCAACTATGGGTCATTGCTCTTCTTAGCGCACAAGCGGCAGCTCGGGGTGCACAACTTGAACAACAACTGCCTTGCTAGTTGATAAGCTTAACTCCTACCAGATTGCGCACCGAATCCTAAGTACTCGGCCGTTTGGATATGCTTCAACCTGCTGCTGCTGATGCTTTATGATAGTTGCCGTTCTTTCCCTCAGGATCTTCGCCTAAATGCGACAAACCCGATAAATTGAAACCTGTAAAGAACCTTGAATTATAGCATTGTACGAGAAGTTTATATTCTATTGCGAAATGGTTAGAATTTAATACCAGCGGCTGTCTATCATCTGGTAGCCGGCGACTGTATGGCCACTTTGTCTCAACTAACCTCTGCCACGGTACGATTACCAGAGACCAGTCCATTAGAAGCTTAGTTAATGTAACCTGAATTTAACGTATGCATACTATACACCATAGCGAGTACTGTTTACATCTTTACAGTGGCAAATCCTATGCTTTCCAGCTCTCCGGAGTCGGGTTTCCGAACTACGTTATTATGCAGACATATTGTACTGTGCATTGATGTAGGTCAATTGCATATATACGACACGCATCCAGCTATAGCCAAACAGATCGCTCTGGGCGAGACTTCATGTTCTGTACAGTGACCATTTATCTTGATCCTCTGCGTATTTCTGCGCTTATCAGGGAAAACGCCACGGTGCAATGCATTTGAATTCAGCGCCAAAAGTGTCTCACGGCAAAAGAGAGCCATCTCTAGCTGGGAAAATGCGGCATCAGTCATTGCTCCTTTCCATCCCATGTCGACAACAAGCCTCTTGACATCGGTCTACCATACAGGAGCAGAATGTAAAGCCAAGCCGGTTGTGGCGAGCCCCGTCTTGCTATCGCCACTTTCGGATACCCTCCCCTTCAGAAGGCCCCATAGTTCCTATTCAGAGTTCTCTGTGCTTGGGCCGGCGGATAGTCGTACGGGCTGCAATGCGCTTTCCCAGTAGCCACCCGTTCATTGCTCAAACGGAGGGTTATTTCTCCCCACAGGGAGCGCAACCGCTTGTCATATCGAGCCGTTATACGTAGAGAGAGCCCTGCCCTTAGCGGAAGAAGATAATCTGTAGCCATGTCGAGCAGTCTTTTCTGGGGAGCGAGTACAGAAAAGACCTCTTGCAACAACATGTTCACTACTGCGTCACTCCTTTCAAAGACACTTTCCGGTTCAAGGGTCACCGTTGTTCTAACCCACGATCGATAATCATCATCGCCCTTGTAATGAACGCCCCAAGTCAACATCAGGCGGAGGTCGGAATGTGTGTGGGATTGCGCGGTGGGAGATAACGGCGACAGGACATTTGGGTACGGTGTGTCCTCATAGGCGGGTGCGTCATCATCTATGTCCGAAACATTGCAGCTGCAGGCGGGGGATTGTAATGGAGAATCGCAGTGCTGCCAAGGAACCTTTGTATAACCCACATGCATGACTAGTGAAGGGAACCAATGATGTCGAAGACTTGAAGAGAATATCGTATAGTTTAAGGAGGGCCAGAACGATTTTCACTGTCTTAGAACGAGAGTCTGGCAACAATTATTGAGAATAAAGGAATCAGTTATTTGCAGCTTGTATATGATATGGCCCCCTTTTTAGCCTGTGGTCCTCGTATGGCTGGGATGGAGAATAAACAGTCGTTAGCGTCGCTCCAACAGGCTGCTAATATATTGTTCAACTCTAGCTGCTCAAGAGCTGATACCACGCTAGTGCCCTCGAGCGGGAGAATCCACAGCCCATTATAATCACGAATCGGTTGAGCGGATTCCCGATCACTCCTGGCCAAGTTCTGCCCCGTGAGCTGTGATCAACCGAGCCAATACCCTGTCCATTTGCGCGTTTCTCATGCGGTTAATTGCACCAGTGAGTCAGGTTACAGTTGGAGTTTGGTCGACTAATTTTGTTTGTCTCGTTGAACCCTAAAAAGATATAGAAACTCAGCGGTACCACAGCCCATTACTCCGTTGGAACACATCGCTCCTTCAAGTGCACACTGGATGTATTGTTTCTTGGAACACTTAATCGCCGCAACAACTTGACCCCACTTGAGCCCACCCGATTTGCTCAACTTGGTGGTCAGGGAGCGCAAGTCTACTAACATATGCGTTTGACATATGCTTTTGCGGTGTATAATAGATGACATGTATTCTATACCCTTTCACGTCAGCTAGCATGTCGCTTGGGAAAATGTCCCGACCCACTCAGCCAGTCGAGAGAGCTACACGAACAAGATCAGATTGAGACTTACTGAAAGATGGAGCCTGACACTAAGGCTAGAAAAGTTGTGTCTGGCGGGCCGAAGCAGCTTGGCCTTCCTCAGGTTGTGAAAGCAAAACGGTCTGCAGAGCCACTGCTAGTAGTTCGAGGCAACGAATCACCGCTCGATACGTTCCAGGAGATTTTCAGCTGCGAGCTCGCTGGGACTGTTCTGTTTATGCAACGTCGAACTCGCCCATATAAGACGAAGACTATTCGGAAGTACACCTCGGAGATCAGGCACAAGATTTTGTGCATCTTCCAGCGGATTCACCACGAGAACATCATGTGCGCCGAAGAATGTTATGTCAACGACGGCACAGTATTCGCCGTAGTCGACAACCTTCCTCTGACGCTCGAACACTTGGTGCAACTTTGTACCCTCTATCCAACGGAAGGTCAGCTAGGGTCTATAATCGCACAAGTGTGTTCCTGACCCGCCGACAACTCGCTCGCTACAGTAACTGACATGTTCGTAGGTTTTGAGCGGTATCACTTATTTGGCGACTGTAGACTTCGAACATCGAGCCTTGACCTGCAAAAATATTCTGCTCGGCAAAGATGGTACGGTCAAAATTGGTATGGCTCTTTAACCCTTTGATGAATCGCTGACGCTAAGGATTACAGCCGCGTTGGAGAACTGCGTCTCACGATCGACAAACCAATCGCACCTTCCAACCATAAAGGCCCTAGGCGATCTGATGATGTATCTTATGCAGAAGTGCGCAAGAAAAGATGGGGTGTTAGGAGTCGACAACGTGAAACGCTGGCCGCTGGATTCGGCCGCCGTCGATTTTCTAACCTTGATCTCTTCAAGTACCTCTCTCTGTCCACTCACGCAGGTATGGTAACCCAACAGTATGGTCAACTAAACCTCGAACTTCAGACCTTACTCACAGTCGTACAGCACGTACTGATCACAAGGGAGAGCGGGAATCGTAGCGATGTTGCTGGCTTGGCTAGCCAGATCCTTCTCTATTACAGAGACCATTTACTCTCCGATCCTGCACTTTCAGCTTTCTGATAATGCAAACTGTAGGTCCTAAAGAATGTAACGTTTGGGTCTTTGTATCAATGAAGGGGGTAACTATGTGCCAGGGGACGTCAAATGGCTCCGGGTAGAACCATGTAGATTACATGTATCCTTAAAAGATAAATCGGACAGCGTATGATTTCGCTAGGTGTATTTATTTTGGTGGATGGAATCTTTATGACATGTTTGGCAGGAGTCGACATAATACTTGGACTTCAATTAGACGATTTACTTCTTTCCGCACTGTGTTCGCTGAAAAGGGCGATGGTTTCATCATGCCCCCCAACCTGATGGTGCTCTCCCATATTCCACTTCTGACGCATGGAGCTTAGATCGTATCAGAAATCATTGAGGCACGTTTCCCCTCGTCTCATCAAATAGCTGCAATCTTCGTCACTTGTCGGCAAAGTTAGGCCGGTGGTCCGACCCTTATCGGGACTGCGCCCCCCGTTCACTGCGACCTTAGCTAGGTCTCGGCCTTGATTCTTAGAACAAAGTGATCGTGGTCTCCCTTCGCCAAGTTTAACTTCTAGAAAGCCAAATGAAGGACTTTTTGTGTAACCCTGACGTATGAGGAGGACGAATGAAGTGCCGCTGCCGGTGACATCTCGCGCATCGACTCACAGAACACCTAACAACTAACAATCCCGCAAGACAGGATATGGCCCACGAGCAGGGTTGAGCGACTGCCTTGGATTCAATCATATGTTCTCGGTATTGCTTGAGGCCTTCTGGTTTCGACTAATAGCGCAAAGCTAGCTATGCCAACGATCGAATACTGTGCGAGTTGACCCTGTGATTGCGCGCCGGACTGCACGGAGCAGAGCGCAGACAAATTTCTGCTTTCACTATTGACTTTTCTCTAGTCAGCAAGCCTTCGTATACAGTATCATATTTGCTCTATAGCATTCCAGGTTTCCTTTTCGAGGTGACGGTTCTCTTTTTCCTTTCCTCACCGCTTCTAGAGGAGTCGCTACGCTGTGCGTCTTAGGACTGGACTTGCACGCACGGCTGAATCATTGTTTATTCGGTTATACACATCTTGAACGTGGTATGAAGGCCGCTGCTGCTCGCCATGGTCAAGCCGGACGTACGTAGGGATTATTACGCGGACCTGGGCCTGACGCCCAGCGCGGACCTGGAAGACATCAAGAAGCAGTACAGGAAATTAGGTATGGCAGCAGCAGCACACTCAGTGGCTCTGCTTGAATGCCTTTTAGGTTAATGAGATTTCAGCCCTCAAGTACCATCCCGATCGAAACCCAGGTCGAGAGCTCGAGTTCAACGCCAAATTCCAGGCTATCCAAGCGGCTCACGAAATTCTTAGTGACGCCAAACAGCGCCGAACCTACGATTTAGATCGACTACGTGCTGGATACGGCAAGAGTTATGGTCCGCCCAAGCCAACGCCACAGAAAAAGCCTGCTAACCCTGACGCCTCGGCACACCCCCCGAAGCCTCAGGCCTCCAGACAGCCGTTTTCAGGTCGCCCGCAATCATCCTCTAATGGGCACTCGACCGGTACCCAGGGTTATGCGCACTACGCGAGGCCGAGTCCCAGGCCACCGTGGGGGAAGACGAACGATGCAGGACGGACCGGGGCTGATTCATATCGACAGTTTCAGGGGACATGGGGGAACTCTACGGCTGGATCTCGCTTTGGCCAACGTACTGGGAGGGCAGGGTATACAGGGGCTGTGCCTCGACCGAATGCAACTCCTACCGGGCAACCCACTAGACCGAAATCCGCGTACGACTATTTCAAGACAACCACCGACCAGTCATCCCGCACCCAGTCTACACGGAAGAAGCATGGTTTCGCTCCCCGGTCAGCTAGTGGGGACGAGCCCATGGCTGCAAACACATCCTCCTATACCACTGTACCTCGAAGGGAGCGCTTTCAGGAGTCCGACGACTTTCAAAGAGAAGCCGCGCCCACTGCAACGACTGAGAAACCCGCGGCACCGTCCGACTACGGAGCCGAAAACACTAGCACATCGAGTCCTAAACAAACAGGTAGTACGAATGCCAGTACAGACGGCGATAGGACGTTCTTCTCGGAATCGGGGCTTCATTCCGACGGTGTGCGCGATTCAACCAAGAGATCCAGCGCCCAATCGCGGACACCCTTGGGCAGCGAACGACGCAAAAGCGCCAGCCCTAACTCGCGCAGTGACGGAGGGCAAAAGTGCAATAATTCGGACGATACCGACGCTGATCCCTTGGGTCGTCAAACAGGAGCCGTTCCAAAGAGCGGACCGCAAAACCGTGGATCTGCCAATCTTCATTCTCAGACAGGTTCCCCTCCACGCAACGGTAAGCCACCTTCACCTTCTCGTTTGGCAAGCACTCGATACTTCATTCTCTGCTGGCCCAATCCTTGAATAACCCTCTATCGGTGCATAAACTGCCAGGTACTGACTGACACCTTCAGATTCCCCCAAGCAGCCAGCGTCAGATTCGTACGAGACCCTCGCCTCCGATTTCTATAATGTATTCTCAGGCTAACACTTTCCATCTGTAGAAATGGGGCACAAAATATTGGCCAAGCTCCATTAAATGAAACGTTCAAGCGTAGGAGTCGCGACGATGCACGCAAACCATTCACTGCTGAAGACTGGAGAGGCGATTTTGGGTTTGGACCTGCGACACAGAATGGCCGACCTGAGTTTCACCATCGACCGAACAGCCATGGGCGAGCCTCGACAAGAGCGAGTCCTTCAGGAGCGGGCCAGACAGGTCTATTCAGTCGGGGTTCATCTAGGTCGCCATCCGTTTCACCGCAAACGCACAGAGAGTTTCCTAAGGCAAAGTTCTCCTTGCAGGAGTGGGCTGACGCCTTCAAGAACTGGCAGTGGTTCGTGCTGCAGCACGAGCGAGCCCCACAACAAGATAGTACTCGGCGCCAACAAAACTTTAGGAAGCAGGCCAAATCACAATATAAGGTGCTGCGACCTACACCGCAACCTGCCAGCGTTGCAACAGAAGCTGACGAGGCCCAAAAGACTGTTGGAGGTAACATAGCCCAAGAGGCAACCGGTGCAGATCCTGTGGAGGTGGAAGCCATGGATATCGATTAGGATATACCAGCCCAAGGTTATGAATGCAGGTTTTCAGCAAATAGAGACACCCAAAGAACAAGTCACCAAGTCATCTTCCGGTGTTCGCACCTGTTCAGACCCTCCGAAAAGTCCCAGTCCAAGCGGGTTATTCAATCTGCACAGGGCTACAACAATTGGACTGCCTTGAGGCGCGTGGGGTGCGTATGTTGCAGAGATGAGTGCTTACATCAGAGAGTTGAATACTTCCAGTCGGCCAGTTCTTGATCACTTCAGTGCACGCCAAGACGAGCCGGCAACAAAAACGGGCCTAGTCTGGGCTGGCGCCGTTGGAGATTCCCACGCGTATCAGGATGGTCAAGACAAGTAATCAGAATGATACGTGAACGAGTCATGATATTATTTTGGTCTTGAGAGCGTCGACACTATGTGCGAGAGGAAAAAGCAGGATTCGCTGTTTATTTGCGTGCATGGGAAGAGGGTGAAAGGCTGCACGAACATTGGGAGAGCGCTTGCGAGAACCATCACACATGCATGGTTCTACGCGTTCTCCCCCATGTCGTCCAGACTCTAAAAGGAGAAAGTAGGTGCGCGCTAATTATACTCATTGATCTTGCTGAAGCCCCACGCTAAATCTTACTCGTCCAATACACGGACCTCCGCAACCCACCAGCAATGAACAGCCTCGGCCTCGGGGGATCATTGGGCCGCCGTATCACTTAAGGCAGCTACTCACCGTAGCAAAGCAGGCCCCTCTACGCAATGCTGGGGATTAGTACTCTTGCAGAGACCTTCGTCCTTCTTTGCAACAGGAATCTAAGACCTGTCCAAAAAAGAGCGGTGGAAAATGGTCATATTGTGGGAGAGTACAGTACCCGGCGCGCTGCAAGTGAAAGGGTCCCAAACACCACCAGCAGACGAGAGGCACCTCCATACAGCTGAACAGGAGAATCGCCTAACTTCACTCTGCTGGGCTTCCTCGACCATCAGTAGACGCTAATCGCTACCACTACAAGGATAGGTAGACCTCTGTGTCTCCTGAGCACCCAACATTCAACCACCAACACTACAGATTGCCTCCGCTCCGCGTCCTGCCTGCCCATAGCTGGACTTTCTGTTGCTTCAGTCCCCGCAGCTATCAACGTACGACCACAAATTAACAGATCGCTTCCTCCCTTGTCCCCAATCACCCCCTCTTCCCCCCAGGCCTCTCGAACGGAAAATAGCCAGGCTGGTTTGCCAGGTCTTCTCAGCTATTATGATGTACGACAGCAAATACCACTGATCGCCTCCTCGGCCTGCCGCCTCTGCTCGGACAAACCAATCGCGTAGGGCATAGCTGAGGCCATCAATAAGCCTATGGAGTAGGCCGTAATAAGCCTAGCCAGTAATGCGTTAAGCTATGGCGTAGTCCATCAATGAGCGCAACTAAGCCCAGGCTAGTAACGATGGCCTACGCTCGATTGATCAAGACGGTCCTAGGGCTTGTTGGTGGCCTAAGCTATTGATGGCCGCGGCGTATTGGTGGTTCCGTAGACCAATAGCTGAGGCCATTAATGGAACGCCACAAATGAGCCAACCATCTGGGTCCAGTTGTTAATCTGCCTACGCATAGAAGCTTACGCCAGAAATGAGTCAATCTATGGCCTAGGCTTATTCATCCCTAGCTAGTTTGTCTAGTGTTTTATGAGACTTTTCTGGATCGACGTATGTTGCAGTTGTCAAACAGGCCATTCTATCCGACGCAAGTTGCGCTTTGATTGACATGGAGATGCCGTAAGTTAGTGTAGGTGATTCTAGAAGGCTGCATATCCTGGACTATATTGCATATCCTGAACTATATTGCATATCCTGAACTATATTGCATATCCTGAACTATATTTGAAGGGCTGACGTCTCTGTCACTAGACATTCGACAGATTCATCGGAGACGGGCTCCTGGTAGGAAAGAAACGCATTTACTGCGGGCCCCAATTTCACCATAGAGCTCGCAGAAGCGTGATTGTGACTCTCAGCAAAGTCAAGGTAGTCTTGGACTGAACTCTTTTCGGTGCAGGAGGTATCCAACAGAGTTCTGGCTTTTGAAGTCGTACTACCTATAATTCCGGTGTCCTCCAGGAACAAGAAGAATAGGTCCAGGCACATACTCATGATTATAGCTTCGGCTGGAATATATGGATGGCAAATATGGTGACTCGGGGTGACGTAGTGCACTCCGTCCTGGTTGCTCAGGGAGTATGTAGTAATTCCAAGTTCTTTGACGAGATCCGGGGTGCAGCGGCACGCGACACCAGACGCCTGAAGTAAAGCAGGGTCTATAATGTAGACATAGCATTTTTCTCTGGTAGAGAAGCTCCATGACTTGCTGATATTGTAGATCCTACCTGGACTGGTTGAAACGGACGTAGTTGGCGGAAATGATTTGTCTCCGGGTTGCAGATGGTGCTCGACATTATCCTTGGTCATTTCCTCTTCAAAGGGCGAGCAGTTCACCACTGCCGGGCTGAGAATCCCTACATTGTCGTACCAAATGCTTGCCGAATCCGGCGAAATGACCTTGATTAGGGGGAAGACATCGGCCGCTGATCGAGGTGGAATTTGTCCAACAACGAATTTGTTTAGAGCCCCCTCGAGCTTGCACATTTCGGCGTTTAGGTCGCTGATGAATTCACGGAGTTGCAGAGTATTTTGCAATTCAGAATCCAGCCGCAGGATCTCGTCTTCGTATCTTGCTTGATTCTGTGGACAAGATTCTGCGTACTCAGTCCTCCTAACCAGCTCGGGCAGAATTTTAAAAACGGCACCTTGGAGACGAGGAAGGCTGTACCTGAAGAAGTTGAAAGTGCGTGATTCGTCTCTGAACTCTGACGTTTCCGCTTTTGAGGCTTTGTAGTATGTCTTGTTTGCGGTGGGCAGCCTTTTTGGCACGATCATCTTCACGAGAGTCGTCGGCAAATCCGATGTGCTGGAAACGTGGGAATGGACTGCGCAGACCGTAATTGTCTCTCTTCATTTTGATGATATTAAGCGCCTTCTAATGTCTAAACAAGCGGGAGCCTGATTACTTCGTGAAGGGATTCGTTTCAATAACTCACTCATACCGTATGTTAAATAAAGAATTTAGCTTTCATGGCGTCCGCTTCCGGAGCAGGCGGAGTTATTGGTTACATCAACGACAAGGATGGCACGGTAACAAGAGCTACATCATATCCTTCTATAATATGGTCTGCTATTTCTGCATGAGGAAAGGTACAAGGAGACTGGCTTTAGCCGCTTGACCTCCACTGACACTAAATTCCGTCTTTCGGCGTGGTTTGGACCGCAACCCGGCGGTTCATCCTTCCTATACTACAATCTTAGTTCAACATCTAGTGAGTGAGAGAGCGAAACAACAGAGGAGTGCTCTGCGGCTAACTAGCCAGCAACACAATATACATACTTTCTCCCGAAAAAGGGTAGAATTCGACATATTCCGTGAATGTTGCTCGACAGATAGGGCACCTCTTCGGTGATTCAAGGTTTTCTGCACACAACTCGCAGACCATGGGCCCACATAGAATCCTCACCCAGCAATCTGGCTGCATGTAGCAGATCTGGCATTCTAAAAAACGCCTTTCTCTTCTTTAGGAAAGTTCCCTATGCGTCTTTTGGTGTCTCTCCCTCTCCCGGCGAAGTTCTTTTTCAAGACTGCGAATTTTCTCTTTTAGTCTTTGCAGTTCACAGTTAAATGCCTTTTCGAGATTATCAAAAGCACTAGTCTAGTCCATTGTTAGTTAAGGGCGAAGAAGGTCTCGGTAGGGGCCAGTACCAAAGTGGACGGCTCCGTTTCGGTTCTTTGGCGTTTGCGTGATTGTGTCGTATGTGTCTCGTCATTGACAGTCTCGGGGCTTGCCAATTCCTTGTTATCGGTTATAATAATCGTGTCGGAAGGGCTTGTCATCGTTATTTTAGTGGCCAGGCTAAGGGGAAGAAAGTCGATAAAAACCAGCTCCGTGAGAGGAAAAGAGAATACCAGAGCAAGCAAACATCTGGGCAAAGGAGGCCCTTTATATACCTTAGACCAACCGGGACGGAGTGAGCCCCTCCAGGTAATTGGACCTGGTAATCTAGCATTTTGTTCTTGTGTTGCTCACTACACTCATCCTTTACGTCGTAGTGAGTACCAATGCCCGCCTCCGGGAATTTTTGCATCCGCGACTCAAAGAGGATCACCATTGCTAGTTATTCCCTAGCGACGTGCATTTCGCCCTCACCACATTCCTAGCCAGTGATTATGACGGGAAAGAAGGCGACCACGATGATGATGATACCTACTTTGTTGCCACGCGCATTCTTACTTACCAGTTGCTACACGCTCCGCGAACTAGACTACGAAGTCCCGCCCCGTTCATCGTTTTAGTGACAAAGGATGTACGGGAGAGCAAGCGTCAGAGGCTACGCAAGGACGGAGCAAGTGTCGTCGAAGTCGACCAAATCGAGCACAATATCTCCCTTTCCGATCCCCACTGGGTGCAAACTATTACCAAACTCCGTGTATTTGACCCGACAGCTGTACCCTATTCGACAGTCCTCTATCTGGATACAGACATTGTTCTTACACGTCCGATTGATTCAATCCTCGGCGACTCGAATAGCAAAAAACCAAATCTGCTGAACTACGCCAAAGGGAATGACTCAGTGCACGATCGTCTTCCCAGAGAAGTATACCATGGCCGCCTCACCTGAATCTGGAAAGCTTGATCATCCATACCCCTATCTTGATACGGAACAGAGGGATTCCTACTTCAACAGCGGCTTCTTCGTATATTCACCTAGTACTCAACTCTTTGGGCACTACATGTCCCTTTTAAACGAATCGGAGACTTGGTACCATGGCTTCCCCGACCAGGATTTATTGAATTATGCGCATCGTTCGGACGGGCCGATGCCCTGGCAGAAGTTACATTTCTCCTGGCATCTGAACTGGCCAAACGACAATGACTTGAATGGTGGGATGGCGGCTTTACATGCTAAATGGTGGAAAGGAGATTTTGTGTCTCCTTCGGTCAAGGAGTACGCACTGTCCAGAAGATGGGAGATGGAGGGATACTGGATGGGTAGGGCTTACGGGTGTGTATGAAACGTGCTGCTTCCTTTACTGAACAGGCTACTAGAAATAATGTCGGTCTGTACGTATGATTGTCTCCATCGAGCCGAGCACTCCCCTTGAATAGCAATATAGTGCCGCTGGTGATCGCAGCCATAGTCCGTAAATCCACAACTGAGCCTAAATAGTAAGTGGAGGGCCCGATTAATCTCCCTCCACTGCCATAACTCCGCGAAGGTTTAGATAATGAGAAATTATTGGTAGACATAAAGAGTAGGTGACCCTTCCTCGACTCAATTGCATATTACTAGCGCAATCGGACGCAGAGAAGGGTATATAATTAAGCCCCTACACCTTGACGAAAGAGTAATCGTGATTCCAAGGGAGCCCTACTTTGCGTTCATAACACCTACCCCCTTCCTCTTCCACAAGTAAGACCAAGTGAGTGGTTCTTGGGTCGTGTGTAACAATAAGCTAACCTACAAGAAGTGCACGGAAACGCTGAATCGTCCGACGACGAAGAGCTTGACAAACCTCTGCCTGAAGCATCAGGAAGCTTGCTCAAGACCTCAGGATTTTCTGACCGGCAAAACATTGCTGAGCGACTGCCAAATGAAGGTCGTCTTCAAAAGGAATCTTCAGCAATTGAGGAAGTCAGCGATCAGAGAGATAAACTTGAGAGAGTTAATATTGACCCTAAATTCGATCGCGGCACACAGAAGGAGTCGCCGGGAGAAATGCTTCTAGCTTTGAAAAGAAAGCTCAATCTTCTAGAGCGGGAGCGCGGAAGCTATAACGACGAGGAAGCTAGTATCACGGATACGGAAGAAGCGACTACCATACGGGGATCGGTAAATTTTGAGGGCGACCATGAATCAGAACACCTTCCTGTAGTACCGGCAACTTCGAACATATCGGATAGCACAAACGTCGCTGACGCCATAGCCCTCGCCACACTTAGCGAAGTATCGCTACCATTAAGAAAGCGACGGAAGACAGACCAGGATCAACAGAGCCGAGAGTGAGGTAAACGATATATGCCTATGATTTCATGTGGTCGTTGTACGTAGCACTATACCGGAGCTATAGACAGTGCTTTCTTATAAGCTGCTGTCGTTGTTCACCCAGTGCTCGTCTACGGCAATAAAAATGGGGCTTTGGTTCTTAGTACGTCCTTAACGATGGACGAGACTGGGTGCGCAGTAGCCAATCCGACGTCTAGCTTAGAAGGATGCTATATTTTTCAAGAGGGTGATACAAGCACTAATGGTGGCTCCTCGTCAATGTGAAGCTTCCTAAATCAGGATGTGGTTTATTCTGCACAGTATGGCTTTTACTCAGCCCTCCAGCTTGCTGGGTTGGTGCAGGCGGAGGAGAGCAGCTTTAGATACTAGAGTAGCTAAGCGCAAGTCACATCCTTTTCCCGGTCATCCACGTCTTCCGCACTGTGTCGTCCCCCTGGCCATCGTTTCATTTCCTGTCCCATCCACAACGCTGTCGGTACCGTACTGGCTATGGTGAGCGACGCAAGAAGCAACACAGTCGCCGTCCAACCAGACTGATGATAGATAAATCGGGCTAAAAGCGGGCCGATCACGAAAGCTAGAGCAGACATGACATTAGTGAGGCCATAGACCTGGGCTATAGCAGATCCATTGCCGAATTGAGCAGGATACCTTGCTGCCCTCGCACTCGCCAGTGAGACTGCATCAACCGCAGAAGCAATCCCGAAAAAAAGTGCGGAACCGCCCGCCAAGACAAGCAGAACTATTAGTACTGGTTGAGATGGTAGGCCACTCCGGTCGGTGACAGACAACAATGCGAGTGCTACCCCTGAACCCAGGTATCCGAACACTGCAGATCTTCTGGAGCCAAATCTCGTTATTGCCCGACCTACCAGTGATGATAGCACAGACGGGCCCACCAGGGCTAGAAAAGACGCGTCCGCCTGCACCGAGTTCCAGCCATATATATGCAGCACGAACAGTGGCATAATCGCGTCCAACCCACAGTATATCATACAAAACTGGAAAGAGCCCCATATTGCCGTCCACATCCGATAAGTGCCAAGCAATAACAGGGCAGCTGGTAGCTTGAACTTCGCCGGTTGCCCAGGGCTGTTGGCCTTTGTGGGTTCAACGACCAGGAGCAGTCGTAGAATAAAGTCGACAGTAAGCACAAAGATCGCAGTCATGTATACTGCATGATACCCGTGATGACGGAGAAGCAGTCCCCCAATGATTGATCCGACCGCCATACCCAAGCTTCGCGCCATGACCAAGTATCCAAGATACGATCCAATCAATTCAACTCCCACACGGTCCGTTACTATCGTAGGGGGTATTGTCCCAGCTACAGCACCCGATAGACCATGTAACGTGCGTCCGACGATAAGCCAAGTTGTAGACGTAGAAAAATAGGAAGCTAACATTGAGCCCAAGAGTCCCAGTAAGCCGAATAGGTAAGGGCGTTGGCGTGAAACGCTCGTATTTGCCCAATATGCACATATTGCTTCGGATAAAGGTCAGACTAGCTTTACTTGACCAGAAGGAAGAAGTATTGTCTGAGCGAGAAGGCGAAAGAGGAATGCGCGTAGACTTACGCGACCCGATAACGATTGCTCCTCCATGAACGGCATGAAGTATTGGAGCCCACTTTTGCACTTCTGAAGTCAACAAAGCGCACACCAGAAGACATAGTGGTCTTGATCGCAGAGTTCTCACCATCTTTTTCAGGAACATGGGCACGCTGGGTTAATGCGAATGGCAAGACCGATACGGCCTGTTTGGTGATTAATTCCGACTCCAATAGTGCCTTGACGGTCATACCAGTGAGTAGAGGTAGGTATCCTGACAGCTTTTGTTATTACAGCATTTTCTCATAAAAGAGGTTCCACATACCGCAAAAAGACTAACGCCGCATGTTAACACAGTGAAACAGACAGACGAGCGCTGTATCGTCCAAGGCAGAGCAGAACACCTGGCAAGCATCCTGAAAATTTGCTTTAGCTTCTTCCCAACAATCAACTCTCAAAATAAAGTAAATCAAAAGGAGATAGGCCCAGAAATCCTCGCAGGCTGGTTCCGGCCATCATATACGTGTGGTTTTCCTGCAGTGAATGCAGTCGCAACAACACGCTGACACGGACCTCAAGAACAGGCAACAGAACCTCAGCACCTCTACATAAGTGCACAAAAGAGTGTTCCCCAGTCTGCATGTATTCTTACCCCAAAATTGAATACCAATTCCCAGGGTTKGAGTGTGGAACTTAATCTAGACTGCACAGTGCTGAACTAGTTCGTAAACGATGTATTTGAGAGATGTGGTGTGTTCACCATAAGAGTGCTGATATGTAACGATCCTTGTTGACATCTGCCCCGCGAGCAGAAACTCCTACGTCTGATCCGTCTAAGCAGGAAATGGATGTTACGTATTTTGTAGATGTATGACACCTAAAGTCTCACTATTGTTTTAAACAGCGCAAGAATCGCTGAACAGTGAAGCGTACGATGAACCAGCAACGTCAACCTGTACGATGCCTTGGACAGCCACGAAACAGGACGTATGGGGTTCGATGGCGTTTCTGGGGAGCCATCCATTGAAATCGAATGGAGCAACTAGGAGAAATGTTTGTCCAACGTCAATGTCAGAGTAAGTCGCCTTCCACGTAGTCCAACATAACAGAGATCGTTGTACCCTGTCCATGGCTCGGCAACTAGCTACAAGTGGACTTCCTACAAACATGTCAAACAACTACAGGGCTCAACAGCTTAATGATTTAGCTGGACATTGATCAAAGCTGAACATGGGTGAGCGTGCCCGACCTCTCTCTTCTCCGTGATTCTGAACCATGCACTAAGCCCTCTTTTCCTAGAAACGATGACGTCTGAATCTGCGACATGACCAAAACGAGCATCCATGAAGCGATTCCTATCTGCAGCTGAACGCTCAACCGGCAAAGACACATCCTATCAGTCGTGCCTTTCTTTGCGAATTTGGAACCTGCAAGGCGTTGCGTAGGCGGTTGCTACATAACGTAGTTAAGCCAGGTCGAAAATTGGATTAGAGGCAACGGGATCCATGGCGGTCTATTTGTGTAATATGTCACGTTAATGTCTGCTTTCTTTGAAGAAGGAGGTGCTGACCACAAGGATTTCCAAGGGCTGTTAAGTAAACACCGGTTTTCTATTCCTCACGACGGGCTTTTACATAATATCTGCTAGTAACTCAGCATGAGACACTCAACAAATATATCACATCGTTTCCTGTTAGCACTCACCATAGGCTATATGAAGACCCGGGTCTGCGTCTGCGTAGCTTTCTGTACCCTCATTATAAGCAGCTACTTCGCTGTCCACTACAAATTCAGCCTGCAGCTGTACAGTCCACCAAATATGCTGTCTGAAACAGAGAGTGAGCTCATATGTGACCCTCACTTATTGAGAAGTCGTTGGAGCGGCCTAACCCTGTTATGCACAGATTTAGAGTGTACGAAGAAGCAAGCGGGCATCGCGAAGGTCAGCATTCTCTACGGTGATTCCAACCCGGCGTATGAGCGAGCACTCCGGACCCACGAGGAACATAATCGGCTGCACTGTTATTCGATGCGCTTGCTCCGTACTCCTATTCTAGATGGATATTGGACCAAGCCGGCATATATTCTTTCCGTGCTCCTGGATGAATTGGGCAAGCCAGCGGATGAACGTCTCCGCTGGCTCGCGTGGATTGACGCGGATACAGTCATTCTAAACTATAAGCTGCCCCTAGAGATGTTTCTCCCTCCTGAAGACGACCCCAGTTTCAACGATGTGCACCTTCTCGTCACCCACGACTGGAATGGGCTCAACAATGGTGTTTTCCCAATCCGCGTCTCGTCGCTGGCAGTCGAGCTGCTGGCGGACATCGTGGCCTACCGCGACTTTCGAGGTGACACAGAGTTGACATTTCAGGACCAGAGCGCCATGGAGAACATGCTACAGGAAAGTAAGTTCTCCAAGCATGTGATCAAGGTGCCGCAGCGGTGGTTTAATGCCTACATGAGCTGGGATAATAAGGAACTGCAGCCGCATCAAGTGCGGCCAGGGGATCTGCTCGTGCATTTTGCGGGGATTGGTGACCGCGAGAAGAATATCAATAGATCGTGCGAGCTCTCAGAGATGCACGATCCTGAGTGGGATATTGATGCCACGTATACAGCCTATCCTCGTGAAGTAAGTGAGTTCTGGGCCAGTGCGAAGGAGGAGAGATTGGAACAGCAATAGGGGCTCCCGTCAAAGATCGCTGGATACAGTAAGCTCTTCGCGCTGCAATGTTTCGCTTATTCAAGGTCTTGTCAGTTCTTTCCCAGGATGTGGAAGCCGTACTGTGACCTTGCCAGTCAGCAAATAATCGTTTTGCAGTATTTAATGAAGGATGGTCTAGCGACAAATCCCACTGATTCAGAGCTGCTCACGGATGTCTCCTTTTAGTCCGATGACATCCTGACATCGCATATATTCCTCCTGAACGGTCAAATCTCGAACGGCAACCAGGACAGTTAGCTTCAAGGCAAGATTGTTATAATAATCGCATTTAGATTCAGTTCTTTTTATTTTATACAGTAGCCGTCGATACTAAGTTCTAACCTTTTGGCAACCGGATGCAGGCTTCCAGTAATACAATTCTTGATCTGCCTGAATATGTCGCATTGAGTGAAGGTGCGTCTCAGATTAAAGCCGAGAAACTTACTCCACACTATTTTGAGTGCTTATTGTTACAATCATCATACAATATCGATCATCACAAAATACCAGCACATCAGTCTGAAATATACTTGATTTGCCGAGCACATGAGCTATGTTGTGTGCACAGAGCAGCGCTTAGAAGCATCAGAAATTGTGCAGAATGCTTAGTGGGTGAGCAAGCGTTAAAAGGATTTGAGCATAAAAACTAACGGAGGCAGCCGACAAATTAAGATGCTGAGCACTCCAAGCAGAGATTGAGCCCTTAGAAGACCAGTGAAACACAGTTGAACTGTGTAGCAACTCCCTAAGTGCTCGCCGCTTCCGGCTCAGAAGGTGGGGAGAATGGCCCTGGCGCTACTTAATTTGGGGGCCGCTGGCATTTGTTTATGCCTTTTGTATTTCTGATCAAAGAAATAACTCGCTGAGTCCACTGGCTCACTTACATATCCTTTATTCCCTAATCGTTCATCACTCATTTTATTTCGAGTACCAAACTGGATGTCGAAATTTTTGAGGGTCTAGAACAAGGAGGGCGCACTGTTTCCATCGAGGTCATTCATGGCGAATACAGATGAGCGCGCATCAGTTTTAAGGTGACTGGCCAATACAAGCGGGGAATTTGCATGCTGGAAAGCTGAAGTCATCAATATCGCTCATTGTTGAGCTCACCTTTCAAATTTTTGGTGGCATGCATCAACAGTTCAGACATGTCACTGGCTCAAAGATGCAAACTAAGCCTAGCTCCAACAGCATCTCGCATTTAGCATGATATCCATCAATCAAGCCTGTTGAACTGTGGTGAAAGATTATGGAATATGAATGTAGTTAGTGTAATCTATACAATAATCAACAGCGATTGCTTCCATTAAGGCTAGACGCGTCTTCTCGTACTTGAGTCTTCTCATCTTGGTCCAAGAAACGCCCTCATTGTTACAAGCATTGAACCCCTTACCTAATGTTCAGACGTAAGTTCTTTTCGAACAGACGCAGCGTCGTTACTCAACCCGGCCCTACGTGACAATATCCTCGTATTTTTTAAGAGAAACGACGGTTACTGTATCTATGTGGACGGGTGATCGATGGAACACTGTACTGTGGCGATTTACGATCTATTTAGACGGGCGCCACCGCTCCCTACGGTCTGGGTTCATCATTAATAGAAATCAATCTTGGCTGATGGACACAATCTTGTAGTGAAGGAATTTATTAAATTCTGCTCTATCTGGGTAGGAGAAAGCTCTGCTAAGTGGTAAGCCTGGCTCATCAAACGACGGAGGCAATACTATCCTGACGATGCCCTGACCGCTGAGCTAGTAGACTGACAATGTCAGAATGATCCTGCATCCTTGCAGCAGCCATGGCGTCTATGCCCTCGTCATCCTTCACATTGACCAGGACATGGTCGTCCCATAGCAACCGTTCCACGACTGTTGTCTTCCCCGAATAGGCCGCCCACCATAATGCAGTGCGTCCACGATTATCGACGATATTATGGTTATTTGTGCGCCCGTTCTGCAGGATACTGTCGACCACCTGCAGGTCTCCCTGACGCGCCGCCAGAGACAATGCGGACTCCTTCTCATATGTTTCAGCGTTGGTATCTAATTGCTCCCCGCACGCAAGCAGCGGCATTGCTACATTAGAATGACCTTTGATAATGGCTGCGAGGAGTGGTGTCTGGTAGGGACCCCATCCTTTGTTGATGTCAATGCCTGGACACTGTACCAGGCGATCCACTACCTGGGTATGGCTGCCTGTTGCAGCTAACCAAAGCGGTGTTTGTTCCCCTCCCCCCGTATTCACCAGGACATCCGACCGGGTGAGCAGCAACTCCACCGTTTGCACATCGCCTTCCATGGCTGCCCAGCCGAGCGGAGTCCGTTTCAGGTGGTCGGTGACGTTAGGGTTGAGGTTCGTCACCGCTAAAAGCTGGCGGATGATCCCTATTGCTCTCGCTTGGACCGCATGATGGAGGGATGTTGATCGATCCATGTAGCCGGGTCTCCTGAGGTGGTGGCCGATGGCGTTTACGTCCACATTTGGTTCGGCTAGTAACCGCGCAGCCACGCCATCGTTACGGCATCGAGTGGCCCACCAGAGCGGGGTGGCGCCATATGTATCCTTAATGTTGATGTTTATGCTCGGCTTAGCTAGAAGCAGGTTGACCACTGGCAAGTGCCCTCCTTCAGCAGCTTCGTGCAAAGCTGTGGATGCCTGCTGGTCTTGCGCGTGCAAATTAATTTGTGGCTGGTTCAAAAGGACCCGGACCACTGAATAATGCCCTTCCTCAACTGCCAGATGCAATGGCGTGCGCTGTTCTGCATTCACCTCATTCACGTCCCACCCATGATTGATCAAGAACTGCACCACCCTTCTCTTCCCCCAGTAGGCGGCCAGACACAGTAGTGGTATTTCATCACCAATACCATGATTTGCATGAGGCGAAAATGTTGCATATCCCTGACATGAATATTCCAACAACATCTGCAGTATAGAGGGCTTTCCCATCGTAATTGATATATGAATCGGAGACATCCCTCCTATGTCTTGAGCATTGATATCTGCTCCGTTTTCCAGAAGGAGCTGGGTGAGGCCTCCATTTTGCAGTTGCACGGCATGCCATAGCGCTGTTCGATCGTTGCGATCCCGTAGATCAACATGGGGTCTCGGATGGCCCAGGAGCATCCTTGTAAGGTCCGGTTCGTGCGTGTATAAGCTGTATATAAGCGGTGAACGGCCTGTCCTGTCCTGGCAGGACAGGTCAAGCTTTTCATTTCCAAGAAGGATTCCTGTCATCTTACGGTCTTGCCGTGCCAGAGCGTGGAAAATTGGCGTGTGGTTATTTCGGTCCCTTGTGTTGACATCCACTTGTTTGGACTTCAAGAGATGATCCTGTACAATTTCCAAATGCCCCTGCATTACGGCAACACTCAGCGGAGTACGGCGATCCTCTCGATCAGCGAGGTTGACTTGGATATCATCGCGCTTCAGTAACTGTTGAACAATATGCGTACATCCTTTGAATGCCGCCCACCACAAGGCACAATATCCGCTTTTATTCTGGAAATTGACATCCACTTCGGGGTCAGCAAGGAGAACGTCGACCACCGCCGTGAATTTGTGCAATACGGCGCATATAAGTGGCGTGTTAGAGTTATAGATAGCGTTCACATTGTACTTGTACTGCTGGAGCATCATCTCTACCATGCCCGACCGATTACGTTGTATGGCCCAGAGCAGTGCCGAGGCGCCTTTCTGCTGGATATCAAATTTGTAAAGGGTCGATCGCAACAGGATATATGTCCTCTTAGTAACCTGAGCAAAGGACGAAATGTGGCGGGCATCATCGAGGTTTTCAGCAATAAGCAGGAGCATTTCATCTGGAAGGTCAAGAAGGATCATTTTCTTGAATAGGATGTTGTGTGGAGGCGTTCTGTAGGAATATGGGTCAGACAAATATATATGAGAGCGTGAGTATATTTTGACTAGCCAGTAACCGTTCTTCTGATCGAACTTCGGAGGGTGTTCCGACTATTTATAGGTAAATCAGTGCATTGATACGTACAGAGCAAGGCAGTTGCACCTATCTATAATTATCCGTGGTCATTTGCTAATAAAAGCCGAATTGCCGCATGTAGCGAGTTTTCGCGAAGGGGATTCGCTATCATAGGAGCAGTGGTAGGCTTGGCCTGACACGTTCCCAGGAGTGCACGAAGGGCTCCTGGAAGCTTGGTTCGCTCTCCTGAAAGAGCAGTTTACAGGACTGTTCCTCGCGCGCCAATCACTCAGCCCTCTAGCATTGTTGGGAAAGAGCGTATGAGATGTACACGACAGTACGTTTACGACTGGGACTCTGCTTAGGTGGTCATAAGCAAACAAATTTGATCCTACGTAGGATTGGCATTTTGCGATGTATCCCGACTCTTCGGATCCTTGCTACCCATTGATGCCTTGCTTCGCCCAATTCCTGTGGCCGCGACGCCGCCTCTTTGATAACAACATCTCCTTACCGTAATGGACGTTTACTCGGAAATAATAGGAGGAGTGTGCAGTACTACTCAACGTATCGTCTAATTCCCATCGATCCCCTAAGAAGGATATATAATTATACTGTAAAATCCTCCTGAGCATGGGAAAGCTTGAAGTCAGTAGGGCGTAAGAAGGTTATGAATGTCCTTTCACCAGTTTCGCGAAGACATCAAATGCAGATGTGACACAGAAGAGACAGTGATGTTCGATTGGGGTTTACTGAAGACACTACGGTAGAAGTTATGTGGGTGAGGGAGCCGCTACTGCAGCTGCTGACAGAAAAAGAGGAGAAAAGCAGCATCATAGTTATGATAACATGGATATCATTTCATTGCGAAGCTTATTGCCATCCATCCGTCCATCCTAGTGGACCCGTCACCTTTTGAGGAGAGTCTATTTGCCTTGTTTTCCATGAGCGAAGGTGAAGAACCACACATCACAATGTAGAGCCTAGAGTACTGTATCGGTTTTAAGTGCTGGCTTTGAGAATCGGTCTCAGAAGGCTATAATTCTCAATTATGTTATGGACACCCAGCCGATAGCCAGGGCTTCCAGTTGTGTACCATTCAGACAGAGCAACATCCAAATCTGAGAAATACTTGTTTTATACCTTCTGAAATGCGAGCCACTATCAACTTTGTGGTTGCAGGAACCACCTTCGTCCATAATCTATGAATAGTCCCCATTTCTCCCCATCCTTGACTGCAAAGCACCATTGTAAAGATGTTTTCCACACCCCAGCTAGATCTCACGGGGTGGCTTTCCCACCCACAAGCTTATTACGCGGCACAACCTTGCAGGCCATTAAATATACTTCGTCCTGTAAAGCTCAGTGCACTGGTATTTATGTACCGTCGATGAGCCTTTATATATAGGTATAACTGCCATTCTAGTATTTGCGTTCAGATTACGGCAAAACTTTGCGATATGGACAGCGCCGAGCTTGACCTAATACGAAAAATAAGCTGGCATCAGGCTAGTATCCCTCCCCCAGCAGCTAACAGACTATGAAAGTGTAACTGATATTCTAACTAGGCTCGAGGAGAGATTAGCGAGCGTCTCTGAGCGAGAGGTTGCAGCAATTAAATGGTGGACTGACCTGCGCAGAACTTCTATATTTTGAGCAGGTTACGTGATATATGAGGCTCACGAATGGCAACAGTGGGAAATCATGCCTCTAGGCGACGTGTATTTCAGGTTGCTCTCTCCCGCCATGACGGCAACTTCAAGTCTCCAGCGTTGGTACCAAAGCTTCAACTTGACAAGTGCTGCAGGTAACCATGCAGATGAGACCATTTAAATTAAGCTTGTAGAATTAACTGGTCTCAATGATCGTTACAGTGTAATACACATTTAAATAGGAAGGGTGGAGGCTGAGATTTTATATGTAATGATTTCTCTCATAACTTTGTGGGCAGGTAATGGAAATGAGGGGTGAGGTCTTGACTTCACTAATGCCGTACACTCGACGCAGAGTATGTTTCAACGAAACCAAAAAGATTGCCGAAACAGGACAGAAGACAGACTCTAAAAACACGTAATGTTTCTGTTGAAGGGAATAGGAGCCTCCATGTGAGTAACGGTTCATGCTGAAATAGAAACTGAATGTTTGAGAATGGACGCCTGATGGCTGAGGTAATCTTCGATCTCAAACCCAAAACGCTTCAGAGCTTTTGCATTATGCGTAAGCTTCGGCAAGCTCATAATTCCAACGAAAATGTGATGCAGTACTGAGATATCGCTGAGATAATTGATGGTCGTAACGAACATAAGCCCAGTTGGCGAGTAACTCTCCCACCAGCGGCTCTCAGAGTCGGGTCTCTATTCTCCTCCTCCTGAAGAACCAGTGTTGACAGAATTCACCACCGCTTTTAGTTGTGCATCATCTTACCGTCAAAGTCGAGCACAGCTTCTTGACGTTGGATTGATATGTCACACAGGGACAGAGCGATTGGAGGAGATATCTTGCCGAATTCTTTGATCTGTCAAGACGGGGAGCGCCATGACTGTGGTTTCAGGACCTGATCCACTGTGGGGAAACAGAATAATTGATGTTACAGAGCTGGGACGAGGCGCTGTGGTCTGCAGTGGTGGAAGCTTCAGACTCGGATCATTCGGTGGATGGACCCTTCTGTTTCGAAGCATCATCGACTGGTTTGCCTGACAGAAATCCCTACCCTTAGATGTCTCTATGTGGTGGGTATCAGGTAACATCAAATATGAAGACTCGAGGCTTCTGCCATAATGAACATTTGGTTCGAATAATATATGAGAGTTGAACCGATGCTTCGGGTCTGAGGACTCCAATCCGGTCACTCTCCGTAGTATTTGACGAGGGGGGCGGGAATCTCTGACATTATCGAATTGGACATGATTCGGTTGCCTGTCAGAATCCCCAGCCCGGCGTGTGTAACTTCGAGCCATTGCCGCATCGGGTTGTGGAGATCCGGCATTTAAAGACATGTGCGGGATGAAAGGAGTTCCTGGCGCAGGTGGGCTCATCGCTCTTCCACGACAACGGTTGCAGACCGTAGCGGGCGGAGAGTTTTTGCTGGGGCCGAATCTGTTCGCACGACAATTGCCCTGGCGGCCATACCGAATGGGCCGGTACTGGTAGTCTGGGTAACGCTGCTGATGGCGAGCTTTTTCTTCCTGTCATTGAAATCGTCAGCAGGGATAAAGGTATACAAACTTAAGGATATTGAGGTCTCGGGCTGCATACATTGGCATTAGCATGCCATATATTCTTCATTTCTTCAGGGAGCATCCTCCATTGCGCCCCGATAATCCTAGAAATATGGGCATTCCCAAGACCCGGATTCTGAGCCACCGCTGTGGCTTGGTAGTGTTGCCGATATAGAAAAAAAGCTGCTTGCTTCCCATCAGCTCGTCGTCCGTGCTTGATAATGGGTAGAGTCTTACCGTTCTTTGGCCTGGGAATGTTGCGGCCCGTCTGACAGAGGCAGGACTGCACAACTGACTCCTTTGGCGCTGCCAATTTCACGGGTTTGGAAGACGAGGATTTCCTTATTAGAGAGGATCGCGTTCGCACGGGCAGATTTTTGGCGAGTGCAGGTACCATAAACTTGGGAGACGCAACGGCATGGTCGAAATCGATCGTGCGTTTGATGAGGCTGGTCATATCAGACTCGAAAGGCACCTGTGCTGGCCCAGTTGCTGGTCTCTGGGCAGTGTACATGGAGAGCTCGCCTTCAATAGGCCAGTTAACTGGTGAAAGTTTGGTAGCCCCTCCGTCATTCATGATCTTGTAGTCCAGGAGGTCATTGGACCGCCGTGGAAGAGAGACCTGAGAAGCATCACCCGGAACAGGTCTGGGGAGGACTCGATCGTAAGACATTTGTGGAAGTGGTAGCGACGGGAACGCTTGTGATGGTTGCGGGAATTGGTTGAGTTGCTATGTATGCCAAGGAAAACGAACGGGTGGCGATGCTGGTACAAATCTAGGACAGAAGAGGAGAGGAGAAACCGCGTATAAGCAATTAGAGATGTATGTCTAAAAGAAAGGCCAGTAGTCCTCGCAATTCCCTCTTCCTGACTTTATTGAGAGTCTGATTGCCAGTTAGGCCGTCGTTGTGGTTTGCTTGTCTCTCCTTATCGCTGTTCCTTTGTCCTTGTTCTGCCACTTTACTCCACTTTTGTTTTTATTTTCTGTCGTTTCTTTTGGCGAAGAAACGAAGTTCTTCGTTAAAAGTCGATAACCAGAGAGAACATATTTAATAAAGCCATACTCTAGTCCGTTTTTCGGAGTTCTTTGTCTCGTATTTGTCTTTGGACCTATCAACCGCGTCACGCGTACTGGATGGATCTGCCCTGTTCCTTGGAACTACTTTCTTTGTGTTTGAATGAATGACATATACCCCACTCTGCTTCTTCCTTCCTATTGGACAGATTGTCTAGGATGAAATGGATGGATCCTGATAGTTAACCGGGTGCCGTGATTAAGCAGCTCGATGGATGAGCGAGTAACTTAAAGGATCAAGCCGGCTTGTACAATAACTAATAACCAACTGCTATGTTACGGCTTGGTCTTTAGTTCGAACTGGAAAGTTTTGTATGCATCATCACATGATACAAGAAACCTCAGGATGTTATCTCGATAGCGCAAACCGAGTAGTACTATTTTGTGCCATTTGGATAACTAGTTCATCCTGTTGTTCAGCAGTTCTGAGCCGACACTCTCCTCCTGTCCATGTCGACTTAAACGGCCCCCAAATGTCAATAGTACATCAATAGGTACTTCATTATTCTTTCAGCAGGTTACAGGTATAAACACTATTTAATGATCGCCCTGGGCTTTGTCTTTTCTTCTTTTTTTCCCTTTTTGTCTTCCAGCTGACGCAGCACCGATGGGCCTGCTGGAATGTCTAGACTTCAAGCTAATCAACGAAGTCGGTCCCGCAGCTAATGATTCGTCAAATTTTTGGGCGCAGTGGGTCTTGAGAAAGCGTCCTTTTACCTGGCTGTCCACTGACATTAACCCAGGAAGTGCCGCAGAATGTACTGTAACCAACGCTAGTACAGCACAGTACGGGGTAGCCTGCTTTTCTGGAGAGTCTATCTGCTGCCAGGCTGCGCCCGTGTTGCCCAGGACTCCCGACTCAACGCTAAGACAAAAATTTCCCTTTATCTCAACAACCAGCTACGTATGGCAGAATGAGAACGGAAAGGGAGAAAGGGAGATAGAGATCTCCAGACTGACCCCTAAGCCACTTACGTACGTAATATCCCGTACTAACAAAGACTTGTTGCAATACAAGGAGACGGCCGAATTACTGTACCTTTACGCAAAGCCTGATAGAGGGCTGTTTAACCCTCATACACACTCACATAACTTTCAAGGACATGCCCGGGCGAGATGGACAGCCACTTACCCCTGTCCGAAATGGATTGATAGTAAGCTATGTACAACACGAGGACGACCATCTCGCACCACTCTTTGCGTTTGTTACAATAGCCAGGTTCCAACTCGCGAAAGTGTAGACTCAGTTTCTGAGCGCGCAAAAGGCGGCCCTCTGAGGGAGCACTGAAAATTTTCGTTAAAAGAGCCTAGAATGCCTGGAGATCAGGGGAAGCACATAGTGAGTTTGACTTAAAATTACCTAGAATGGCGTGCCCGAGGAGGCAGTACGGTGGACGTCATGCACAATCTTAGACGTCTATTTTGCGTACGGAGATGATGGGTTGACGACCTTCGCGGGTACTTTCAGTCAGCCGCGCCTGGCTCGCTTGAACATTTGATTCAAGAGACTCTGCTTGTGGCGTGAGATTGCCTATTCCGAAAAGAACTTATGGGCACTTGTAACTTAGGCGAATTGCCCAACATCGATGAGAAGGATGACTGTTCAACCGAGACCTAGCGACATGACTCGAGAAACGGTAAGACTCTGCAGCAATACAGCTCATCATCGATGACTAGATCAAGCAGGCAGGGCTTGTCATCTCAACCGTGGTGCATATCGCTTTCTGATAAGAAAGGGTCTTAACTCAACATGTTTATTACATCCGCAGCCTCAATTTCCAATACATTGCTTGGCATATTTCTTGACAGCCCATCTCAGCACGTTTTTTATTCTACATTACGTACCCATGTCTCACAAAACACGCAATATCAGGCACATGACAGAGGAGGGTTCTGGCCAACCGACTTGCCTTTGAGACCATCTCGCATGGCGTTCAAATGCTCCCAGCTCAGGCTGTCCTCACCCAGACTCCATGCCATCACTCCGCCCAGTTTCTCAGCTTCCACAATTTCTCTGAATTTGCGAGCAATCAACACAGGAGTGTCCCAAGTCCAGAAAACGCTGGCCTGTTTGTCCCAGTAGTACTGCCCGCCGGCTTGCTCGTCCGTCTTGCCGTCCTTGAGAGCGCGGCGCCAAGAGTCGATAACCGAGATCCCCTTGCACTCACCGTAGTCAGAGAGACAGCCAGCTTGGCAGAAGTCGTTGCCAGTACCGCTGATTGAGCTTAGTTCATGTTACTCAGAAAGAAGAAGAGTGAGCGTACCAGTTGCCATACTGGCTGCAGCATGAACCGGCCGGGCATCTGGTCCCCTTGGAAAAGCCACAGGTTCCATCCGTGGAGACTTTCAAGTTACTTGGAGCAGCTGCCATAGTGCTTTTCTCAAAGGTCAAGACCCCTGATGTGCCTGCGTCTGAACCATCGGGGTTCTCCAGCGTCAAAACCGCGCATCCAAGTGGGTGTTCATTGCAGTTAGAAGTGGGATCGGTCATGAACCACTTGGCGTAGTATGCAAATCCCAGGTTGATCTTGGCAGTATCGAGACCGATTTCTTCATAGGACTTGATTGCCTCGAGTGAATCCACAACGCTTGTGTGGTGGTTTGTGACTTTGTCGCGACGATTCATAAAATCGTACGACATCACGTTCACCATATCCACAGACGGCCAGATCTTGCTACCTTGTTCCTTTGTAAAGGCGACCATGTCGACCCGTTTTCCAGGGACTGCAATTGAAAGGACCTTGTCCGGACCGATGGCTTCACGGATTGCTTGCAGAAAGAGCGGGTAGGCTTCGATTTCATCGATCTTATGGTTGTTTGGTACCTTCATATAATCCGCGCCGTTCCCACCGGGATACTCCCAGTCGATATCTGGAGCTCAGCCGTCAGTACCTTGGATCACTCACTGTGTTCGTTACTCACCGATACCGTCAATGCCTAGGTTGTTAATCATGGCCGCGACATTCTTAGCATAACGGGTCCGGGACACATCATCCGTTGCACCCTCAGAGAATCCATTGGTATCGCCCCAGCCTCCAACAGCAACCATTAACTTGGTATCGGGTGAGAAGCGCTTCCGCATAGTTTCGACAGGCTCAAAGGGCTCGAACTTGGGGGGAGAGTCAGAGTTGAAAATACTGGAGTTCGCAAAAGCCATGATCGCGTGAGTTATGCCTTCGGTGTGGTCACTTCCCGGGAGATCAACTGTATGATATCTAGACCCTTACCATATGTTGCTCTTTTGGGGTGGTGATTCTTACTCGTCTATATACATCGCAAATCTCATACCCAATGTGGCCCGGACGGCCAGAAGGCTCAGGAGAAGGAATGGAAGCATGCCGTGCTATGTTCAAATGAATTGACGTGAGGGACTGAAAGAAGGAATTGAGTAAGGCAAGCACTATTTGAAACCAGAAGCAACCAAGCAAGTGGGAGTGACAAGAAATAGTATAAATTACTGACGACGGAGCGTGTTGCACTATACTGGTTAAAATGTCCGTTCCTACTAGCCTCAACATGGACCGTAGCATAGTACCTGGCGCCTCAGACCAGAGGGGCTCAAACAATAAACGCAGTGATCTTGCGAAAGAGGTGGCTGAATATCTGACAGTGCATGCTCCCTTAAGGCCAACAGGAATCAGTAACTCTGCGACTAAATACTAAGGAATTCCTAACTAGGGTCGGGAAAGGAGATTGCGCGAGAGAGTTATGTACTGTGCCGCCAGTTCGACTGATCTTTAGTTCTACCATTGTACTTGGTGATGTCCGTTCGTGACTGGATGACCAACACACGTATTATGGAAGTTAAACTAGCCTTGTGACGATACGGAAGGGTCTTCCTATACGAACACTGCCCTATTGTCAGAACAAGAAAGGTCCCCCAATCTTATGGGCCTATGGCCGATAACAAACGTCCAAGGCAAAGTTCTGGGCCAGTGGGAATTACGGCTATCAGCACGAATTAAACAGCCAAAGGAAAATAGGCTATTACAAAGATATGTGGCCCAAAATAAATTTAATGCAGTTCGTCACTCAAGGGCAAATTATCATTCCTGATGCCGTTGTTCTTGTCGTTACTGGGAAATATGCTGAAAGTGCGGATGTATTTGCCGCGCTGGCCGTCTGCAAGCTTGGGCAAGCATCATCCCCTAGCTTTATTGCGTACATGGACCAGTGTGCTGGGAATTTTTGGCCAGAAACTGGTCGGACACCAAGCATGCGTCAATATGTATAGGGTCGCGATCCAATTGTACGAGGTACTGGCTGTTACAGGGACAGATCGTCTTCAAACCCCCTCATAAGCAGATAGCGGAGCTGGTTTACAAGTTCCTAGAGACCGACGCATTATCTCAACCTATCAGCGTGTAGCGGAGCCATATATGGTAGCAGTCCCCGAAATTGTTACTGTAGCTATGCGCAGCCATTGACTGGTTCCTTCCATCTAGTCTGCCTCGTGCCCCTAGTGAGGGCCAGCCATGGCCAGGATGATAGGAGCCCAGTACAATATACCTTGAGCTTGCAGTGGCATGACCGCACCAGGCGTGCATGATACGGTCTATAGATAGTATCACATGCCTAACTGAAGCGCAGACAGTGAAGTAACCACGCTTACTACAACAGGAGAAGCGAGACCTGTCACCCTGAGTTGAACGGTGTAGGGAACATATAAAGGAGCGCTTTCACCCCGTCAAGAATCGCCGGTGTACTATTGATTTTCTTTCTTGCCTGTCTCCTACCTAGTCATCAATACAAATCTCGGCTCGAATGGCTCCAGATCCGCGTCCAGGCTGCTCGTTATCCAATCCCATTAATGTGGACGATTTGGACGATGTTGATGCTGTTGACCACGGAGCTGCTGGCAGAGAGGCATCTCCCGAAATGACAGCATTCCCTTTAATGCCTGAGGAACCTCCACACGGCCTTCCCTTGGACGTCTTTCCGGACGATGACCAGGATACTGTGGCCACGGAAGTTGCAACCTCGCCTCCCACTCTCACTGACGTCGTGGCTGAGGGAAATTTCCACGGCCAACCCCCAGATATTGAGGGGGGTCAGGAGCAAGAAACCACAGACTCAAGCATCCATCCTGGTATGTTTAACTTGTCCACAATAAAACGGTTGTTTTACTTCCCGTTGACATAGTAAAGACTCTATCAATGCCGCCATCATTCACGGCGACTGTAGGTCTCGAGGATCCTCTGTCGGCATCCCCCAAGGCAATGATCCTGTCCATCCTGTCCACTCCTTCCCGCCGAACGAGGTCCAGGAGTCTGCCGGTATACCTAGGCCTGCCACTAGCAACTACTCTGGTTGCAATGCATCAGGCTCGGCAGCAGTAGAAAGTTAGCTATTCTGTATCCCATTGGGTATACCTGAGGCTAACTTGAAACAGGCTCGGACGCACTTAGCATCTTCCATACGTTCGCATCTCGCTTTTGTCCAACATGGAAGATCATTGAGGGTTATCCAGACAGAAGTGGTTATCTTGACGTACGATTGCGAATTCCTTACGCTGGGCCGCGAAAGAGGTCTGCCGCCGAACCTGAGCCTGCTGCGGATGGCGGGACTGGTGAGAATTCTGGGCCTGGCGAGGGTTCTGGGCCTCAGCTCCGAAGATCGAAAAGGACTAAAATGCCAAAACATCAGAGTTGATGTCACGGCCGCTTCCCGGAAAGTCGTGCATTTTGGTAAGAACCTGCCTTCACCACGCATTGCAGTTTTCTTCTCGTTCTTGTACTTCGCAAGTACAGAATCTGGAGCGGAAATTGGGACTCTGATTTGTGGAGACTGCGACTTAGCGTAAATGCTGCTTTAAGTGTTCAACCCTGAGCCCACGAGTCTATCCACATGGTGAAAATCTTCTGGTTATGGTAGCGGCGTCCACATTGCAAGAGAATGATCTGTCAGATCCGAGTTCTTGAGTTCCTGTTCAGTATGAATACATGTTTTAGGTGGCAATGCAATTCAAGCTAGAGCAACCGGTGGATCTAAGGTCTAAACAACGGAATTTCGACCAGTCTTCCTTTGGCGGTACCGGCTGATATATTTGACACGTGGCCGAGAACCTTTAGTGGGCGACGACAGATTGCTCTGCCTCCTCCCTCCACGGGACTTATGGAACAAAGCTGGCCCCGTATGAAAAGACCATGATGAAAAGTCCCTGCTGTTTTGTGGAACCCGTAGTAGTATAATCTTCGGATGAGAGAAGGATAGGACCCGACAGATAGACGGGAAAGTAAATGTGGCGGAAAACTGCTCTCATCTGCCAGGACAAATGAACGACCATCGCTCGACCAACGCATTGCTTCTTCGTTGCCCGGCTCCTCAAGAGTCATGGAGATAGGGTGAGAAGAGCTCGAGTAGAGTTCAAGCCCCACGTGACTTACTGGTGGCCCCTGCCGGATATTCGATTGCCCACTTTCTGGCTCCAGACCTGGATCACCAGGACCTGTGCGGCTCCTTTGTCCCCAGGGCTCGCTTAGACCGCATATGCCATTTATAGTGCCCGTGCAGTCCGCTTGGGGAGCGCCATTGGCGACTGTGAGCGTCATTGACTGGTTAGAAGCAGCCTCAAGCCAAGATCCACTGTGGGCTGCTTTACTTCCGACATCTGTAGCTTGAGGCGGAGGGCGCTGCTCGCCTTCAATAAGATGACCTACTAAGAGCTGGTGATTTCTTAATGCATCCTCAAGGGATTCGGTTTCTTTCAGCCCTATGCCGACGCTGTTTAGTCTTTCTGCTAGGAAACTCAGGAAGGATACACCCACCTTGATTGATTAGTAGCTTAACATCGAGCAACTCGCGTAAAGTCGTCTCAGTTGACCTCAGCTCCGTTTTGCAATCCTCTCTGTCCGGCCAAGGAGCAAGGAATCGCCAAGGCCTACCAGAGCGAATGAGGTCCAAGTCATCGCCCAAGAGCTCGATGAGAGAATGAGGTCCAGCTAAAAGCACGAGCGTTGTCCATGTGATCGCCGGGCCTTCTATCACCTTTGGTGCAGCTCTTGAGAAAAGAGCTGAGACGCTTTTGTCCAAGCGGAGACTGACCAAACATTCCCCACGGCCTAGGGCGATACTGCCTCCTTTCTGCAGTGTAATCCGAGAACTTTTCAGCGTAGCCAAAAACTCAGGTATAAAGACATTGGCGTTCAGGAGGGAGGCCAGACTACGTTCTGGATGGCGAGTGGTGAAGTCGACACAGTGAATCCGCTCAGGGGCATGCAGCTCTGGCTGACCGCATGCATTGGAGGAAGACGTCAATAAAGCCATCTGTGAGGGGAAGATAACCTGTATCCCTTTTGGAGCTGTGGTAAGAAAATTTTGCTGAACCAATCAGTCACTTGCAACTGTTGCTCTCCAGATTTATTCAGACTGCGCGGTGGTAACGTGATTGCAGGCGGTACCACCCAAATGGGAATGGTTACCGCGGCCATAAAAGGGCTGTTCGGTTGATGATTACGTTACCCACAATACCAGTGTACGCATTGACGTATGGATGGTTTTCTATGAGCTTGTTTACTGCACATGGAGGCAATAGCGGTAAGTAAGGGGTTGATCTATTGACTTTCCTAAGATCTTTAACAGTTAATATGAGTCAACATGTCTCACAAGCCTAAGCATTTGAAAAGAAAGAGTCCACCTCACACGTTTTGTTTAGCCGATCTACTGCGACAAGCCCACTGTTGTCGACAACACAGGAGAAGCAGCCTTCCCTGCTCCGGTCGGGGGTAAGGTGGGGAAGGATACATCAAGAGCAGGTAGACCTCGTTAAGACAAATACCGCGCAGAGCAAGACTGTTGCCTCAAGGATTTGGTCTCCCCAGCAAAATAAAGCCTGATGCAATTCAGAGTTGTTGAACCATTTATTCTCGTTCATTGGTGAGTCTGATGCTCATGCACCCCTGTCACCTGCTAGGCTAAGTGGGTTATTTCAAGCCACTGTGGTCCCCCGCCACAAAGGGCGCTGAACAAAGTACACTGAGAGTGCCAAGTTACATCAACAACAGCAATGTAACTGGTCATCCTAAGCGTGTTGATCAAAGTCCACGAGTCGTAGTTGGCCCAGAGCCACATTTATGCGCACATTCAGCGATCAGTTATCTAAATTCCTCGTATGTCGAAATCACTAATTTTCTCTGCCGCTTTGCCAAAAGTGTGAGAGTGTTGCTTATTTCAAGGACGGGTAGCGCAATTACTCTGTCAATGGGGAGAGTTGTATGAGTTACCAGAGTGCTTCCAACATTAATCGAGTTGCGCAAGGATGCGCATCGGAAAATTGTAGTTCAAGGTAGAGCTACTCCTGGGTTTGCGTTCGACTACTCCTTAACCACAGCTTCCGGACGCACACTATAGCGCCTAGAGACCACTAGATTTCAAGGCTGAAACTATGTGAAGATTGCCAGATCGTAATAGAGACTAAGATGCGGACTCCGACCTCCTTTGACCCACCATTTCTGACGACATATTGTACAAGGGCAAACACACGCGTCGTGATTTCTTGACTGGACTAGATTGTTCAATTGATGCATAATGCAACGTCGAACATACCTACATGTTACAGTACATGGTACGGACATAGCTACTGCATACCCTTTCGTAAATTGTCATACTGGGAAAGGGGGTATTCGAGCTGATTGCTCTTTTGTTCAAAGGCGTCAATGCCCCCTAGAGTGTCCACGACCTTGAACAAGATGGTCAGTTCACCCGCTGGACGCAAGATAGTTCCAACTTACCGTTGTTATCAAGCTTTGACTACCTAACTTATCAGCACTGCTCTCCCACCACATAGCACCTCCGAATCCTTTCGATTTGATGTAAAGCGCCTGTTTCCGGGCAACCTCGGGGTTATCGTAGCTGACGAAGATTCGCTCCTGCGCTTCGTAGCTGTAGCTCGCTACTATATCTTCATCTGTATGTTCCTCTGCCCCTGGCCGCGGTAGGGCCTTGTAGTCCCAGACGCCATTTTCCCAGCTCCCTTGGCCTACACCATGGAATGGTTCTCCAGGGCCATCCGTATCTGTGAATACCCGGCCATAAAGAGGCATGCCAAGGACAATCTTACTCGCCATCACACCACGTTTAAGGTAACTTCGACTGCCTCTTCAGTATTGAACGGAGTCGACCGCTGGCTGGAGCCGCTTTTGTATATGTTCGCCTGATGTCCGGCCCACTCTGAAAAAGTACCACCTGCGTAGTTATAAGCCATAAGGTTCAGGAAATCAAGACTGGTGTCCATGTGCTCAATGTGAAGAGTGTCGACCCTTTGCGGACCTACAAGTAGAGGTCAGATATACTTCATGATCCATATCATGTTGCCGTTAAACTCTCCTCACATACAGTACGAGGAGAGTAAAAAACCGTTCACAGACAAACGATGTTCACTCATATAGAATATTATGCCATTCGCCTTTCTCTTAGTAGGTCTTTTACTTTTCTAGGCCGAAGAAGGTGCTGTTAGAGGACGTGCTAGATATGATCTTGAGGGCAAGCAGATTTGCAGGTGCACGGCGAAATTTCTGAGACATCAGAGTACAAGGAAGGTTTTTATTGGAGGTCGTTCTCTGGACCAGGTGGAACGAGCCAGAAAAGCCAAGACTCTAAGCGAAGCAGCAGTCGATGGGTAGCAGGATGCTGGAAGCGTTAACTGACGGTGGCCGAAGCAGATAGGTCAGCGATAATTTCGGAATCCCAAGCGTTCGCCGAAGACCGAGGACACCTTTGTCTCACGTCCCAGTACAGTACATTAATGCCTTTTCCGCTTGTAGAGTTAGGGTAGCTATATCAGTAGGTACAGTAAGTCAATCGACAGTCAGCTTTCATGTGCCTGTAGACAGCGTTATGAAAGCATTGTGATCCCTCTCATGCCTTCCAGTTCCGACGATCAAAATAAGGGCCGACCAGGGAAGCATGGGGATAAGATCAGCCTCCACTTTTCCCGGAGAAAAGTCGCAAGCTTTTGAGTTTCCGTAAGACTTGCACTAGGCCTGTTTTAGCATCCAGCCCAGTGATTATCAAAGGATTAGCATGGTTTAACCATGAGGAACCTCAAAAGAACCGGTGAGGTCAACTCTGTAGGTGGCTGACTTGCGCTTTACCCAACTAGCAAGTAGAGTTGGTGTATATACAGAAAGGGTTCTTATGTAAAGGGTTTCCGATGATAGTTTAAAGGTTATTTGTAAAAGCACCAGCGGACGAATCAAACAGTAGCGTTACCTTGCAATGCTTATGCCACCAAAGCGAGTTCTTCGCACGGTAGCAAAACACGGTCCAACGGAGCGCATGAGCAAGTAATTCGAGAAGCTGGCTTTGTGTCACTGATTATCTCGTGATCCTTTCCAGAGTAAATATTTTTTAGGATGCCGCAAATGCCGCCAGTATCCTCCTATATGTCATGGACAAGGGATGCGTCGACCGGGCACTTAAGCGATAGAAGAACTCGAAGCAGTCGCCACTGTAGTTGCTAGGGTTACCGTCCACGTAGGTTTCGAGAGCTTTGTTAAGTAGCTTACACTAAAGTTACAGGATAATTTAGCTCAAGTGGGCCTAGACTCGCGTTACTCTGGTTGAGGCACACGGCAAGCCAAAAGTGTGTGGGTCGGGTTGGGCAAGGATTCTGGTTGACAGATTCTGATTGGTATCCCCCATATCACTCGTTCGTGTAGTATAAATTATTTCAGGTGTCGTAGTAGGAGTAGGCCCATCTGGAAGTGTTGCAAGCAGAATTCAAGGCATTGAATAAACATTGGAACGAGAGAAATGCCCCATGAAAGTCATTTTGCATACAACCCACGCTTAGCGCTGCGCCATGTAGGACTGACCGTGAAAGCGGTTGCTTCTTAATCGATAATGACCTGTGTAGAAACTAAGCCATATCGTAACAGTTGCCCTTAGACAAGATATCATACAAATTCAATGACTGTGCCAATAACGGTGGGCATATCCATCGCCATTTCTTAGGAGAACCTCCGCGCCCGCAGGGATTCTTCTGATTGGTGAAGCATCTTTTCTTCTTAATCTCACGGCGTTCTACACTGCCGATGTACCGGTGACCGACCAGCAGGCCATTGTTCAGGATGCGTTCGGCACCCTCCGTGGAGTCGAACCATATCCCAAGCGATGCGGAATTCCGGAACAGCCTGTCTTTCCTCTTGAGCCATGCCACGTTTTCAAGTCGGTACCCTGTTCCTCCCAGGTCATTTTCCTCCAGGACTTTCTCAATGGCTGGAGCATTCGCGTTATCCAGGTCGAAGTCCTCCGTCGGGGTACGGTGCACGACGACGCCCAACCGCGGCTTTACCAGCTTCGCGTTGTTTTCTAGTTCGTTTAACCAACCGGAATTCAAGCGAGCCACCTCAACTGACTCTGAGTCTTTGAATCAAATCACATAGCCTGTTTTCGTGGTGGCATTCCCGGCCACCTGAGCGCCCTGCGTGGAGGCGCAGTTCAGCAGTGCAGTGCAGACGTGAGTGTTAGCGGCGTCTGTCGGTAAGTAGCGTCCGAAAGTGTTTCCGCCACTATTGTCGTCGTCTGCAGGGTCTACAAACGATAGTTGGGTGTGATTCGGAGGCCGTTTTGGTTTTGTCGGTGTGATGGTGGTTCGATTGGGCTGTGGCACTGACGAGCGACGCAGCCAGATAGAAAGAGTCGCCGAGCACTGGATCAAGACCCAAGCAGATACAGCAGCTTCCGAATCAGATATTTGGCCGGAGGCCTGCTTAAGGCAGCAGCGTGCGCGGCGCGCTGATTATCGGAATGAATCTCGACCCGCTTCCGTTAGCCGCGGCAGCTACGACGATTTCACACGATCTTTCTCCGACGATCCCAGATATTGACGATCATGACATGGAGGATATGCCCGACAACCAATGGAGATCAAGCTCGGTGCCAGTACATCTCGGAGAATTGCAGCGTTGTCCATCCAGAAGAGCCAGAGGGCATGGAAGGCGAACGAACGAACATGGACGCAAGTCAGTCATTCAAAGCAACGTCGACCAGGATAATGGTGAAGAAATGGGAGAATCTAACGGCTTCCACAGCGACTCTGAGCGTGCTTCGACGGCCACCCACGGTTCAACGAGGAATCAGAAGCGGCTCCTGACGGGGCAGCTCGAGCCCTTACTGGAATTGTTGAGACAGCGTCTAAGGTGAAGACTCTAACCCAGCCCTCCGAGGATGGAGCGAAAGACCTTAGCATCCAGAGCACTTCAACCGTCAGAGACAGGGAAAGGATCAAATTCAGAAAAATGCGCTATGTGAAGCCAGTGTAATTTGATGGAATATAGTGATCATTGTATTTTGATCGAGAAAGCTAATCCAGAAAGCAATCATTGTTAGGCCTCATTACCTCCCATTCACCTGATCCACATCTAAAGAGGACGGGCTTCGCCACACCTTGCTGCGAATTATTCAAAGCATGATTAAGAGAAAAAAAGTAAATGAATAAACACAAGAACCTCACCCACATTTGCATCTCATGTCATCTGGCGCCATCTCTAACAGAATTTCTGAACGTATGTATAAGGAAAAAGACATGGTCGAGCATAGAACAAGCAACGAGTATATATACTAAATGAAGAAGAATTGGGAAGCCATCGACAGTACCTGCCATATAAAACCACAGAGTGTCCTGGCAGTCACTTGACGCGGAATAAGCTGCATGGCTAAGTCTGCATTGACAATAAAGTCAGGGGCTGGGAAAGAAACAGAAACAAAGTTGAAAAATAATCATCAGTGAACTGAAACTCCAAGGCTGCTGGAGGGTCAGCAGAGGTCAAGGATCAATCATTTAAGATCATGTATGTGAGACTAACTGTCAGGATGGCTACATCAGCTAAAATGAGGAGCCTGCTGTGATGGATCACAGGGATGACTTAAAGATCCTGTGTGGAAAGAAGAGCCTCTCATGCTTATGTCATCCATTCTTGAAGGTCTGTCTTGAGGCAGGTTCAGCAGGCTGTGAGCCCTGTGAGGCATTTCCTGGGGATGAGATATTGGGGATATGGGAAGCTGATATGACATAGTAGTCTGAGACATGGCATGACTGAGTAAAGTACCATACTCCACTAGGTTAAAGAGATTGTATCAGAATGAAGGTGTCCAAGGGTCGAAGCTAGCTAAGTGCTGCATGGGCCAGGGTGCTTAGCAGTGGTTGGAAATCTGCCCTGAGGCGGAGGAGGTGATGGGCGCCTGTGTTATATAATTGAAAGCGGCATATATCTCAATGGGGCTGAGAAGCGCTATTGTTGTAGGTGTTCTGGGCATCTGCTGCAATGCATAATCTTTAGTATACTTAGAGGTTGTGGGAAAGAAGGTTTGGTCATCCCAGGGTATCTTACCGAAGCTCAATAACTCTGGTAAAGGAAATAACTTGTTTCTGTCATCTCCCATATTTATTGGATGACTTGGTACCGCCATATCTGTGTGCTTAACTAAGCTCAACATCAGGCGGGTTAAGTTCATCTCAGAGTGGAGAATAGGAAGTGCCTCATCTGCATTATTATCTTCTTACTCATGCTTCTGGTCTGGATCCACATTGGAGTCGCCATCCTTCTCTTTTTGGTTTGACTCTCAGTTAACAACATATATGATTATGTTGGCATCTGAGGCTTGTCAACAGCTGTCAGAATGAATTTTATAGAAAGAAGATGCTACTTACTAACTTCTCCTCTTTCATAGCGTTCTTTAATCCTTCTCACGCTGAAGACCTTGTCCAAGATTTAGAGTCTGTGGGGGTCTCTGAGCTGCCGCTTGCATTCATGGGTAATTTCCTGTAATTGATCTGTGGTGATACTGAATCTTCCAAGCTTATAGATGATATGAATCAATAGAGACAGGCATTCTAAACCTGTCAGCAAAATTACTTAACACTGGAGATTTTCTGGAGGGGTACACATATAATCCTTTTGAAGATGGTCAGGCTCTTTGTGAACCACATCGGCGGGCCACTATTCAGGCTTTGTCTTCTCTGGGTCGCCCTTTGTACCAGGAGGGGCTCTAGTGGGGGGTTTACCTCCATTATAGGGGTGCTTGAATTGCTTTCCTAGCTTAATGAACCTAATAAATGCCTTTGTAATCTGACGATAGTTGAACTGCCGGAAGTGTTCCAAGGATCTCTTATAGTAGTCAAGAACTTCAGGAGTATTACTAATCTTAAGCCTAACCTTATCCACTGATCCACAAGAGGGTGTTTCCTTAACAGAGACTGAGCACTGGACAGATAGCGGCACACTGTATATAGAGTGGGCTGGGGAATTTCTGCCCTGCTTAGTTTAACAGTAGGGTAAGTGACTAAGTGGTTGCTGAGGATCATAGCTATATGGTGTAGCACCAGCAGCTGATAACCCTGTTCAAATGAGATCAGCAAGAATATTATACTTATGTGTGGAGATTTTACATACTTCAAACTATGGGCGGTTGATATCTGACCTTAGCATCAAGGATTTCCAAAAACCTTTCACAGACTTTGGTTATGAAAACAGTCTTATTTTGCTCCTGGATAGACAGAGATTCAATCACCTTAAGTCTGCCTATGTTGTCAAGATAGATCATGGCGTAGTGGGTGTAAGGGATGTTGATTAATAAATGCACGGATAGACCTATGGGCTATGTAGGAGATGAGTCAGCTCCATATGTCTGTCTAATGCTGGTATTACTTACCAGTACATTATCCCAGTCATTAACATCGTCCTGCATGTATGACGCTGGCCTTTTACTGGAGCCCACTCCAGGAGTAGGTGCGCTGAACACCATTGTGTAAATTTAAGAGGTTGATGTTGAAAGGTACATAAGGTTTCGTTGAGCAGGTGTATTGTTTGGATAATCTTGAGTTGGATGTTTCTCAGGTAGTACAGTTACTGAAGGCTGAGATTAGATAGTGCTCAACACATGAAAATGCCGTTGGGATCGGAGTGAGTTTACACCTGCGATGGCGGCAATATATATTGTCTTGAAGGTCTTTGTTCTTTCTTCCAACGGGATCAGAAAAAGGTGATCCAAGATGGTGATGAGGCTGCAGAGATCCAGTTCTGGTAAAGTCACGGCAGGCAAATGCCGCTGATTAGCTTTGGTTTAACTCTTAGAAAGGTATAGGGTGCCAGAAGCCTTCAGGGAATGCAAGATACAGCAATGAGAAAGGACCAAAATTGAGATAAGAACATCAAGACAGAAGCGAAACCCCAGCACGGCGGTTCGAGTCCATGACCCTGGCTGGTATCTGCTGTAGTTTGCTTCTGAAGGTAGATAAACCATTTTAAGGCGGACCAACGCCCATTGAACTGATTTGAGAGGGGGTAGTATGCGTGACAAGTGACGACATGCTACTCACAGGATGCACCCAGACAAAAACAGAGATCAGACACCTAATGAGGTTCGAGAGCAAACAATCAAGATCGGCCCGGGAAGTGGAGGATGCTGCAAGATGGATGCTGGCAAATGGTTTCGGCACCCAGATGGGCAGGTCCGACAAGCTGCAACAGAGTTGACTTGGTCTGATTCCTTTTTTCTGCTCTGGGGATATGTATGGTAAACAAGGATGGTAACACAAAGTTAAGTCAAGAGAAGAGATAATCAGTGACTGACAGCTGAGAAGCTACCTATAGCTCAAGTGAACACTCAAGATCCTGAAGGAGAGAGGAAGTAGATGAGAAGAAGAAGGATTGGAGCTTTAAGATGGGAGAAATGGCACTTTTTAGTGCTGCTGATGAGAGATTGGAATGCCTGTGCGTCTAGGGTATTGAATAATAATTAAATATAGAAGAAGAAGCGCCATCTGGGACTTTTTTTATTTTTTATTTGTTATTTCCCTATATCTCCTTTTATCTGGAGTCTGGATATGGATAGTTATGCTAGATCTAGCATGCAACCATTTGTTTACTTTATATGTTTCAGCCCATGTTTGTTCTTTTGCAATTCTCTCTATAGTCATACAGTGAAATCTAACTAATAGGTTGATAGTCTGACTGGTTGCAGTGCTTCCGGCATTATCACCTAGCTATGCGATATTTGGCTAATCCTAAGATAGTCAATTAGCAGCAATGACCCTTCTAGTTTACTACGGCCTATCTGGGGAGCCCTGGTCCAACGTGCGTAGCGGATAGTACCAGATGACTTGTTTAGCTTAGACGAGTGGACAAGGATGGCTGAAGTTTTTGGGATAAGTTGGAGGCAAAGAGTGTTCTGGACTACAACTGCCTATGGTTTTGTGGTGCATGAGAATGGTACACGCACGACACGCTGCAGACAGGGAAGTCATGCAGGGGCTCCTGTCCTGTGGGGTGTCATATCTCTCTCTGCTCTGCTAGAGTAAAACAAGTATGATACATGAGTTCTCTGTCCTACTTCATGCATCTAATGCGATATGGATTGCATGAACGCGAATTCATAAGGGCCTTAACTAAGAATAGAGCACCTTCCTTCCCGGGAACAGTAGTCGGATGAGCCGCTCCCCGAAGTACATGAAAGTAGGAACTGTCCTCTCCCCTTAGCTGTAACAAAGTACCAAACGCCACCGTTAAGGTTGAATACTATTCTAGTGGTAACTAGTCCTAGTATAGAGGCCTGTGTATCTGATTAATATCCCTAATCTTGCTTTTGCATGTTCAAGCACTTAGGACAAGACACATGGTGATAAATATGACAGGCCAGGCCTACTGGTACTTCCTTCCTGCAGCAATAGCAGGACCGTCTAAGGCGCAAACCAGGTGACTTCTTATCCCAATCCTGTTTCGGCGCTTCTCCAGCTCTCCTGTAAATTAATGGCGGCCTCTCGACAACAGGGTCGTTGTCTTGGAGCGTATGAATACCTGTTTCTTGCTGTAACCCATCAGTTAGTGGACGCCAATGAGGATTGCTACCCCTTACACTCTTGTGTTCTTCCTTGTCCTTCTTTCTTGGAATGAGTTCTTCCCTTCCTGCCCCTGTGTTTTGTCGTTTCCTAGTTTCCATCTAAAATATTAGTAACTGGGGCCATAATCATGCCCAAAGGGACATACAGGATCCATGTTACTCTTGATGGGGATGATCAGTAGCAGAAGACTCGGGATCAGCAATACGCTTCTTCTTAAAGCGGGCGTTCAGGGCAACCAAGATAAGAAAAGTTCCCATCCATATACATATAATGACGTATATGAAGGGAACCATTGCTTGAATAAAGTCGATTCATGCCTCTATTTCTGGGAGGATTGACACTATTTATATTCTCGCCGGGGATGAAAGCAGCTTGTGGCGTACTTTCTTATGGAGATAGAACTATCTATTTCGTATAATTCTCACGATAACATTGAGCGGCCAGCAGCCGGAAAAAGGAAAATAACAGCAATGAAGAGTCAGACCATTCTGTATACGCCCATTAAAACCATTCGAGCTTTGGCATAAGCATAAGGAACATGTAGCCAAAAATCCTCTCCTCGATAGCGAAAGAGGGCCTCAATTGAATCATCGTCAGTCTCTGGGATACGAGATTCAAGGCATCTGAGCTCAAGGTCATCGAGGCTTACTGAGAGCTCGTAGTAGAGTCTAACCATCCGCCCGCCGGTTGAGTCGTCAACATATGGAGAGCTAACAGCAAACAGTTCTGGTTCTTCTGGGGCCTTCGCATCCTCAACAATTGTACTCTGATCTGAAAGGCTGATAGAGCTAAGTCCAGAATGTCTGGTTTCCGTAGTGCTGTTCGAATCACATTTACTGACGCCGGTGTGTCCTCGGTCATCAATGCGCTTGGTCTCCACGACGATGTGCGCCATGACATTCTCACCGTTGACGTACTTTGCGGAGGTGGTCTGCCCAATGAAGGCATTAGAGAGCCGGGAGCAACCTCACAAACAGTACTTACAATTGTCATTTCTTCGAACGTAGGCTTCTTATCAAGCAATGAAGCCCGTTCATCCTCACTCGCATCCTCATTGGTGCTGTTGCGCCCCAGGAGCTTCTGCCACCACAACATGCAAGTGAGTAAGGCTCTACTCCAAGCCATGCCGAAAATCATGCAGCGATATAGAAAAGAAGAAGTGTTTAACGAAAATCTGCGTTGGTCTGTGCCGAATTGCGGTGAGTATCTGGACAAGGCTGGCGCTTTTAAAGACCAATCTATTCTCATTGAGGCCTTACTGATGAGCTTCGAATTCACTTCGTTTAGCTATGTTATTGAATTCACCCATTAGACAATCCGATAGAGATCGCTTGTGTCAATCACTTTAGCATTAATTTTAGTGCATTGCAACCAATAAGAGTGAGGAGAAGTATACTGCGCTTCCGTCTCTGGCATTCTGTCCCGTCCTGTCCTGTCCCGTCCTGTCCCTTCCTTTTTATCCCTTCCCACCCTTTCCCTTCCTTTACCGTCCTTTCCCGTCCTTAGCAGTTCATAGGTTACAATGGAACAAAATCGGCCCTTAATGAGTGACATCACATGACAACACACGCTGCTTTGCAACCTAAGGGCGTAAGATATTTACATCAGGTGGTTGCTTTCTCTACGGCCGTTACGTGTGCGGAAGAGGGTTTTTCCGTCGTCCGTGAGGGGAAGGTGTCCCCTCCTGATGACTCAGCAAATTCTTTGTTGATTAACTAGAATCGGTAGGAAAGATGGAGGGGCAATGCGCCAAATTTTGACAATAGGTCAATTAATTTCTGTCAGGCAGTAACAGTGCCTTGGGCCACACGAGACAACGGCCTTACAACGTTCTAGTACCGGGCCATATACACTACTAGAAGTCGGGTTCTCCTTCCCTTGAGCCTTCAAACAGTCGATTCTTGCTACTTTGCGGCTACAGATGCGCAAATACTGACGCGCTACAGTTGACGAAGCAAGTAGGAGATATTCCCCTACGGTCGGCTGAGACCTTGGCTGTTCAAATAAGTACCTTCGCTTACTTGCGGTATCGGACGAGCCATGACCAATGTCGTCGGGCAAACGGCGTTGAACGGGGAGTGGGAGAGGATATCAAATAAATGCTTCGAGATTCAGGAAGATATGATCATGACATTCGAAGGTCAGTCATGCAATATTGCAGATTCTGAGGGAAATCCTATTCCGAATGGGAGCCTTGGACCTACAGATGGACAAACGACAAGGGTTGTAAAGGCTGGCTACCGATGTTATATCATGAGAGCAATGGTGAAGTTCGAAAAGATGCAAGTCGATATTTGCTAGATGTAAGGAACCATTTTCATTAATGAGGATCACCAAGCCCCAACATGTCAGAGATGTTGAATCCATCAGAATACCCCATCCTAATAACCAAAAGAGTGTCCTCGTTAATCTTTTTTGGCAAATACAGGGACAAACAGTTCGTTACGGACAAGCCTCCTCTCTCCTGTTCGTCCCTCCATAGCTTGCTCATCTGCATTCCGGTCCGAAATGGTTCCGGCAACTTGTCGATCATATGACGCTTCGTAAATGAGAAACGAAAATAAGGGCCTTCGTCGAATAAAGTCTGATCTTCTGGAAAATATGAGTCATGGCTTCTTCTATCGCTATTGAGCTATACATACCTAACGCTGGGGGTTCCAGTCGCGGGAGTTTTGACGACCGTTCATGAAGCATAGGCTCATCTCCTAGTCTATCTCCTTGTTTATCTGGCTCGTTTGGATTTTGCTCCTGGCTACAGTTCAAAGCAAGTGGGCGCCCTTCGTGCCCTGTATATTAGAATCAGTTAGAAAATCGCGGACCGGAAGTATGCACAACAGCCTCACATTTTGGAAGCAGTTCTTCTGACGTTGCTTCAGGTGGGAGATCGCTAGTCTTCTTTACTGGTGCGGAGGTAGTAGAATTTTCGCTTTCGTCGTCGTGAGGAGGTAAACCACGACAAATCGTGTTGGTCACCAGAGCAAGTGACTTGTGCGGTGGGCGCGATGCCCACCATTCTTCGAGCTGCTTATAGAATGTCCCAGGCGGTATTTTAGGCAGACCGGAAAACGCATATGACAGAGAACAGAGTACAAATAATTCTGCGCTTATTGCATAGACCTTTCTGGCAAAATAGCGAGCTCGACGCCTGACGCTTCGGCTTGACGAAGCTCTCTTTTGAAGGGATTCATCGGTTTCTGTCAATATCTCTACCCAGAACTGGGTTTGAATTGTCTCGGCATCAGGTAATGGATACTCGATTTTTGAGAATTTATCTTCTAGGCGGGGTCTAAATCGGTTATCGAAGAATGAGTTGTCAGTTAAGTCCATTGTTCAAAGTTTCTGGACTTGAAACACACAAAAGGACATAATGGGACGCTTGGGGGGAAAGGACAGGACGAGGCAGGAAGGGATGGGAAGGGGTGGGAAGGGACAGGACAGGAAGATGGGGTTCACACCTACATTTAAGCCCCGCTGGATCACACCGCGTCGGCTGAATGGGAAGACTCTGGCAAATATGATTGGGGAAAGGGATAATGGTCTCATGCATGGCTGTCCTGGAGGCACTACCGAAGTTATTGGTGATCTTTTTTTGTGGCGTTTTGAAGGACCGCCGAACTCAAGCATCGCCAGCAGCTTTGTACATTCGTACTGGTAGGTACGGGGTGGAATCTTTCTAGTGGAAGAGCCCTATGCTAACGGAAGCCTTATTAGACGCGCAGATGGGGATCGTGACAGTTACCTGTGTCCGCCAGGTAAATGACTGTCTTCGTGGGCGCCAGACCCAACTCAGCCATTCGCCAGAGACTGATTTGGAGAGAGACCAGATGCCGTGTCCGTTCAACCAATTCCGAGTAAGCCCCATTACAGAACGAGGGCGCTGGCTATCCAATTGTCTGACCGGATGTCCTCAAGAGTTGCACTTTGGAGTCGCGATGTGATTGAGGCGCAGCCTGAAGTCCACAGGCATTAGCGCCCCGGCTAATGGGAGACCGCGATGCTGAGACAGGGAAAGCTATCCCTGGGTTTTCTTGCCAGTTGCCAGGTGTAAGCCAGTCACACTCCTTCTCGACAGTAGAGGATCAGCCCAATCAAGTGCGCATATACCTCTGTTTCCATAGTAGTCGTTTCAACCAGCTAATGCGGCCGACATATCACCACGACTCAGGTGTTTGATACCTCTTTCCTGTTTACCTGGAGCCTTGTCCGCAGAAGAACGAATGGCTCAGAAATATAAATACCCAACGTTCAAGTTAATCAAGAACTACCCAACATTCCTCTGTATATACTTCTCACTACCTCACTATAGCCACGCCCTCACTACCATGTTCCAGTCAACGACACGACGTCTTTACCAACTAATTGGTAAAACCAAGTTGACTGATCTTCCTCCTGAATGGCAAAACCCAGTGTCCAAGGTTCTCGATGCCGAAGAAAAGGCTGTCAGTGAACCCATCGAATTACGACCTGTCTTCTACTAACAAGCCATATCAGGATCCAAATTTCAAAAACGTCGAGATAAGGTATGATCCTCTCAAAATCTCCACTGATTTCCGTGTTGTGGTAATGGGAGACTTCAGGGGCTCCAAACCACATCCCTCACACGACGACCCCAGCGACAAGGAAGATGTTATATCAGTCCGCATCAAAGATGGAGATAATAAAACTGTGAGAAGGCTCCACATCCACCAAGATGGTTCGGTCAAGAAAATCAATGTTGGTTGAGGTGTCGGTCCATAGCTCGGGTGGGAGCAATATATGATTTGAACCTGTTGCAGCTTCATGAAAATTCCCCTTCGGGCACATTCTGCTTTTCCAAATCTTGTCTTGTTAATTCTGGAAATAAGTACTTCAAATACCTGAAGAAAGGTGGTTTGATTCGTCAACAATGTAATTTCCCTGCGGCGCCCCCAGTTGCGCAGCAGAAGGCCACTGTAGGCCCATTTTGACAATTGAGGTGCCTTGTAGCTATTACCTCCTAACGCTAAGCATTCACTTCAAGCGTCCAGCTTCTAAAATGTCCATCCATTCAATAGCCTCTGAAAAGCCTAGAGTGTTACTCATCGTGTATTGGGGCAGCAGCATGTCAATCAAGTCTAAATCTTTAGAAGGGGAAGCACAGCCTCATCCAGCCTCCGTGCCAAGATTAGGAAAACGACCAAAACTCACGTGATCCATCAGCCGCCAAGTCCGCCATAGTCTGGGCCCAACCGCCAGATAAAGAAGTCCCATTATCCCCATATGTAAGCATTCTCGAGCTTCACACCGCGACAACAATGTTTCGTCTATCGCGCCGACTACTTAGGGGTCCTCTGTTCCGGCGTGCTGCTTCACCAGCGCGACAATTTACTCAATCTAATTGTCTTCTCGATTCAGCCGAAAAAATCGAAGAGGAGACACTTCCATGGTACTCGCAAGGACACTTTTATCCCGTCAAAATCGGGGAAATTTTTCAGTCCAAGTACCAAGTGGTTGGGAAGCTAGGCTTCGGAGCATATTCTACTGTGTGGCTTTGCCGAGATCTACAGTAAATCAAACTGACATTGGTATTACTGTTGAATGAGAATTAACTCTATATCAGGCAACATGTGTACGTCACATTGAAAGTGTTCGAGCGTGACTCTCCGGAGGGAATAAGAGAAATGGAAGTATACAGCCATCTCAAATCCATCAAAACACGCCATAACGGTGCCATGCTTGTCCGTACCGCGCTGGATAGTTTCCAGATTGGCTCTCCCAAAGGCAACTACCAGTGCCTTATTCATCCTCCATTGGGCATAAGTCTATTTGATTTTCGGAATCAACTCGCGGCTAAAGTTCTTCCTGAGAATATACTTAAACTAACCCTGCTGCATGTCCTTCTTGCTCTTGATTTCCTCCACACTGAAGCAGGCATCGTCCATACTGGTATGAACCACTCACTCTTCCCCGACAACTTCTTCTAATATTTGGCTCTATTAGATATACAAGAAAAGAATATCATGCTTGGTATTGAAGACAACTCAATCCTGACTGATTTTGAAGAGAGCGAGAAATCCAATCCCAGCCCACGCAAGATAGTTGGGGATCAGGTGATATATGCTTCTCGCAAACTAGGAAGAACTAAGCATCATGGCCGACCCGTATTGTGTGACTTCGGCCAGGCTCGCTTTGGCTTGACTAAATACTGCGGGGATATCCAGCCTTACATATACCGTGCTCCCGAAGTACTATTGCGGATGCCTTGGGATCAGAAAGTCGATATCTGGAATGTGGCAGTAGTGGTATGTGACACTCTTCTTCCAGCATTGCCTMTTTATTCATCATGATAACGGCCTGATCTACCTAGACTAACGATGAAACTTTTGCAGACGTGGGACCTTTTCCAAAAAGGACATCTATTCTATGCGCGGGATCAACACAAGCAAAATTCTGACAGACATCACCTTGCTGAGATGATTGCGCTTTTGGGGCCGCCACCAAAAGACATGCTTCAAAAGAGCGAATATGCTTCAGAATTCTTTGATAGTGAAGGTATGTTTGTCCGTATGTTCGTCTGTTTTGACTATTGACCATGGAACGCGCAGGAAATTGGAAAGGAAGAGTTCAGATTCCTACACAGTCTTTGGAGAATCTGGAAGGGAACTTGCAAGGCGAACATAAAAAGTTATTTCTTGAATTCATGCGCAAGATGCTTCGATGGCGACCGGAGGAGAGAGAATCGGCAAGAGATCTGTTATCAGATCCATGGTTGAGGTCACCATAAACAGGTAACTAGATATCGGACCACTCCTGATGGTGCAAGTCCAGAGCCTTTGAAGGTATCCAAAAGTAGACGCTTCGTTCTTCAGTCGAGACGTAATAACCTCTAGGATACTTTAATATTCTTCCGTTTTCTAAAGCAGCGGCGTAGAAACACTCTTGCGTCCCGACGGAAGGTAACAATTGCCATCATTGACTTCATTGTTCAGAGTCAAAGAAGCTGTTATGAATCGGAGGGCTGGCGAGACGTGAACATCCTGATAGAAGCTTGTTGTTACAAATAGAAACCTATCACCAGGAATGTCTGTGTCTATTACTAGAGAGGAACACGGCACTGACGTATCCACGAGAGCGAAATAGTTTACAGGATGACTAGAGCACAGTAATGGCCATGTCGACCCCAACGAGGTCCTCTGGACAAACTAATTACGTTCTGATCTGCTGGATAAGGAGTGAGGGTGGTCTAAGCCTCATGCGCTAAGTTGAAATGACATCCTACTGATACAGGTAGGAGTTCATAAACCGAGTCCATGCCGCCAAATCCATCCAGCTTTTCGGAGGATTTTGTATCGTTGTTGATATCTCCTCTACTACATTCCAACTTCTACATTTCTCCCTCGTCGCTACGATACCATCTTTACTTGCGGCCATATTAACCGTAATGTCAGCTCAGCATCGGCCTGGTGACGAAACAAGCAAAGAGACTCGCTCTCAATGGCGGCAAAGCGCGTTCCAATGCCACCACTGCAATAAATGCTTTGGAAGAAAATGGGTGCTCCAGAGACACGAGCGGTCTCATGTCGCCCGGTCGGAATATCCCTGTGCATTCGAAGGGTGTGATCGCGTCGGTCCCAGGGCATTTCGCAGAAGGGATCACCTGCTGGCTCACCAACGGAGGCATACGGTGAAGGTGCCTCAGAGACGCCAGCAGTCAGGGCCCGATGCGCGATTTGGCACGGGATCAAGTCGTACTTTGCAGCGAGATCGTGCGTCGCCGAACATCAGCAGCGAATATCCAGATGTCAAATTCGAAGCTCTTTCCAATCCTTCAAATCATCGCCAAATGACTTTCCAATGTCCTACCTGTGGGAAGGGTTTCCACAGAGAAGATTCGCATAGGAGGCACGCAAGAATTCATGATCCGAACTGGCGCAAATTCGCTTGCGAATTCCAAGGTTGTGACCGCGTAGGTCCCAATGCGTTCTACAGAAGGGACCGACTGCTGGAACACCGACGTAAAGTGCACAAGGTTAAGGTGTCTCAGAGAACCCAGGAGTCCAGTGGTCCCCAGCGTGGTGAAGTATCAGGCCATAATCTGCCGCGAGATTGTACTGTGCCGAACATTGGCGGCGGATTTTGTAATATCAACTTCGAAAGTCTTTCCAATCCCAACCAGCTCAATCAGCTCAGGGATTGTGAAACACATGCAAGCCAATTCGCTGCGGCATGGACATCTCAAGCAGACGATAACGATGCGGGTATACTATTTGCAGTAGACAATCAGCATGAACCTGCATTCACTATATACCGGCGCATGAGCATTTTACAAAATCTATTTAAGACTCGTGTTAATATGGATACAATGCTGCATGACATTACGATATTGGGGTGCCATTTGGATTATTTGATCGGTATAAATTCACTGATTCGGGATATTTGCCTCTCCATGAGTGTCAACCAGGTCAGTGTGGATTTCTATGTGCACTTGTACCATTCGCCAAGTTGACTGACAAATTTTTACTGATCAGTGAGAGCTACGGCAGCTTATCTATGACGACTAGGCTGTGCTTGAGGGAACGTACAAAGGACTCACCCTCCCAGCGGGAAGGTCATTGAACGTTGAGCCAGTTTCTTTCACCCATGTAAATAGTGAACGCTACATTAGTGAGAAGACAAGGAAATGGACGAACCTTAGCAGTGAACCATGGATGGGAAGACGACTAACAAAGACTGAGGGCGTTGAAATTTTGGAACAAATAAGAGCAGGAGATGGCAGTATAGCGTATTTCCCGTTCCTGAGCGCACATAAACTCACGTAAAACAAGTCACAGCATACATTCCAAAACGATGCTGGAGGCTGCTAAGCTTGGAATGTTGCATGTCCTCGAAAATGTGTCGTCAGATAGGGCGTGGGCTGAAATAACCAATGTCAGAGTCTGACGGCCGAAACACTTGTCATGAACAGCAGCAGGTGAACGGTGGTAAGTGAACTTTATGGAAGGTACTCGACTATCTACGGCTGAGACAACTGCTCATAGGTTAAGTCTCAACAAGCTTATTCCAGTTGTAAATGCACCAAGACAAAGCGTTATTGTGAACTTCCTTGCTTAGTGGACTTTAGACTTATGCCCAGTAACCCCCGCCAAGAACTCAAACGACTCATATATTACTTGTTTTCGTCAGGATCTCTCTCCGTACTTACTACAATCAATCAGCTAGAGACATCGAGGTAGTACCATGATACATACCATTAACGTAACTGGATCTCCTCTACTTAAATTTGGAGAGACATATCAGGCGCCACTTTCTATCAGCACCTTCAGTAGCGCGGCATGGCCATTTACTGCTGCCCATGATACTGGTGTCCGGCCAATATTGTCTTGTTTGTTCAAATCTGCTCCTTTCTCAGCAAGCAGCCTTACTACCCAGCCATGGCCATTTGCTGCTGCCCATGACACGAATTTGGTAAGCTTCCTCAGTAAGGAGGAGATTTGAACGTTTTGAAACGACAGATCCTTCGTACTGGGCCTCCTCAGTGCATACACTCTCATTTGTCAACTCCCGAGCAAGCCAATCTAGCTCATGCCCGGGCGGAGGCACTGTGGTCCCTTTCTGGGCTATAAGCATGTTTTTTCCAGAACGTGCTGTTCGCAGAAGGGCGCGCACAAGTGCCATCACCAAAGTTGCTAGTAATTGCATGAAAAGCACCGATGAATGAAGGCCACGATATCCGAGAAATTGAAGGATGAAGCCCGTGACAGACGTTCCAATGCAGGGAACAAGAAGCCACTCACTTCTGCTGTATATATTGTCTTTAATGGAACGCACGTACATCATTTCTCCCCGGCGAATAGGTTTCCAAGTCTCCCAGGAACCAAATGTCTGATCCCCCACCTGCTGGTTTCCGGGTTGCAGCCACCATATACGGCGGGCTCCGATCTTTCCTTCGTGGTATGTCTCTTTTGTCGTGTTCTCGATAATATAGGCGCAACCGAACATGCCCAAACATAAAAGTGTTGTCCCGATTACAAAAAGTGGTACAGCAGCACGTGGAAGGAGTTTGCCCTCTCTCAAAAACCGCTCGGGATATATGGTTGTTATCCCTGCGTAGATCATAATTCCTTGCTTCATTTAGCTGTAGTCATAGAAGAGGGCAGTGGACATACCGATTTGCAAGGTCAGCCCCCCTACCGCTGCTGCATATGTAAATACGCGTTTTCGATGTCCGATTCCAACGTTGAGCGTCAAGTTCGGTTTGTGAGTAACCCTTTCTTCTCCCCCTTCAAGATTGTCTCTGGTATTTTTTCTGTCGACTATGCCGAACTGGACCGCCTCATCGAGGGTATAAAGACATCTTTTGGCCTCAATTTCTCTCATTATCTCCGCCTTATGTTTGATCCAGGTATCTTCGATGTCGCCTTCGGGGTTCAGCCTCTGCATCTGCTTGACTGCAGCGATAACGACCCAATCGGCAGTTTCACCCAGGTCATGTGAGCCTTTCCTTGCTCGACTTTCTATATATTTGTAGCAGGCCGCGGCGAATCCTTTTCCAAGTTTGAGCAATGCTCTTGCCGGCTTGCCGCTGCGTTCCCCACGCTCGTCAAACGGATGGATGCTTGTGGTTTCTAACTCCGATGCGGCCGCATTTTCTCTCAATAGAGCAAGCACCTGCGCATGTTCTTTGTCGGAAAAGTCACGCAGTTTTGTCATATCTGCCTGTACAATCTCAAGGATATCTGCCTCTCCAAAAACCCGGGAAATCCCTCTGTCGCTATAAAGTTCGGTGGTTGTTTCAGAGGTGCATGACAGCAACTCTACTTCTGCCTGACCCGACCCTTCTGCCGCTCTCCCGATGAAAGCCCGCAGGGAAGGTGAGCCGCATACCAGAATAGCAGAGACCACTGCTGTCAACACTCCCAAAGGTGCGACTGCGAAAACAAAATTATCCCATACGTTTAACGATTCACTGAGGAACTGGGTTTTTCCCCCAGGAGCGTAATAAAAGGTGCCTTTCCATTTGTTCGATGTTAACTTCATTTGATATTCTCGCAGCTTTTCCACATACCACGTCAGAGGCAAAGTTGTTTGAAAAGTCGTCCCACCAGCCAGCTCGGACTCCTGGCACAAGGATCCAAATTAACCAAACCAACATATTTGATATTCACAAGATAACTCGGAAAGGACTATGCAAATGGCAGAATTTGCAGGTACACAGGTAATTCTGGCAACAGGAATAACGGGCCCTCTGTGGAGGATATATAACGTGGATGAGTGCCATATTCCACCAGATCTGCCTGCGCCCCTCATTTGTGAACTGAGAAGTGAGGAGGACAAGAACATCTTAGCTGCAGCTGCTTCCCCAGCCTCGCTCTCGTTGATTCGATTTTCAAAAGTTCAGCCAGCCATAACGAAGCGCATGTATCTCAATCTGAACTACCTGACCCTGTCGAACCCCTGTAGTGGCACGCCAAATGTTTGAAGTCAATGTATTTACTGCTAGCCTGATTGGGGATCTCAACAACTAGCAGTGTTAACAGTCCCATGAGGGATAGTATGATGCTTCCTCTAAAGCATAAATGATTATATCCAATACTATATAGTATATAGAGTCTACATACGTATAATTGCATCTACAGTGGTTACCTTTAGTGAGGCGCCATGACGTTGTTATTAAGAGAAGGTTTCTTAAGATTTAAATCCGCCGCAGTATAGCAGGGAATTTCATAGTTAAGCTAGCGGTAATACCACTGGATTCAAACTTTTAATGAGTGTATCACCAATCACAGTGTCTCGCACGTAGTTGCCATAGTGAAACGTGACGCCAACCCACTAGTGCAGTATTTCAAGCTATAGAGTGGAGGTGGGGCTGAGAGAGAGCGGCAAGCCTCACCTTTCTAGAGGCCGTGTACCGCTGCCGTAAATACCTTAGGGCCTTCTCTTAGCATCATCTGTACCGATGATGACAAATAGCAAGAACCCGTCCCTCCGTTTACGTCGCTGGTAGCGCTGTTATTCTTGATTGGTCCCCCGATATCATCAGCACGGAACAGAGGCGCCTGTGGGTTGGGGGGGCCGCAATGTCGCGGGCCGTCCCCGCCGAGACCCACAATATCTTTCGTTCAAGTTGTAACGACAGGACAATGGAGAGACCCCTAGTGAGAGATTGTGTAGCGATATAAGAATTGGCGTGTCGTGTGCCGAAAGGGAGCTAACCATGGACCAGTGGGGGACCCACCCGCGGGATGGCTTGAGCCCCATCCCACAAACACCCAGGAAAGCAACACCAGCTTCTCGATTGAAGGCTTCCAGCCCCGGCTCCCGCTTGAGCCGCTCCCTGTATCCCGCAAAGAACACGGAGCGGAGATGCCTTCACGGCGTCGGAAAGCGCTGGCCGGACCACCACTAGGGAAATGGGGAAGCTCATCAACAATATGAAGCTGATCATCCAGAACCAGCCTGCACTCATCGAAGCCACCGAGACCGAGATCGAAGAGGTCAAACATGACCCGAATACCCTTCGTGATCAAATGAGAAGTTCCACGAGGAAATCAGAGCTCTGCGAGCTCAAATCGAAACCACTCCACCAGTGCCTCTGTCTAGATCATGGGCGGCGGTAGCAGCTGACGGCATCAGAGCTACCCCCCAACCGAACCGCCGTCATACCGACAAAAACCAAAACTGCGTCCAAAACAGCACCCAACGACCGTTCGTAGACCCAGCAGACAACGACAATAGCAAGGGAAACGCCCTTGGACGCTACCTACCGACAGACGTTGCCAACACTCAGATCCGCACGGCGCTGCTGAACTGGCCCTCCATGCAAGACGCTCAGGTGGCCGGTATCGGCACCACTAAACAGGCTATGTGATTCGATTCAAGGACCTTGAGTCAGCTGAGGCGGCTCGCATGAATACCGAGTGGCTGAACAAGCTAGGAAACAACACGAAACTGGTAAAGTCGCGGTTCGGCGTCGTCGTGCACCGTACTCCCACGGAGGACTTCAATCTGGAAAACGCGAACGCCGAAGCGTCGAGAAAAATATGGAGGAAACGACCCGTCAGGACAGGGCTACCAAATAGAAGAGGTAGCATGGGCCAAGAGGAAGACAAGCCATTAAGTTCGCATCGCTTGGGATATGGCTCGACTCCCCAGAAGGTGCCGAACCCATTTTGAACACGGCCAACTGGTCGGTCAACGGTACATCGGTAGGTAGTGTAGAACGCCGCGTGATTTGAGAAGAAGAGATGCTTCCGGTGTCAACGCTTTGGACACTTGGCATGGTCGTGCAATGAAGAACCACGATGCGGCAATTGTGCGGGCCCACACGAGCGGCAACGATGCCCACCAGGAGTCCGAGCCACATGCCTTGACTGCGGCGGCGAACATCCAACTGGCGATCGACAGTGTTCAACCGCCTCGATTTTCCGACCCTTCTCAATGTTAGAAACGAATCTTCTCGTGCTACCGCTGAATACCAAGGGATAAGGGTAGAGTTCAGACGTCCCAAGAGGTGAAACCTGGGGGTGTGGTCTACGGTGTGCAAGTAGATCTGTCTAAGCTACTTCATGTCTGTCCCGCCATATCCTACCCACCCATCTTCGCTTTAGAAAATGCGCATAGATAGTGATCGCCAGTCCTCAGCACACTGCCAGGCAACCATTCCGTACAGTAGCCTGAGCCGCTGGCGATGGATGAAAGCGTACTTAGGGTCAGCTTCATATGCGAGTAAGCCAATGCTAGATCCATAGTCACCGAGATTGGTGCGACCGCTCCTGAGTGATAAAATACTCCTACCGCTGGTCAGTCCATGCTAACTTAACCATCGTAATCAGCCAGATATCATCGTGATTGGGTATGGGCTTGCGAGATATGATGGAATTAAACTCTTTGAAAGCGCCGTTTTCTGTCCATGTCCTAACCCTTAGCATAGTAGGACTGAGCTGTACCCATCCTGAATTATATTCTTTGATATAGGATCATCCACTTGTATCCAAACGCGAAGTGATATCTCCATTGACGGAGGATACGTTTAAAGAGAATGTACACACTGCATACAAGTACTGTGCTATGCGTGGTCCAGCCAAAGCGTTTCCTGCCAACAGTGGGAGCCTTAAACCTGACCATATCTACTCCAAACGAATCACGACCTCAACCTCCATTTGATCCTGGCGCACACCACTGAGACTATACCGGTCTAAGTTGAGTAGACGGATAGGCAGAATTAGACGACGTTGACCTTTCATAAAACGTTAAGAGAGTATCTCGTAGCGAGTAGATGTGGCACGAACCTCTTAGGCGTACTTGCAACCTGAGCAGACACGATGAGCGCATGGAGTTTGCCCACGCTGACCGTGAGCAAGAACAGTGCCCTCGCAGATGTCATTGCCTGGGCCGTTCACGTGCCGGTATAGACAGCACTTCCAACCACTGGATGCCAGGTCACGGACATAACATTCTGTTTTGTTGCACAGGCCATGGTCAGCCACATCTGTGACGGTTCTCTCCTTCCCACACATTGTTTGCCTTCCAGTCCTCGGGTTTCGCCCGGCTTCGTGGCAATAAGTGATGCCTGGCATCAAAACACGGCAGCCGCATCGGTACTTCCTATACTGACGGCCACACATTGTTGAAAGGCCTGTTGGAGAAGAAGAATGGATGATATCCTGAAATGAGATGTAACTGAGGGAGTTGGGTCAATAGAGAATTCTGCTGAGCTCTCGTAGTCTCCAAAGGCTAATCCTCCCGCTTTATAATTGGGGTCCCTGCTCGCCCGTGAGTAAAATCATTTTCACCACATGCCCCGGCGATTATATAGATTGCCTCTATGGGAACTTCCGCAGAAAAGCGTGTGGTGTAGACCCGTCAATTGATTAAACAATTGCGAGCATGCTTCGCCAAGGGACGTTGTGACATTATTGGCCTCGGGGAGTGGATGGAGGATAGCATAGTACCAACGACAACGATATATCCATTTTAACCATTTTTCCTGAACGCAACGTGTGGTCGAATTACATGGTTACCAGCCGTGTGCCGTTACATGAGCTAGGTTGACTCGCAATGGTCCTAGCACGTTCCGTTCCGGAGAAGATTCCTGCAATAACGACTTAGCGTTCGAGGTTATGTCGTTGGAAGGTACAAAGAGTGTCATCAGCTTGTTGTGAAGCTCTGCTCAACGCTCACCAGTGACGCGATGTTTGCAAGGTCAAAGCCACTGCGTACTCATCAGTTTGATCCAACACCTTGACAAAGCTACTAGACATGCAGCCAGCCAGAGCAGGACGACGTTTGATAAAGCGTAGTAGCTGGTTAGTTACTGTTTCTAAATGGAGAGCCAGCAAACTGCAGCGTCTAGATCTGTCCACTGCTTTAGACGAGTACAGAGGTAAATCGCAATCCGGATCTCCAATGGTGTAATTGGTCGGCTTAATCTCTGCCAAGAGTCCGCCTGGACCAGTCAGATGTTCTCCTCAATAACTTCTCAATCACTTCTCAATAACTTCTCAATATCTTCTCAATACCTTCTCAATATCTTCTCAATATCTTCTCAATAACTTCTCAATATCTTCTCAATATCTTCTCAATATCTTCTCAATATCTTCTCAATATCTTCTCAATATCTTCTCAATATCTTCTCAATATCTTCTNCTTCTCAATATCTTCTCAATATCTTCTCAATATCTTCTCAATATCTTCTCAATATCTTCTCAATATCTTCTCAATATCTTCTCAATATCTTCTGAGTAAATTTTCTCATAAATACTACAGGGTTACGTTGTCAGCTTAGCAAAAAGAGTCTCGTGTAACGTTTCTTGTGCTGGTCCCGTACTTCGGAATTTCATCGATGCCGTCTTTCGAATATGTGCTGATTGGAACATCCACGTTTGTAGATGAGACAGACTGGACCTGCGGCCAGTCTACTCCACATTACACGGAAGCCAAGAACTAAGGTCGAAAGCGGAACTGGAGCGGGTGGCTCATCCCCACAATACGATGTGCCTACATAGTGGTATTCGAGTTGGTGCGCAATCATTGTTCTGCTGGTCTAGTCGTTCTCGACAATTGGATATAACTTCTCCTATCGGTCAAAAGAAGTTGAGGATGCACCAAGCCCCAAAAAGGAGACTACGAGCTCCGTCAGCAGGGATGATGAGGGAAATTACCACTGGATAAATATCTTACAGTATCGTAGAGGGTCCTCAGGATTGGTGAGGAAGGTACTTGCGAAGACATGGCTTCCGCACGCAGGTGCAAGACCTCCACTCCCCCAACAAGCCGTTCTGGCTGTCGCAGTCGTGCTGGTGACCACTAGAATGGCCTTGAAAATGATAGGATGAGACAAGCAGTTATGACGCTTGGTGCACAAGTGTTCCCGTCTGGCAGTGCTTGTACTTACCCATGACTTCGCTGACCAACGACAGCCGCCCATTGCCTGACCGCCCCAACCCTCGATCAAAAGCCATGTTTGTCTTTCTGCGACTTGCCTCAGCATCGCCCCAGGCGTACACTGGTATATAAACCTCCCTTTCTCCCGCTTGTTCGAGAACCTGACACTATCATTCAATATACTGACCTATCCCCATCAAGCACTCGCGCAATGGTTTCAACAGCACTTTACGACATCGGTCCGTTTTGGTTCAGCGGAACAAGTACGGACACCCAGTTGAATGTTTATGTCTCGGACAAACATTATCAGATTGAGCTTTCTGCATCCAACTTTGAGGATTCGCCGACGTTGCTGAGCGAGTATCTCCGCCATATCGAGCGTGTTGACCCGGAAAATTTCAAAGCTGACGAAGAGGAAGAGGAATCTGGTGATCCTCTCGAAGATCTGCATGAATGGGCGCTAACGCCTTTCCTCCCTGTCTTTCAGACAGTCTTCCCTCTCGACCGTACTCGGAAGTACACCCTGAAAGATTGGCTGTCTGCTGAAACATTACGTTATACGTTGGTCATAGTGGAAGGAAAATTGTCTCCATCGAAGCTCGACCCCCTCGAAGGACGTTCCATTGGTGCTTCTTTCGCACCTTCGGAGCGGGCCATATATTCAGCATTTCCGATCTATCGCCCAGATGAGGTACGGTTGCCAATCGATGAAGATTCCCGTGGGCTCCCCGCGATACCCCACAAGGTATTTGTCAGCGGGCACGTTCAATTCTTCAAGCTTGTCTTTCCGGGTGATGTGAATAGCACTCTCCGAGAATTCAATGCCTATACGAAAATTCGATCCGCCGGACTTGATTCCTCAGTTCGCACATCGAAGCTAGATGGCGTGGTTGAGGATAACGGTCGTGTCATCGGGTTACTTTTGTCGTACATTGACTCTAAGGTCGGAACCTTACTCTGCGTCGGAAAAGATCCCGCATATTCCTCCTTCCGACAAAAATGGCTCGACCAAATATCTCATTCACTTAACAGTCTTCATGCGCACAATATTTTATGGGGAGATGCCAAGCCGGACAACGTCCTTATCGACACAAATAATGACGCTTATTTGATTGATTTCGGCGGTGGGTATACAGTGCCGTGGGCAGACGGCAAGAATGAAAATAAAATCGAAGGTGACAAGGAAGCCTTTGAGAAGATTCGTGATTTCCTACTCAAGGAAGATGACCCTCCTCATTCAAGCCACCTCCCCTAGTGTATTCTCTGCCGTTACTTCTCCATGTTACCCTATATGAACGTTTGCTAGATATGAACTGAAAGTTTAATTTGGGAATTGTTGCATTAATGGGACAACTATTATCGAGTGACTCTATCATGTAGCAGCTCATGGTCGAAACAATCTGCCTGTTCACTAAGAGGTGTCCCGAGAGAGACCCGAGACATATTCTATCTGAACAGATTTGACATAGATCTCCCAGACCGTCCCGAGGTCGACTCCTGCGTTTGTGATTTAATCAGGGCACCTGAAATCCTCTATGTCGATTTTGGTCCGGTCAATGGATAATTCGTTAAAAGTGAGCGACTATTCGGTGGAGGTGGCGGATCTTGAACAAATGAATCATCGATTTCCCATTGCCAAAATCAATCAAGCAATTTTTAATTTTAATTTTAATTTTTATTTTTATAATTTTGTTTTTTTTATATTTTTGCTTTCCTTGATTTAGTATCGTTATAATAAGATATCCAATTTACTCCACAATCTTATGATGCATGGAGCACGGTGAAGGGAATCGCTTTGGAACCAATCTCTCGCCAGCACACCCACAAGGATTTAAATGATACATGTAGGGTTATGGCTCTTCCAAAAATATAGACTTTCTTCTGGCAGTCACAGTTCCAGTAGGGAATCTGCCCAAAGGCCGTTTCCATCGTGACGGCATACAGGGATGAATGAGATTTTCTATCGATAAATCCGCTCTATAAGTCGGGTTGCAGGCCCCTAAGATCGAGCGATGGAGAATTTGTCAGAAAAGACGTTTTATTTGTCACTCTCGAGTTTGGGGAAGTCGTGTTGGAGATCTCGGGGCGGTCTGGTAGCTCTTTTCAAGCTTGCACTTTCTGGCAGTGTTTCAACAATGGATGGCAACGGGAGTGATAGGAAGGGAGGAAAGATCTAATGGCCGCATTGAGCGTTCGCGGAGATATCCTCGACCTAAGAGATGAAACATTGTCAATAGGACTTGGCAGTTATGTTTGGTAAAAGGCCAAGGTCTGTGTCACTCTGTTTGTTCGCAACTTCACCCTATCTACCATTCCTTGGAATGGAGCCCAGGCATTAACAAGACTTGCGGCTGATCGACGGGATCCTTCCAGGATAGATAAGACACCGTTAGAATGATTGTATGCGGCTCCCTTTGAAGTAGCTGCAGCTTTGACAAGTCACTGTTGAACATGAACATCATTACGGAGACAACCATATCTTCTGCATCGGCCGGGAATGCCAGGTTCAGTAAAAACTGGAGTGTGCTGACAGAAGTTTTGTCAGGGTGACACGTGACGCTCAGATGTAGGTATTGCTACCCAAAACGTCTTAGCCTTTGTACCAGTCGCAGTCGTCAATTTACTAGGTTCGCTGTAGTGAGGCCCAACTCTCACACACTGATTAGTCAAATGTCTCTCACGACCTTCCCCACTTATGCCCCTCCTTAGTATTGGAAGGCCACATCGCTCTTGAAGCGACATTTTCGTGCAATGTGTTTATGCTTCCCTAAATGTCTCAGCCACTGGCACAAATCTTATCTACTACGTTGCTGGAATCTTCTTACCTTTCCTTAGGCGATTTCGCCTCTTCAGCTGAGCCTTTCGCCCAGAGCTTTCATCGGAGTGCTGGGGTCGGGAACCTTCACTGCCCGGTGGTGTCAAACAGTCAATTGTCGTATTCTCCGGCTCTTTATTATATCGATCCGCGCCAATTTCGTGCCTTGAACGCACTATGGATAGATTACGTACACAAAGCGTTACGCGCATTGCAGAAAACGATGGACAGCTCTTGGAGACGTATAAGAATGAGGTACACGTCGAGGTCACTGGCAAAGTCATGAAGACTAACCTCTGCCAGACCAAATACATCGATGCGGAGATAGAAGGGGCAGGCCCGGAAAATAGAGATTGGATGACGCCCGATCCATTCCGGGTATGGGGACCATATGACCACATAACGGCTGTTATCATCAACGGGAGCGACGAAAGGGATGCAACTGTCAGCATCTTGAAGGGAAATGACTGTATAAAGACCTACGACTTGAAATCGATGAAAGACGTCATAATGGTGTTTCTTGACCCGGGATTCTACTGCTGGTGTATGGAAGGCTCACAGGTGAAGTTTATCAAGCAGCCGAAGTGACCATGAAAACCGGTTAAGCTGTTTGTACCGTATACTTTTGCATAATCTTACTCGCTATCTCTAGTGGAATGCGCATGAACGGCTGCTGGACAAACGGGTCAGGGAAAACGATCTGTAGTCGGTCACCATGCCCTTCTTTGACAACGTCTTGTAGAACTTCAATCGCCGCGAGGTTGAGGGGTACAGTGGTAGGACCTTTAGAATTCTTGCGGTCTACACTTCGTTAGTAGCAACGTACGATAGAGCAGAGAAGTCATACTTTGGTCGTGAAGATGGGTTTCCGCGATGAAGGAAGAATCCTTGTTTGGGTTGTGAGATGTTGAATCGGCTCGCGAACCAAAGGATACGGACGTTCGTCTTGGCTGGCTTTCGTCAACCTGAAATCGGTCGCCTGAATACGTTAACGTCGCCTAAGCACTAGACAGGATTGAAATGAACCTTCAGTGATGTTGTTATCGGATATTTGAGTATCTTCAAGCGACAACTCTGCGGCGCTTGGAACCTTGTACAGAGAAGCCAAAGATGATAGCGTTTCGCAATCCAAACGACTTCTGTTATCGGTGATGTACTTCACCAAAGCTGTCCTGCCCCCTGGGCCCAGACCAACAACTCGAGATTTCCCTAGGCTGCCAGAGCACAATGTGACCATGCTGCGTCCAGATTCTCCCTTGAGTATGTCATGCAGGAATTTCTGGTAATCTTGGAATGGTCCCTCGGGCTGTTCAGTGCTCATGATGCGAACCGCGTTAGAGACGAGTCCCGGTTGCCGTTTTCCGGCAAATCGACGGAGGATCTTCACCTCTCCAGAGACTTTGTGCAGCCTTGCGAATGCATCGTCTAGGTTTGAGCGCTTTGCGATGGTGTGCTCATTTTGACCTAGGTGCGCCATCTCTAAAAGCAGCGGTGGGTAATTACTGAGAAGTTGACGAGAAAGTTGTCATAAATTACTAAAAAGTTATTGAGAAGTTATTGAGAAGTTATTGAGAAGTTATTGAGAAGTTATTGAGAAGTTATTGAGAAGTTATTGAGAAGTTATTGAGAAAGTTGCGCCCAAAATGAAAGGGGGGCCAACATGGGTAATACGATCACATGCAATGGCTCAATCTCAACGTAGGTTTCAAGATCATTTTGCCAGGACTTCTAACTTCCCCTGGTTTAAGAGGGGTATTAACAGAAAATGGCCGTTTCAGGAATCTTTGACTGTCGTAGTGACCAAAAGTACCACGCAGTACCCTAGCGTCGGCAATGTTCAAAAACTGATGAGTGGCTGGAAGCACGTGATCTTCCGACAACCAACACCTGTGGTTAATCCAGGCTTTTGATTTGCTGAGAGGCAACTTCGATTTCTACGTCTACCTGTTCAAGAGTGCGCACGACTGTCGGTACAAGAGCAAATTAACCGACCATGGGCCCCTGCGCACAAGACTCGACCACCTCTTGCATCCCGGAATATACGGCAGGATGTACTTGTCATCTAGGCAACTGCAGGATACCTCGATTACTAAAGGACGAAAAGAGTTGTGGGACTTACAAACCAAGGTAACATATGTAGGCTGAGACTTAAGTACATATGATTCGGTTTCTTATGTTGAATAAGACCCGAAGCAGTGCGCTTCTCAGCAATACTAACGCATGTATTCCCAAGCCGTTCGTCTGATTTCATGTGAGGAGTCGCAAGGTTAGCAACTACTTGATCTCTTCGTACATTGAGTCCGTCTCTGTTTGGCCAGACATCTAATCAATTCATCCTCCGTCCTCCACACTACCTTAAGAGCGAAGCCAGCAAATGCACAGTGGCGGGCATCGACCACCACTTCGCCGCAACGAGCTATGAGGCCTTCCATCCATATGGAACATAGCCAAGGCAAGCACGCGCTTGTTGCATGCGGTTAGTACTCTGCTTTGCCAATCTCAGCCGTTCTTCTTGGTCCACTTCCTTATGCCACAGTTTCAAGTGCTTTGCCGAAGGCTCAGACAGATATGTGTCCTCGATAACGCTCAGGGGAAATGCGAACGCTGCATTTTGCTGCGGGAGGACTGCCAATTCTTGGGCATTGGGCAGGAAGGAACCCTGAATGCAGAGATGGGGATTCCAGTGGAACGGTCTATATCAGGTGGGCACCGATTGTCTTAGGTCACGTTGGAGCTTCTAGTTGACGATTGCCAATATGAAGATGACCTTGTTGCCAGCTTCGGGCAAGCTTTGGTTTGTCTAGCTTATTTCTCCTCAGTCAGCAGATACTACCTTTCCGACATCTAGCGAGACGACCAAAAGAAGGGACTCCCTCGAAACACGAAATACTATTAATTTCCTAGAGCCGGTCTAACGGATGTCTGCCTTACCTCCCCGTGCCCCTTCTATCAGCATTTTTCCGCGCCAGCTCGGGACCGACTGACAAAGACACGAGCTCATTTGGTCATACGAATAAGCTCCTGCGACATGCAGGCTCTAAGCAATTCCATGTCCTGACATAAGGCTTTGCAGATTAAGACCTTCAATATCATGACTCAACGTGCCGAATAGGGGTTCAGACAAGGAGTAGAAGCAGTTGTGGAGGTACGTGGGACTATAGTATGAATATATGAAGGGCTGGTCATACCATTGCGGTGACTTGGATGACAATAATTTCTGCACGAGTTGTCTGCTCAAATCCAGGAAAGGAGCCACAGGACTGGGCGAAAGCAGGCTGTTTGATTGCATCTGCTTTTGGGGAGCACCATATACATAATTGAACTGCACTCAAACCCACATCCTCGGCTGCCACTGAGAAGGGCCTCGTGGCGGTTATGGACCAGGAGAATTATGTTGCTGATGGCTTGCTCTCTGTGGCCATTCATTGATTCTAGGATGTCGTTAGTTATAGGCTTGTCAGGAAATGTTGGCCTTACCGAGGACTCTGTCTGGAATCGGAAGCTTGAGATTGTTAATCCAGCCATTACTCCACGACATTGCAGTCGAGATAATTTCTTGAAAATAGCGAGGGAGCTCAACAAACCATGAAAGCCATAGCCATAGAATCAAATCTCGGCAATATGTTGTCGGAGGCAAGGACTCATACCAAGGACAAAGAAGAACACAAGAGTGTAAGGGGTAGCAATCCTCATTGGCGTCCACTAGCTGATGGGTTACAACAAGAACCAAGACAAAGACCCTGCTGTTGAGAGGCCGCCATTAATTTACAGGAAAGCTGGAGAAGCACCGAAACATGATTGGGACAAGAAGTCACCCGGTTTGCGCCTTAGGCGGCCCTGCTGTAGCTGCAGGACAGAAGTACCAGCAGGCCTAGTCTGCTGTATTTTGTCACCATGAGTCTTGCCCTGAGTGCTTGTACATGCAAGAGTGAGATTATGGATGTTGATCATATACACAGGCCTCTATACTAGGACTAGTTACCACTAGAACAGTGCTCAACCTTAACGGTCTCGTTTGGTACTTTGTTATGGCTGAGAGAGAGGACAGTTGCTACTTTCAGGTACTTCCTCCCACTACTGTTACTGGGGAGGAAAGATACTCTATCCTTAGCTAGGGCTGCAGGAATTCGAGTTCATGCAATCATATAATCCATGGCATGCAATCTATGTTGCATTAGATGCAGGAAGTAGGATAGAGAACCCATGTATTGTACTTGATTCACGCTAGCAGGGCAGAGAGAGATATCGTACCCCACGGAGCCCCTGCATGACTTCCCTGTTTGCAGCTTGTCATGCGTGTATCTATTCCGTTTGCCACGAAATCATAGGCAGTGGTAGTCCAGAACACTCTTTGCCTCCAACCTGTCCTAAAAGCTTCAGCCATCCTTGTCCACTAATCTAAGCCGACCAAGTTATGTGGTACCATCCACTACGCACGCTGGACAGGGCTCCCCAGATAGGCTGTAGCAAACTAGAAGGGCCATTGCTGCCAATCGACAAGATCCAGGATTAGCCAAATATTGTGTAGCTAGGCGACAATGCCGGAAGCACTGCAACCAGTCAGACTCATTAACCTGTCTGTTTGGAGCTCACTGTATGACTTTAAAGAGAATTGTAAAAGAATAAATATGGGCTAAAGACACCTGAAGTAAACAAAAGGTTGCATGCTAGATTTAGCATAACTAACTATATCCAGACTCCGGATAAAAAAAAAATATAAGGAAATAGTAAACAAAAAATAAAAAAGTCCTAGATGGCGCTTCTACTTCTATATTTAATTATTATTCAATACCCCAGAGGCACAGGCATTCCGATCTCTCATCACTAATACTGAAAAACTACCATTTCCCCATCTGAAAGCTCTAATCCTTCTTCTTCTCACGCACTTCCTCTCTCCTTCAGGATTTTGAGTGTTCCCTTGAGCTATGGGTAACTTCTCACCTGTCAGTCACTGATTGTCTCCTCTTGACTTGACTTTGTTTCACCATCCTCATTTACCATACATATCCCCGGAGCAGAAACAAAGAAAAGGACCAAGTAGTCTTGATCCGATTCCAGCTCTGTTGCAGCTTGTTGTACCTGCCCGTCTGTGTGCTGAAATTGGTTGCCAGCATCCTTCTTGCAGCATCTCCCACTTCCTAAGTTGATCTTGAACCTTGTTGGGTGTCTGATCTCTGTTCTTGTCTAGGTGGATCCTGTGAGTAGCATGTCATCACTTATCACGCATACTACCCTCTCTTAAATCTGTTTGATGGGCGTTGGTCTGCCTTGAAATGGCTCATCTACCTCCAGAAGCAAACTACAGCGGATGGCGGGGCCATGGACTCGAACCGCTGTGCTGGGTTTCACTTCTGTCTTGACGTTCTTATCTGAATTTTGGGCCTTTCTTATTACTGTATCTTATATCCCCTTTAAGGCTTCTGGCACGCTGCACCTTTCCAAGTATCAAACAAAGCTAATCAGCAGCATTTGTCTGCCGTGACTTCACCAGACCTGGATCTCTGCAGCCTCATCACCATCCCAGATCACCTGGTTTGCTGTTGGAAGTAAAGAAAAAGACCTTTAAGACAATATATATTGCTGCCATTGCAGCTGTAAGCTCGCCCCTACCTTAATAACATTTTCATGTATTGAGCACTATCTACCTCTCAGCAACTCAGTACCTGTACTGCCTGAGAAACATCCAACTTGAGATTGTCCAAATGATACATCTGCTTAACAAAACCTGCCGTACCTTTGTCAACATTAACCTCTTAAATCATACAATGGTGTTCAGTGCACCTGTTCCTGGGGTTGGCTCCAGTAAAAGGCCTGTGTCATGTATGCAGGATGATGTTAACAGCTGGGATAATGTCCTGGTAAGTGATATTGGCATTAGAAAGACATATGGAGCTGACTCATCTCCTACATAGCCTATGGGTAAATCTGTGTGTTCATCAATCAACATCCCTTATGCCTACTACGCCATGATCTATCTTGACAACATGGGCAGACTTAAGGTAATCAAATCTCCATCTATCCAGAAGCATAATGGGACTGTTTTCACAACCGAAGTCTGTGAAAGGTTTTTGAAGCTCCTTGGTGCCAAGGTCAGATATCAACACCCCAAGGTTCAAAGTATGTAAACACTCCGCACATAAGTACTATATTCTTGCTGATCTCATTTGAACAGGGTTGTCAGCTGCCAGTGCTACACCATATAGCTATGATCCTTAGTAACTGCTTGGTCACTTACCCTACCATTAAACTAAGCAGGGCAGAAATTCCCCAGCCCACTCTATGTACAGTGTGCCGCCATCCATCCAGTTCTCAGCCCCTGGTGAGGAAACGCCCTCTTGTGGCTCAGTGGACATGGTTGGGCTTGAGATTAGTGATACTCCTAAAGTCCTTGACTACTATGAGAGGTCCTTAAAGTACTTCCAGCAGCTCAACTGTCATTAGCTTGTAAAGGTGTTCATTAAGTTCATCAAGCCAGGAAAGCAGGTCAAGCACCCCTATAATGGAGGTAAACCCCCCGCTGGAGCCCCTCCTGGTATGAAGGGCAACCCAGAGAAGACAAAGCCTGAATGGTGGCCCGCCGATGTGGTTCACAAAGAGCCTGACCATCTTTGAAAGGATTATATATATACCCCTCCAGAAAATCTCTAGTGTCAAGTAATTTTGCTGACAGGTTTAGAACGCCTGTCTCTGTTAATTCATATCATCTATAAGCTTGGAAGATTCAGTATTACCACAGATCAATTGCAGGAAATTGTCTATAAATATAAGTGGCAGCTCAGAGACCCCCACAGACTCCAAATCTTGGATGAGGTCTTCAGCATAAGAAGGATTGAAGAACACTATGAAAGAGGAGAAGTTGGTAAGCGGCATCTTCTTTCCATAAAATTCATTTTGACAGCTGTTAACGAGCCTCAGATGCCAAAATAATTGTATATGTTATTAACCAAGAGTTAAATCAGAAAGAGAAGGAGGGCAACTCCAAGGTGGATCTAGACTAGAAGCATGAGCAAGAAGACACTAATGCAGATGAGGCACTTCCTATTCTCTACTCTAAGATGAACTTAACAAGCCTGATGTTGAGCCCAGTTAAACACACAGGCATGGCGGCACCAAGTCGTCTAATGAATATGGGAGATGACAGAAACCAGTTATTTCCTTTGCCAGAGTCATTGAGCTTTGGTAAGACACCCAGGGATGATTGAACTTTCTTTCCTATGACCTCTAAGTATACTAAAGATTATGCATCGCAGCAGATGCCCAGAACATCTATAATAACAGTATTTATCAGCCCCAATGAGACACATGCTGCTTTTAATTATTTGACACAGGCGCCCATCACGTTCTCCGCCCCGGAGTAGATTTCCTACCACTGTAAAGCACCCCTGCCCATGCAGCAGTCGGCCAGCTTCAACCCTTGGACACCTTCATTCTGATATAATCTCATTAACCCAATGGAGTATGGTACTGCACCCAGTCACGCCATGTCTCAGACTACTATGTCATATTAGCTTCCCATGTCCCCCGACATCTTATCCCTAGGAAATGCCTCACATGGCTTACAGCCTGCCGAACCTGCCTTAAGACAGATCTTCAAGAATGGGTGGCATGAGCATAAGAGGCCTTCTTTCCACACAGGATCTTTAAGTCATCCCTGTGATCCATCACAGCAGGCTCCTTATTCTAGCTGATGTGGCCATCCTGATAGTTGGTCTTAAAATAGACCACATGCATGATCTTAATGATTGGTCCTTGACCACTGCTGACCCTCCAGCAGCCTTGGAGTTTCAGTTCACTGATGATTGTTTTTTAACTTTGTTTCTGTTTCTTTCCCAGTCCCAGACTCTGTTGTCAATGCAGCTTATTCCACGTCAAGTGACTGCCAGGACACTCCGTGGTTTTATATGCCAGGTACTGTTGATGACTTCCTAATTCTTCTTTGTTTAGTATATATACTCGTTGCTTGTTCTATGCTCGACTATGTCTTTTTCCTTATATATACATTCAGAAATTCTGTTGGAGATGGCGCCAGATGACATGAAATGTAAATATGGGTGAGGTTCTTGTGTTTGTTCTTTTACTCTTTTTCTCTTAATTATGCTTTGAACCATTCGCAGTGAGGCGTGGCGAAGCTGGTTCTCTTTGGATGCCGATCGGCTGAATGGGAGGTAATGAGGCCTAACAATGATTGCTTTCTGGATTAGCTTTCTCGATCAAAATATTCACTATATTCCATAAAATTACACTGGCTTCACATAGCGCATGTTTCTGAATTTGATCCTTTCCCTGCCTCTGACGGTTGAAGTGTCTCCTCAACAGATGCACCAAAGGTGATACAAGGCCCCGCGATCACATGGTAAATGCTCGTACTCTCAGCTGGACCTCATTTTGATGGAGAATCGCATTTCCAAGTAGGGGAATCTCTCATCTAGATCTTGGATGGTGACTTGGACCTTATTCGCTCTGGTAGGCCTTGGCGATTTCTTGCTCCTTGGCCAGACAGAGAGGACTGCAAAACAGAGCTGAAATCAACTGGGACCACTTTGCGCGAACTGCGGGATGCTATGTTGTTAATCCATCAAGCTCAGCCTTCGAAACCTGGTTAAATCTTTTACTCTGGATCGACGCCCCAGAAATCCCAATGGATGGGTTAGGTAGTGAGTTTATAGTAGCGTGACGGCAATTACTGAATGGGGGTTTGAGGCCATTATAGCTACTTTAATGCAATCAAACTGCGTGCTGCAGCTGCCTTTCATATGCATAACATTTGGATCCGATTTTGGGAATCTGGTCGTTGAATGGATCAGCAACCAAATGAATCAAACGACGACAAGCTATCGTCCTAGTCTTGGAAGGTTGGTTTCACTCCACGTTGGTAAGGGAAAAGCACCTGTATACGGAAAAAGAAATTGCAAAGTATGGAAGTATGGTGCATGCTCCAAACAATACACTAAATATCGCCTCGCCGCGCAGTTGCTCATCTCACCCATTGAGAGATTGCGCAACTTGAGCGACACGCATTCTGGAATTGTTCTTAGTTGCCCTACGGCCTGTAGAAGTCGTTGAGCAGTGTTTCCGAAGATGAAGCCGTTCTACGATGGTAATGGAAATCCAACCAGCACCTTATTACTCATCGACACTTTACTCAAATTATCAATCCGAAGGATAAAGGATTCATTAGTTAAAACATTTGTTGGGGGTGTGGTCCCGTGCTGGCGATTACAAAGTGGGTCGACGCAAGCCACAGGACCAGTCAACCAAGATCACCTGCAATTAGTCCTGAATGGTTGAACATTTATCGCCTATTTTTGAGCAGTGATCAACGGCTCAGCTGCCAATCACTCAGCAATCCACCGACAAGTGTTCAGCAAGGCTGGGATATTGCCTGGGTGACAGACTGTTGATCAATAGTTGAACTATTTTCGCGCATCATCGACCACTCATCGCTTTTATTGGGCTGGAGACTCAGTTGGCCTGTCGGTAGAAATGCGCCGTTACCGTTACCTGCAGTAGACCTCACTGGTTCTTTCGAGGTTCCTCATGGTTGGACCATGCTAATCCTTTAATAATCACTGGGCTGGATGCTAAAACAGGCCTAGTGCAAGTCTTACGGAAACTCAAAAGCTTGCGACTTTTCTCTGGGAAAAGTGGTACTGATTTCAACTGTTCGTCATAGTTGAACAATATTGCTGATGCGTGAGGTTGAACATGTTGAACCTAGCCGCCGCTTAATCATTTACTGTGCTGAATTCTGTACTCTCCAACCATAAAGGCTTTAGGTGACTTGATGATGTACAGTGTGTGCCTCTGCCCAAGCTGGAGGCTGATCTTTTCCCCATGCTTCCCTGGTCGGCCTTTATTCACGGCCCTGATCTCCCTGTGTTGTATCTAAATCCTTAATGGCCTTAAGCCCCATGGTGTACAGTATCGTTCTGTGCTTGTGTTCGAAGTCCCACTCTAGATCCCCAGCAATGCACATGCACCTTTTCGTGTTGCTGGGGACTAGTAGCCTTGAGAAATAACGCCTTATAATCTGGCAAGTTACTTTCACTCATTATTTGCGAGGGAGAAGATGAGGGGAGAGGCGTTTTGAGGCTGCTGGTCGAAAATTAATGTCTGTAAAAGGTCTCGGTTGAATTATTTATCCGTGGCAGCCGTACAAAGATCCTCACGTCTCGTGGTAAAACTATGGGGCGAGAAGGATCAACATCTAGTCTATCCCATCCTTTATAACCCATCTTCTCCTCCTAATATCTCTTCTAATCAAAATGTCCAAATCTAAAGCCCGACATATTCATACACGCCAGCTTTGATTGAAAGCTCTGTACTGTTGAACAGGCATTCTTGCAGCAGGGTGACCCGCACCCCGGGGACATTCTTGCCGATACCTGATGCAGTCCTTTTCTTCAGCAGTGGAGCGACATCGGTGAAGTCTTCAGTATCTATTATAGAAATGGCTGGAATACTAGTATAGAGTGATTACAGTTCACTCTCACAATGGCCATCTAAGTATGAATTTGTGTGTAGACTCAGACGGCATGACAAAGGAGGGGTAGCATGTGTCATGAGGAAGTTCAAGGTTGAACAAGGCAACACACACCTAATACACGTTACAGTAAAGGACATGCCAACAGGTAAGTCTCGCAAGCAAAGGAAGGATTAGTGGTGTAACAGTCCTAAACTCGCCGTGATTATCTACAACTTCAGAATGACCCAAACTGTTTGCGAATCAGCATGCAGCGCTTTTGGGTAGCGCATGCAGTGAGCGACTAACCGAGGGTTGCCTAACAGACACAGTGTGTCTCTGAGGTTAAGGCCAACCGAAAGTTCTTGACGTCCAGAGACAGTTCAACCGTCGGAGGGAGGGAAAGAGATCAAAAACGGAAATATGCGCTAGGTAGAGCCAGGGGAATTTTGCAGGAGGCGTTGATAATCCCAATACTCTGATGAGGAGTCTGGTTCTGATTGTCATTATTATTCTCGTTCTGGCTAGGATTGGTGAGGAAGGCCGTAAGACGCGTTATGTGCATAAGATGTTGGGTTTGATGGAAGCGTCTGCTGCGACAAACTAGGACTTGGGGCTGCGGAATTGACCGGGTCAAAGCGGTTATGTTGAGCCATGAGAGGGCGGTGGTAGCGGTGGCAGAAGTGGTATGCCAATTGTATAGGTTCTGTTCTGTTGATTGCTGACAATGCATTGTGCGTTCAGAAGATAGAAATTTTAAGGTATGGCCATGATGGATKGCCCAGAACTTGTTGCTGTTTGTTCTTGTGGACTTCGGTTAGAGGAACCTTTGTAATGCTATAAGGTGGAAGATAATTAGTATAACGGCTTTAAGGCCGAGAAGAGCAGTCTTTCTTTGCTCTGAAGTTGAATATCCTGCGCCATTCCGTAGCACGGCTATGAGTTTTGTCTTCTTGCTCACCACCGCGGGTTACATATCGAACCATATTCATGTTCATGGCCATGGGGAACTGTGGCGTCAAAGGAGAATCTGGTGGCATGTGCTGAACTGTTGCCCTCCGATAATACTTGAATAGACTCGCTATTCCCATCGACACTGGATCTGTTTCTATTACGTCCTGAGGATTTTGACTCTCCCGCTACCGTAATGGATCATATAGTGGCTAGCACGAACTTAAGCAATGCAGCTGAAGATGATAAAAGAGGATCTAGGTGGATTGTTATTTCTCATTCACACCGTTTATCCATTCTTAAATTCACCTCACACGCGTCCCCTGATGCTCTGGAACGCCTACTTTTGTGCTTTGGCTGCCTCGAATCAGAAATATTCCAGGTGTACAAGGTGGTTCTAAGCTTGTTGGATCCAAATGCTTTCATTGGTACACCGGATATGGAACGAGCGAGAAGTTCCGTTGCAAGTATACACAGTCACTATCCCAATCCTTTGCTCTAGCTAACATATTCAGCAATTAAACTTCAGATGCTTGCCTTACGGCAGTCTCTGGAAACCAGATTCCCAATATCTCCAAAGGACGGGCCAAGAATCCAGGAATACCTGGAAGACATACACTACGCTTCACATAGAGCTGCTTGCAAGCCACTAAAGCTTCTCTCAGCATGCGTGTTGAATGGCTTAGACATATTCGGAAAAGTCACTGGCCGTGTCCAAAATGCCAAATCGAATATCGGGATTATTAACGAGATTATTGAGCAGACGAATATTGAGAGAGGCAGGCGTCCAGAGAAAGGTGTCATCGATCTGATCACCCTTAATCATTATTGGAAGCTGCGGCGTGGTGATTCGCAATACAACGAGACCGAGCGAAAACACTTTATCGATTCGAATATCAGTATTTCGCGGACGCTTGAACAATACCCCATTGGTTGGAAAGATCTTCCCATCTCTGACCTCATGTGCTACAAATTTGACGATGACTACTACTGGAAGGGATTCTGGGATTCTGTAGAGCCTGGTCGCTTGGATGAGTCCCACTTAATCGAATTTATCAGAAAAGGTTCGTATCCTTCGAAGCATCATACACGAAGCCATATTGACAGTCACACCAGCCTGTGAACACTATTGCAACGGTCCCTAATCAGGCACACGTCCTTCGATACTCAGTGGGGCAGGACGGGACGAGTAAAGGCTACGGACAGTCGACATGCTCCAGGCATCACTGTAGCAAATGTAGATATTGTTCACAAAGTCATATCTATTGTATACGATTTTACTATCTCAGTTTGAGTTTTGATGGCCGGAAACAACAGTCTCGACGTCGTGACTGCCAAAGAAAACATTGAGATTACCAGGCGTAGGTCGATATTTCCAAGACCGGAATCTCGGTAATCACGGCTGACATCTGGGATCAGTCCGTGACTCTTTATAGATAGGAGCGGGGGGACATTTACATGTTGCAAGAGGACAGTAATGGTGGTCGTAGCAACTGGAGTAAGGCGAATCCCAGATAGACGGTGCAATGTAAACATCACCATCTCCAGATCCTGACCCAGAGCCACCACCGCCAGGACCTCCAAATTTTGCATGCCCCTTCAGGACAGTATCCACGCTGACAGGTGAATCCGCACAGCGGACTGTAGATGGTCAGGTCCATTCCCGGGGCAGCCATGCCAGTCTTATCAGCCGTAGGATTCATGACTTTCAGCGCCCCCGACCCGTACAGGTACACGCGCTCATGAGACAGAAGCCATTTGCACAGCTGAAGACACAGCCCGGCAAGGTTGCCCTGCCGGTCCTTGCCGTGCAGGCTGGCGGGAGGAACGGCGAGACCGTTGGTGTGGTCAGGGCAACCTCCACATTCCCAAAGGCCGAGAGCGGACAAAATCCAAGATTGCATCAAAGGAGCACAGTCCGCTATAGCTGGCGTCCTTATGCGGTGTCAGTAACAGCCTCTCATCTTCTTACAAAACTACAGGCTAAGCACGTGATTTACGCGCTGGCAAATCGCACAAGGCTGAAACAGCAGAACGAAGGAAGGAGCCCCTCCTCCCTACCGTTATGTCTCATGACGAGGCTATGTTGCTTAACAACCTCCTGACGAAGTCAGCAGCAAAGGGAAATGACGCAATAGTCAAGCTGCTACTAGCAAAAGACCGAGTTGATCTAGACTCTAAGGATAATTATGGGAGGACACCACTGTCATGGGCAGCAGAGAATGGAAATGAGGTAACACTCAAGCTGCTACTAACAACAGGCCAGGTTGATCCAGACTTCAAGGACAATCGTGGGCGGACACCATTGTCATGGGCAGCAGAGAATGGAAATGAGGTAATAGTCAAGCTGCTACTAGCCACAGGCAAAGTCGATCCACACTCTAAGGATAATGATGGGCAGACACCGCTGTCACGGGCAGCGGCAAAAGGAAATGAGGCAATAGTCCAGCTACTACTAGCCACAGGCCAAGTTGATCCAGAGTCTAAGGATAATGATGGGCAGACACTGCTGTCACGGGCAGCAGCAAACGGAAATGAGGCAATAGTCAAGCTGCTACTAGCCGCAGGCCAAGTTGATCCAGACTCCAAGGACAATTGTGGGCGGACACCACTGTCATGGGCAGCAGAGAATGGAAATAAGGCGACAGTGCAGCTGCTACTAGCAAAAGACCGAGTTGATCTAGACTATAAGGATAATGATGGGAGGACACCACTGTCATGGGCAGCAGCAGGGAGAAATGAGGCAATAGTCAAGCTGCTACTAGCAACCAGATCGACTCGATCCAAATCAGATATGGGCCCAAGACTGGATGCTTGAGACCCAATGCGCAAATCCATATGCAACCCAGCCAATCCGCATTTTTGGGTAGGATGAGGGTTGGCCCAGATCCAACTCACCCGGATGTGGCGTGATCAACACGTAATCCGCATGGCTGGACCCAACATAGTGTGGCTCAACCCATATCCAATCCACGACCAGTCTAACGGGGACACACTGCTGTCGTGCGCAGGAGCATGGCGGCGCTATGGCGGACTATTCGTAGGCGCAGTCGCTAGATGGCCCAGAAATTGACGCGGGCAAATTAAGTGGCCAGATATAACTCCTTTCCTGCAAGACTGCTTCCTTTCTTTTTTGTTTATGTTATGGCGCTTGACAAAACTTCTGAACGACATCTGCGAGAGCACAAACGATCTTAATCACTTCCATGTGCTTATCAATCTATCATTTTGGGCCCTTTCTTTGACGGTGCAGTCCGCTAATCTTTACTTAACTGTGGACGTTCTCTGTCTATGTTGTTTTTTCGTCCATCGGGTCTAGCAGGGAATCAATGGACTTGTGGTGTGAGCACATATTTAGCGCCCAGCACTGCTATGGAACAATCAGAGAACTCTGGGAGAATGTACGGTCCGCACCGCTGGAGATCCTTGCTTTCGCTACTGCAGCCATCTCACGCACATGACGCGACTCAAGCGACCTAGACAACGACCTCATAACGCATAGCCATCCTCTGCCTCTTAGGCTTCAATGAATGCGGCTTCCGTTCTTAGGATTTCCGTTTCCGAGTGACCTGTGCACGACCGAAGTCAATGAACATGACACGTTGCACCTCCTCGTTCCACAATATGTTCGGTGCGCGCTCGTCAAGATGTTCAATGCCAGCATCGCTGATTTCGGATCTTGGTCGGTCTTGAAGAAGGAGCACTCGTCTTCCTTCAAGGCCTTTCCATCCCATGACATTAAGGAAATATGCACGATGGCACGGGTCGGCAGATAATATATGTTCTGCCGCAGGTAGATATCTCCGACATATACAGGGACAGCGTACCCTTGCAGAGCTTTAAGAGCTTGGTAAATTCTGGCTTCGTAATTGGAGGCATACTCAGTTCCTTTGCCGACAAATATATAGCCATAAGCATCTAGGGAAATGGTAAACAGAGAGCCATGTAGCCCTTCTTTTCCCATAGGGCGGCAACAGTGATCAGGATCACGGTTCAGTTGTTCGCTTACAAGTTTGACTAAGTCTGATCGCGAAAGTGTATGTCGACCGTTCGACGAATGTTTCTGGTGGAAGGACAGATACGGACACTCGGTATCAAATTCACATTTACGAGCAAGACCTTGAAGGCATGCTTGTGTACAATACTCTTTGTTTGGAGGGCGACTCTGACGGAATCCTTGGGGACCACTTTGAGGATTCAACGTTCGTTGTCGTTTTCTTCTCCGCACAGGAACCGGAGAAGACGGGATTCGAGGCAGGGACGTATCGGATTCGCTTGAAGACTCCGGTGTGTCTCGGTTGCCAGTTAGGGGGGCTTCGAATTCGGAAACCTTTCGTCGTCGTAGGAGGTAAGGTGACCGAGGGTCGATGGGATAGCGGGGTGCTCGCCAATCTGACTCCGGTCGACTCTTTCTCCTTTCTGATTCTGGGATAGATCTAACCGCCTCTTCAAAATCCACTTCCCACCTATTTAGTGGCCTCATAGCCTCATTGCGCCAGAGTTGGCTGCGTTGCGATTTTTGGAGCGCCATTATTGTCAGCACTAGTTGGCAGCCAATGGCTGTATATGGTACCGGAAACCATAGCCATCATCCGACCTCGTCTCGACGTCCTTGCTAGGCTCAAGGAGGCAATAGTATAAGGTTGTCGGATCTTGCTCAGTGACATAGAGAACCACCTTTATATGACCGTTCGTCAGTACGCTATACGGGAGGCCTTTCGTGATCATATATTCAAAAGGCTGTGTGACAGCTGCGCAGCAATTTCGCGTCGTAAAGCAGTTTCTCATTGGCATCTGTAGGTAGGGTGATTTGCTGGACAACTTCCTGTACCATATTCATTCGCCGAAGGCCCGCTCGGAGATAAGCGTCAGGGAGTTTATGGGCAGCTTTGTATTCAATGACATATAGAAGGCTCCTTTCACTGCCGCTGCGAATATACACGCAGTTCTGGTCGGGGCGAAGGGTCGGTTTGTCAACGGGTTGTACCTGTCCCGCCTCCTCCGTAACGGTGTTCGTATGATTTTCAAAGATTATCCCTCCACCGAGCGGCAACCTGCATCGTGCCGCAGGTAAGCCGGCCAACCTATCAATCACTTCTTTAACCGGATTCTCCACTTCTGCCTCCTGGTGTCTCACTAGGTCTGACTCACTCGCCAACGGGCGAGTGCATGCTTGCTCTCCTCGGTCCTCGATAACTAAAAGAGGTGGAAATACTCGCAGAGGCTCCTCGGAGTTCGGATGGAAAAGCTGGTATATCTCGTCAAACAGGGCCTGTTGCGCTGCGCGGAAATCCCGGGGCGAAGGGACGTGGGGCACACACGGCCGGCTGGACTTTTGATAGATCCTTTCGTCGTCAGCGAGCCGTTGGTCTAAGAGGTTTCGTTATGCAGCGATGACAAGCTCTCAGATATTCTGCAAATGTTGTGTTCCGGTTGCGCTCTTCTGCTTGCTCTGCACGTTGCTTCGCGTTCTCTGCACGCTTCCGCTCGTAATCTGCTCGTTCCCGTTCTCGCCGCAAGAGCGCTAAAAGCTCCTCTTTGCTCGGTGAAGTATCTGAAGACATGGAGAGGCCGACTAATTTAGGTGGAACATACAGGTTGTTTAGGAACGATTCATCAAGCTGGCAGTTGCTGACAGACTGTTTTAGGTACCATCTTCCTGCCAAAAGCACCTCCTTGGCATTATGCTACTAACTGTATCGGGACAGGTTAGTCTCACCGCTCGAGCTCCAACTGAAATCGTACAATTGGATTTCAACGAGCGGTCATTCACATTCATGTTGATGTGACAGCCAAGAGTATGACGGAGACATGCGCAAGGAGAAACCAAAGCACGGCCGTATACAGTAATGCATACACAGCACCCCATAAGTAAACAAGGTAGGCAGTTCCACGGCATACAGTGGGGGAAAATGAGTGTTGACGGACGCCCCTAGCTAAGTCAACTAGACCGCCTGACGTTATTTGCTGGCAAAAGTGCTCGACGCGTTTACAGGCAATACACTATTATCGTCATCATGGCATCTTCGCCATTCCCCCCAGGGATGCCACCAAATAAAAAGGGCGACATTCAGTCACCTTCGTTAATAAACTCACGATACCCGCCTACGGGCAAAGGGGGTCCCAATCACTGCTCGTAAGTGGATTGCGAGCTTTATGAGCGACCGCTTCGCCAGCATAGGCTTCGACGACTTCCGCACGGGGGTCTCCCCGCTAGCGAACGCAGGGTCAGCGCAGGGTTCGACGCTCTCACCGATCTCGTTTGCGTTCTTCAACTCCGACCTAGTCGACCAACCGTCGATTTCCACGGTGGTGCATCAGCCTTTATCGACGACTACTTCCGCTGGCGAGTTAGCCGCTTGGCTGAGGATAATTTAGCCAAGATACAATCCGAAGACACCCCGTGTATCGAATCATGGGCCCGACGGCCGGGGTCTTGTTTTGTGGTGGAAAAGACTGAGTTGATCCACATCACTAGGAGGCGAAGCGAGCAATTACAAGGTCAACCAGTGATAAATGGGAAGACAGTGACACCATTGCCTACGGCTAAGCTACTCGGGGTCGTCTTTGATCATGAGCTACGGTGGAAAGAGCACGTCCAACAAACCATCAAACGCGTCACTAAGGTGGCCGTTGCCCTGGGCAGGACTGCGAAACTTGCGTCCTGAACAGATGCGACAGATCTATCAGACGTGCATCACACCAGTAGTAGACTACGCGTCAACAGTGGCACGATCCCCTCCGTGACAAGACCCACCTACGGCACCTTAACACAGTACAGAGGGCTCCTTTAATCCGTATCTTATCGGCGTTCAGGACGGTGGCAACAGCGACCCTAGAGGTAGAAGCCCACATCCTTCCAACCAGCCTCCGCCTTCGCCATAGGGCACAACATACTATCGAGACTCCACACCCTACCTCGAAGTCTCCCTATCTGGGGTGCGCTCACACGAGCTCAGAAACGGCGGAACAACATCGGGAACTTCGTCGCTTTCCATTAGCGGAAGCCGTAAAGACTATGGACCTACAAAGGCTGGATGAACTAGAGACGATCGACCCAAGCCCGCTGCGTCCGTGGCGAGCCGAGGCCTTTACGGAAATCGAAGTCTGATTAGACCGGGAAGCGGCTGTGGAGCGAGCCGAAGCCACACGGTTGACATCGGGCATTGTGGTCTATTCGGTCGCCTCTGGACGAGAGGGCCACTTAAGCGCCGCCGTCACAGCCCTGGACGGCAATCTAGAGACCGCGAATCACGACGGGTCCAGGTGAGACCAATGGACCGGTGGTAAGTTCATGTAGCGGAGCTCATTGGCATCTTCTACGCTATCAGCGTAGTATTCAGGATCGCCCATCAACGGTCAATCTCACGAAGCAGACAAACAACCGCGACAAGACTGTGTGATAGCAGATCAGCCTTACAATCGAATCAGAACCCAAGGAACAGATCGCGCCAACGTATCATGCACGCGATCCTCCAAGCTGCCGCAGAGGTCCAGGCAAAAGGAATCGCACTCCGCCTTCAATGGATACAGGGACACTGCGACAATCCAGGAAACGATGCTGTACACCGACTGGCCAAGGATGCKGCGCGCCCAGGCAAAACCCACCCCTTCCGTCGACTACTGTCTAGGGATTTTGCGCGCCTTCGTGGTAATATCCTCACCCAGTGGGAGCAGGAATGGTGGTCATCCAACAAAGGCAGTCACCTACGGCGAATTGACGGCGCGCTACCAGCAACCTACACAAGAAATGGCGGCGCGCTACCAGCAACCTACACAAGAAATCTATATGGGAGCCTGCCAAGGAACCGGGCGTACCTATTGACACAGCTTCGCACCGGCCACAATTGGTTTTCTACCTACGCTAAAGCCCATGGCTTCCGCGATGACGACCTGTGTGTGTGCGGCGCACAAGAATCGGTTAGCCACGTGCTGGTGGACTGTCCAGGATTAAGGGAAATTCGACGGGAGTTACGGAGTGAAATAGGGGAAGCGTTTAGAAGCATCTCGAGTCTGCTGGGAGGCTCAACCGAACGTAAGTGAGGTAAACCAGACACCGTCTCAAGGGCGAAGACGGTCAAGGCTGTGCTGGACTTCGCCGAGGCGTCACAACGGTTCAGGAGCCGCGCGCCACGAGGGCAGCCTAACAATGGGAACGGCAATTAGGCTACGGCAGGCCTTGACGAGGCTCTAAGTTCGTTTTCAGAAAGTAGAACACTCTACATGTACGTACGCGCGGATACATATAGTTGAGGTAGCCTGCATATCGCTTTCGAGCGAGGGGTCAGGGTAAATGACATCAACCAACCAACCAACCAACCACTGTAGCCACAGTTTCTCCAGGCTCAGACCTTTGCGGCAGATGCCTGGCCCTTACGGTATTTACTGGCATCTACGCTTGCATTATCTTTTAAAAGAGCAGAACTCTGCCAAGTTCAAGTTGAGGTTGCGCCCTTCAGTCACGTCATATGCATTTTCACGGATCTCATAGAGCTCATGATACAGTGGGAATAAAATCAGAGAACGGTTCCTTGGCTCGGAAAGGCGAATATCGACCTGTGTCACCTTGTGCGTCTACTTTCCGTCAGCCTGTCGCCCTTGTTGACGCCAATACAGCTGTTACTTTGAACTGTTCTGTCACGGACAATTATTGCACAGCCACAGCCGATTACTTACCGACTGTTACGAAGCTAAATACAATCGTATCGTGGCGGCTGACAAACAGGTACGTAACGATCTGTAACAGATACGTATGCTTACCTTGTCAATTGCTGGACATTTTGCTCATCCCTTTAATGCGAACCACAGGACGGATGGTATGGAATCAGTTCTCATCGGGGGCTGGCCTTGACATCACAGCGTTATTTTCCCGGCTGAAGCAATACTTATCGCTCAGGTAAGAGTGTTACATTCGAGGTTACTCTTTATTTCCTCACAAGCCGTGTCATCAATGTTGGAGTTGGCGGCGGTTCGTTATTGACTAGCCCGAGTTTCTTGTATACGTAGCACGTATCGCGCCGAATTCAGTTGACATCCAATGAATGTTTGTTTATATACTAGGGCCGTAAGATGTTTCCTTACGTTTGAAGAGATGCACTTCTCTTGTTTTGTTATCGAGAGCTAATTGACCCCGTTTCCTTAGGTCAGCTCGGATGTTATTTCATCAATGGTCATTGTATCCTCCACGCTTACTACAGCCAGGTTTCCGTGCAGAACAAATATCCAAGCACTTACTATACTATAGCGCGTCGGAATCTCTATCCTTTGTATGTCGTCCAACCAAAACCACCCTACCTACGCAACAGTCGAGTCGCATTCGAAGCAGATCCACTCGCCAGGCCTCAGTTGCCCAACCTCAGCGTAATGGATGAGATCTCGAAGATACTATTTGCGAACACTTACGTACAAATGAGCTGAGGAAGAGCCTAGTACTGCTGCGAGACCGAGGAGGACAAGGAAGTCATTACGATGCCTTGCCTTTGCTTGGAGGGTGCTGCTTGACTTAAGCGACTCGGTCACGTGTACCTCAAAAGACCAGGTCAGGCCAAAGGGTCGAAAAACCGTGAAAGGGACCCATGGATCTCTCTGGGGTCAATAGTAGGTGCAGGATCAGTACAGTATATATCATACGCATGCCGGGGTTGCAGGCTATGGAGAGTCTTCTCTCTCGGCTTGCTGACCTAATAGTATTTACGTCCTAAGCCATGTAACAAACTCCGATTCCAATCCCTTGCTGGCCTATCTCTCTTCCGTTGCACCTTAGCAATACGTACAAGCATTCTATAGTCAGGTCTGCTGGACATCCTATGCTCTTCTCATTTCCATGGATGGCAGTGCCTGAATGGTGTTGCGATAAGCAGCCGCTCCAAGATCTCGCTAGATTGAGGTAACCGGGATACTGCCCTGTCTGCTAGGTAAGTACTGTAAGAGTAAAGGATGAATCACTGTACCATCGGCCATTGCCGCTGAAGCGTAGCCAGGACGAGGATTTTCTCCATCTATGGAAGTCGAGGTCTTGCCATGACCTGGTGTAGGCTTAGCGATTTCTGCAAGCACAGTGCAGAGTAACGAGCTTGCGCCGTTTATGATCAGTCTTGCGAGTCTGTTCTCTTCCCAATATCATAAGCGAATAAAAAATCGTAGACCCATGTACCTCACTAGGACACCATGAATCTATGCCCCAAGAAAAAAGGAATAGTGGCCAGGCTTGGCTTTGACGACTTTTATTTGGCTACCATTTGGTGCTCAGGATGAATAATCAATCCTGGTCGTCCATTCTCGCCCGTGTTCAGGCAATTATCGGTGAGTAATCAGGGCATACCCGGAAAGCTCCGGGAGCGCTCAGGGAGCGATCAGGGCACGCACTCTCTCTCTCCGGTCACGATCCCGCTGGCTCAGTGAGCAAAAAGCGGCGGCACCTCGGTCCGAATCCAGAAATGGAAAGTCTTACAGTATCCGCAGAAAAACAGTTCAGTAGTCCTGATTTGACAGTCACGTTTTGACAGCTGCCTAATCAGGCGATGACGACCTTAACCACGTGATCCAACCAATTCCATCTCGTTCTCCTTTCTTGACTCTTTCTCGCGCCATCCTACAAGTCCATCCAGGTAATGATCGTTCTGATCCATTGAATCTATTCTCGAGAGATATTACGGTATTACTCTCGTCGCTGGTCGGCTAATAGCAGTTTATAATCTCCTTGTCCACGACCGTCGCCATCCGCCCGCCCAAAGACAAAATGGCGCCATCTCCGACTTCCAACTCTACCACCTCCACACATGCTCTCCGCGATGCTGCGAGAAAGCATCCACAGCAGGCACCAGAGATATCACTGTAGAAAGTCCTCGACCAGTAGAGTAGCAATGGTAACATACACTGGGATAATTGCATGGTTTAGAATCTATTATAGACAAGCCGCGCATGGGGTTGGCTCATTATTCTCCCATTCAAAACGCCGGATCGGGGCAACGCCAGCGACTGCGCACCCGATGCTCATCAATCGCGTGGCGCTGGAATGCCATTTTATGCAACAAGGTCACTTCGCACCAGTTGCACTTGAGCGGCTCTTCCTTCAGATGAATGGCATCGAAGTGGCGCGTGACACAGCCAGCATCATGAAACATCCGGCAGCGAACCTTATCGGGTAGCTTCTCATTCGCGAAGCATTGAAAGCAGGCCTCTGGCAGTTCCGACTTCTCCAAGTATTCCTTGGTAGCACGCGACGGCTTACCGTGTACGGTAGGGGGTTCCACTTCGCATGTGACGCCGTCTTGGACGACTTGTGGTGCATCCTGGGGTTGAGCCGTGGGCTCATCCGATGCAGCGGAGGTCGTAGTTTCTCGCCTGGGCCGGCCTCTCAGAGGGCCTCCTTCAAGAACGTCACAATATTGCATTACTGCATCCGAACCTGCATTGTGCCGATTCCATTCATCCTCCAGTGAGTTGGAGATTGGATAGGACAAAAGACATTGCATAAGATGTAGCTGGATTGGGGGCATAGCAGCCTCAAAGGGTTCATCCTCTTCCTCCTCCTTAACTGCAGTGCCAGAGAGCTGCGCCTCAATATCCAGGAATGCCTGCTCTTCATCAAAGTTCTCTCGGATCTGATGCCGCAAAGCCCTCAGTAATCGTTTTCGTGTATTGGTCACCTCCTTCTTTTGCCTCTCGATCCGAGGCAGCAGGCCCGGTTGCTGGGTCTTATTGTACTGGGCACCAATCTCGCTCAGCTTCCGGCGGGCTTCTTCCAACTCAGGATGGTCCTCCACCCGTGCCCTCTGTCGCTCCGTTAAATATCTCGGGCGTCGTGGGTCTTCCCAACGATTCTGGCGCGTGACAGCCCGCATGTATTCCACGTCCGGGTCAAGGCCACAGACAATCCGAGTCATATCTGTGTCGAGGTTCCTAGGATGGTAATGCTTGAGAAAAGTCCGGGGGCTAGCGTGCTTCATGATCAACATATGTTGCTCCTTGCTGACCCATCCTGAACTTGAATGTCAGCAGCTAAAAGGACCCTAAAAAGTGGTGGTATGAAAAGAGTTACTCACCACTCTCGTTAATCACTTTGCCAGTCCCGTACCGGAACTGATGGGCATGGAATGGGTTAGGCCATCCCTTGATCTCCCCAAACGTGACCAGGAGGCTGGACATGGAGGACTTGGACATGGGTTGGGTCCGCTGAATGGTTGGAACCCCTTTGACCAATTCTGTTTTGCAAAAGATATACCAATCCGCCTTCTCCCGGTCCAGGGGCATCAGGAGCTGTCGGCAACCTTTGCTAATAAAGAGCTTCCGCATCTGGGCCCTTGATGTCAAGTTATTCCGGAATGCTTTGGCATGGAACAAGATTCCGAATAGGAGCGTATGGGGACATATCACCAAAGATGGTCCATAGACCACTTCGGGGAGTGCAAATGTAGTCCTGTCGTCAGTTAGCCCGCATTGCCTGGTGTAGGTCTCAAAAGGGCAATGGTTTCCAAAATAGACTCGTGTGAACGGATCCAGTAGGACTTGGAGATCACGGGATAAGAAGGGGAAAGGAAGGCAGTTCACTTACAATTCAGTCTGCCCAAGAAACTTTTTACATCCATCTGGCGTCAGTTCAACCAAAGGGATAGGAGGTCCGCCGCGAGGATCCTTCTGCAGCGAGATTTGTAGGTCTTTGAACTGGAGACTCAATAGGGCGCTCCTGCGGTGTACAGTGAACAGAGCGAGCGAATTGAAGAGGCACACTTGGATACGCTGGAATCCAAGGTAGAACTTCTTTTGCTGAGTCGAGAGAATCGTTTCATTCAACGGGCCGATATCCTCAATGTAGACTGGCGTCTTCTTTTTCGGTTGCGTATCTAACCTATGCTCTACGACCAAGTACCTAATACCCTATAAATTGGACGATTAGACGAGATGGCCAAACAAACTGAAAGAATAATGACTGACCCTCCGCACTTCTGACCCATCTTTATCGTCGATTTTGGTCTTGGTCAGTTTTTGGTAGTAACTACGAAGGTTCTTCCAGTCAGTATTCAACGAGCTAGACTTGTGAATGCCCTTGTTACGTCGACCGTTCTTTCCTCGCTTGAGCTTGAGGGACCAGCCCAAGAACCGATACAGGTCGTTGTTCGACGCCTGGCGTAGGGCCTCTTCAGGATCCCGCCATTTTCGCACATTGGGCTCTAGTTTTCTTTTGCTGTTACAATATCTATGTCTGCATTAGCAGAGAACAGCAAAGGTGGCATTCGTCCTGTGTCACTGACCGCTCCCATCGGGTTTCGATCCGCTCCCGTCGTTGGATGGTGCCCTCTGCTTTGTCAAAATCCTCGTCGATCTCACAAAGATCGATTCCGGTGTCATCGAGGGGGTCGTCATAGAAATCATCTGCCTCATTGGATAGACTTGGCTCCAAAGCAGGGTCCTTCTCATCCGACCGGAGGCGTTTTCGTGGGCTCGGGCTATCATCCGGCTCGGTGACATCTGGCTCAGTCACATCCGTCTCATAAGTGGCATCCCACCGCTCGTCCGAGTCAGGGCTGCCACCGGCGACATCGTTCTCACTGCAGTCACTCCCCGTCAGGAGGGATCGATTCTGTCGCGCACGGGTACGCTTCATCGGTGGGTTTGTAGGTAATGAGGAACGGATACTGAGAGGGAAGGCACGGGGGCCGTGAGGATGGGGGAGCGGGAAACGACACCGCAAACTCCAGCGAAGTGGTTACTAAAGAGTGAAGTGACTTTATTGTAGGTGCAAGAAAAGACCTTGAGGCTAGTAGATGACCTTCGTAAGTAGGGTGATCTGGCAGATGGCTCAGGGGGGAAAATAAATGAAGGAGCAAACCTGGAAGAAAAGGGCCACGATAAATGAGTTGGTGCCGTCTTGGCCTGGCTGGAGCCCAGGCCCATGTGAAGGGATGAAGTGAAGCCATTTTCGGCTCCCTCATACAGCTTCTGGTTGGAGAGACGGTGCTGAAAGACTGACGCTTGAAGTCGATGAAACGCCCGCGATGGTGGGGCGCTGAGGGCGAGTTTGACTGGTGCGTGGTGGTAGCGAGGATGGGAGCGTGTTGGAAAGGTAAAGTCACGTGTTACCAAATGGCTGCCAAAAAAGGCGTCGAATGCGGCCGAAAATGGCATACATTTGGTAAGTCCAAATTGTCTATTAGTAATTTTTTTATACTATAATTTTTTTTTTACTATAGTTAGATTTACCTATAGGCATACCCTTATACTATTTATTATTCTGATATTAGATTCTAACTATAGTTAGATCTATACTATATTAGGGTAGTCTAGTAGGGGCACTGGGCCCTCTAGTTCCTGAAAGCTAAAGTCTATAAAAAAGAATACTATTATTACTAAGACTATAAAAGATAATATAGTTAATTAGAAACTAGAAGTAGTATACCTTAGCTCTTTTATAATTAATATTTATAAGCTTACTCTTAAATAGAAAAAGTTAAGAAATAGAGCTGTAGATTAATCCCTAATCTAGAGATTAAAAATATTATTTAAACTTAGTATAAGGAGATTTATAATTAAAGACTAACTATAAGTAATAGTTCAATCCAGTGAATTTAAGGAAATTCTTATATATATTATTAGAACTAAAATAGGTAAGATAGACCTAGATTTTAAGTCTTAAGATAGCTAATAGTAATTTATAATTTATTATAGTTAATGCCTTAAGTAAATAAGCTTATAGGTATAGCTAATCTAACTATAGTTAGATTTAGAGGCTAATACTCCCTAGGACTAGTTACTATTTATTCCCTCACTGCCCCCTTCTATAGCCCTATCTATAGTATATAATAGCTAATACTGGGTAGTAGTACTCTGCAGTCTCCTGGATAAATAATATAATTTAGTAGTAAAGTCTACTTAAGATATAGATAGTTATTAAATTACTACTCCTATAAAGGAGGTAAATCTCCCTATAATTAGATTATAGGTATATTACTAATAAGAATAGCACTATTATTAGTCTGTTAATATCTATAGGGAGGATCTGCTCTCTAAAGATATTATAGCTATACTAATAGTAAACTAGTAGGCTATATAAAAGACTAATAGTAAAGGTTTTAATACTATCTAGTTTATTAGTAGGTTTGAGGCCCTCTTACTAAATAAGAGGGAAGTTATAGTTACTTTAACTAAAATTATTAAAAATTAGGTAAATAATGTCTTTAGAATTAACCTCTTATACTTAGTAAGGATTAAAGTAATCTTAAAATATAAGGAGTTTTATAAAGCTATCTATAAATATTACTTAATAAGATATAGTAAATATAGCTTTTCTTAGAACCTGATAGAGTTAATTATTAGTTTAAAACTAGACTTTATAAGTACTTATCTATTATTAGTTTATAGGGAATAGTTGCTAATCTAACTATGGTTAGATCTAGTTAAAGGAAATTTCTAAGTTTTTTACCTTTAGAGATACTATCTTTAAAGATTATATATACTCTATTTCTCTAAGTAATTAGAGGTGTATTCTAGAAATAGAGGATAGCTAATCTAATTCCTAATTATATCTATTATTCTTCTTAAAGCAGGAGGACTATTAGGATAGTAAGTAGAAGAGAAAAACTTTATAGCCTCTTCTATTAAAATACTAGAGCATAGAGGAACTATCTAAGCTAGCTAGTCTATACCTAATTAATAAGTATTCCTTTACTAATTATTAGCCTGGGTTCCTGATGGTGCTTAATAATAATTAGTATATTTATATCTTTAAAAGGCTTTACTAAAACTATAACCTTCACTATCTAATATAGTATGTAGTGAATCTAACTATTAGTTAGATATAAGCTAATATATATCTAGAAATAATTAGAATAATCTTAATAAAAAGATTACAACCCCTATTAAATTACTTCTTAGGCATATAATAGTCTAGGTAGATCTAAAATAGGTCTACCTAACCCCTACTAGTAATATACTAAAGATATTCTTATAGATTATAGAAGTTAGGGATATTTTATTAAGGAGTCTATCTTATAGGATAGGGTAAATAGACTATTTCCTTAAGATGCAAATCTTAAAGTAATTATAAAAGACTTTATCTAAGAACTATAGTCTAAGGTAACTAAGGAGAATCTCTAGTAAGATACTACTATAAGAGAGTAGGTAAGTTTAAATCTAACTAAGGTTAGATTTATACTAATAAACTTAGTTAAACTTTCTACCTAGAGAACTATAATCTAGTAATACTAATAGCCTTAAGTCTTACTAATACTTAGAGTATTTTAAGGCTCTCTATTAGGTAAGGATTATAAAATTAGTAATTAAGATAGTAGGCCTATATCTTATTAGGGTTATAGAAAGGTTTAATAACCTAGCAGAACTAGTATAGTATTCTTATCTATTCTAACTATAGTAAGAATATTAACTATACTCTAGAGTAAGATTTAGATACCTTATTCTCTCTAGGGAGATACTACTAGTTCTTATAATTTTTTATAGAACTAGCTCCTCTAAAAAGTTCCCTTACTAAATATAAATATAAATTATTCCTCTCTTACTCTTAAGTTAACTATTATAGGCTCCCTCTAGCACTATTAAGAGTTAAAGAAGCTTATACTAGCTATACTAGAGTAGGGATAGAAAGTAAATACTATTAAAAAATTAAAATAAGCTCTAAAGGTTATTAGGAGTTTAGTAAGTTAAGGGCCTACTAATCTAACTATAATTAAATATTTATCTATAATAGGAGGAGTATAAAACTATAGTAAATATACTCTAAGAGTATATATATATCTTATAATATTTTAGCTATAAGACTAATATAGATAATATACTTAAAAACCTTAATATACTTACCTTTAATTAATAAGAGAATACTACTTAGGCTAACCTAAACTCTTAATATAAGATAGGTTTCTTATAACAGTATCTAAAGGTGCTTACTTTAAATAAGGATAAAGTCTATACTAGTATCAGAGAGTTAGCTAAGTCTATATAAAAGAATACCCTTAAAAAGCCACCTAGGAAGTGTAAATAATTATAAGGTATGGTCTATAATCTAACTATGGTTAGATTAATAAGATTACTAATTAGTTTATATAGTTAATAATAATCAGGGTGGGTCTAGTAAATAGATATTAGAAGAGAGTATAATTTAATATCTATTAATTACCCTTAACTATCTAAGTAATACTGCAAGGCATGTATATATAAGAAAGTTAAAGAAACTCTATAAGGATGGCTAGATCGCTGTTACTAATAATGATAGTAATAAAGGGTAGGTAATTATTAATAAGATTAAGGCCCTTAATCAGGAGCATAGATGCAGTAATAACTTCCTTATTAATATAGAGGAATAACTAGCTACTAATATTATTAGAGGGGATAAAGATAATATTAAAGGGAATAAGAATAATAGTACTAGAACTAGCAGAGATAAAAATAATAGTAATTAATTTAGATACTAATACTAAGTAGTGATTTCTTATAGTTTAGGTGTTTAATATACTTTCCTACCTTGGTATAAATTTCTCTTAGTATATTACTGCCTAATCTAACTATAGTTAGATTCTAACTTCTGTTATCTCTGAAACTAACTATAGTTAGATTTAAACTTTATTATCTCTGAATCTAACTATAGTTAGATTTAAACTTTATTATCTCTAGGTATGCCTTCTTAGCTTTAATCTATATACTATAATATTACTAACTTCTCTATTACCTAAAGTCCCTAACTTTAAAAATATATTATTCCTTATATCTAAGATAAGTCTACCTAAAGGGTTATCTTCTTATTATTCCTTACCTCTAGTATTGCTATGCCAGTAGTCTTTATTTAGTAATAATTTCTTATCTTTAGTAGATGCCTCTATTAACCCTACTATATCTAGTCCTGTACCTATTCTAGATGTCCTTTAGGTCCTCTTAAGATTTAATAGATAAGACTATATTATTAAATTTCCCTCCCTTAAGGAATATAAATTAACTAAAAACCTTAAGTATGTAAAAGATACTTTCTTTTAGTAGTAGAGTAAAATAAAATAGGGGAAGATGCAGGAGGACTTAATTAAGAAGAAAAGAATAAGATAGGGAGGTAAGAAATATTTAATAGCCTAGACTTATTTTAATGAAGTAGCTATATATTTAGAAGGTAAACCTAAAGTCTATTATAAATACTATTATATACTTCTTTATTATCTAGGTTTAGATTATACTAGTACTATAATAATAAAAGTGCATCTAACAAGTTAGAAGTATTTATAGAAAGGTAATAGTCTATCTAGTATAACTAAATAGACTATTACTAAATACTTATTATAGGTAATAGTATATCTTTACTAATCTAACTATAGTTAGATTTACTACTAATCTTATCCCCCCTTTCCTAGGTTAATATACCTACTTTATAATATTTAGAGGAGGTATTCAGAGATTAGGTTATATAGTTTCTAATTATATATTACCTTCCTTTCTGAACTATTAAGTATATTTCTAATTATATATTACCTTCCTTTCTGAACTATTAAGTATATGTAAATACTTAATATAGTTACTAGGCTAGTATTATATCTTAGGATCCTAAACTATAATGAGGTTAAGATATATCTTATAGACCTTACTATAAGTATATATTAAGCACTACTTACTTCTCTTCCACTAGATATAAAGGTATTAATTATACTAGATTACTAGATAAGTCTAGACTAAAAACCTTTTATAGTAATTACTAGCTACTAGATCTCTCTAGATTTCTGCTATTATAAGGTTCTTCTTAGTTTCCTACTAGTCCTTAGTAAATATACTAGGGAAAATCTTACTTTAGTAGTAATAGAAGTTCTAAAGAAGTATAAGTTAAATTAATAGCTTCTTAGGATTACTACTAATAATGCAAAAAATAATTTAATAATATTTATTAGTCTAATAGAGAAGCTAAAGGAGTAACTAGAGTATAGTAATAAAATACTAAATTTCTCTTTTAATCCAGAGTTTTACTAACTACTTAAATCCTAATATTATTTCTCTTATCTTACCTATATAATTTAATTAGCAGTAACTACTTTCCTTAAAAAGCTTTATATCTAGGTAAGTAATAATAACCCTACTATAGAGTGGGATAATAAGGACTATATAATTAGGGAAACTAGCCTCCTAAAGATAATAGAAAAGGTATATTAAATCTAACTATAGTTAGACTTATACTTAGTAGTATATAGGTTTAAAAGCTTATGCACTTTATCCTTATAAGTCTAAAATAAAGAGAATTTTTTTAATAATCTAAGATATAAATAATAGTAATTTATTACTCCTCCTTCTAGATTATAAAATATAGTAGAATTTAATATATCTAATATTAAAGTATGCCCATTAATTACACAAACTAATATATTAATTTATTAGTACTTTTTAAGAGAAGGATATCTCTTCTTTTAGTCTTACCTAAGAAGAATAATAATATATTAAGTACCTCCTTAAGCTTCTTTATAATTTCTATATCTATATAACTACACTCTTAGAACATACTAGAGCTATAGTATATAAAGTCTTTAGTATCTATAATAGTCTCTTTAATTATCTTGAAGATATAATATTATAACTTTAGAATAAGAAATAGCTCTAGAAGTAATAACTATATAATACTCTATATACTATATATATTAAGCTTTAGGAATTCTATAAGCTAACCTATAGTTTCTATAATATTATTTATGCTATTAGTATAATTCTTAATCTATACTAAAAGCTTTTATTCTTTAAAGATACTTCTTAGATAGATAATAACTATAATTAGGTATATAAATATCACATAAAGCTTAGAAAGATTTTTATATATTATAAGGAGAAATATCTATAGGCTAGAGCTTAGTTATCTAGCTAAATATTATTAATTAGCCTGAATTATGCCCTTCAGAAGTTAAAATAATACTGGATTTTACCTTCTAATAAAGGATCTAGCAGTAATGAACTTTCTGAATATCTTAGAGAATATAAGTATCCCTTTCCTTTCCTTATTATCCTTATTTTAATCTAACTATAGTTAGATTACCTTCAATAAGATGACTCCTTTAATATTCTTAACTAGTGGAAAATAAATATATCTTAATTTCTAATACTTACTTTAATTACTTAAGACTTCCTTGCTGTCCCTGTGACTAGTATTAGGCTAGAGAATCTATTTAGTATAGCCTAGGATATCTACCACTACCAACACAGCTGCCTGGCTATTAATATAATATAGGCTATTATACTCTTAATATATACTAATTAATTTATAATTAAGTAGAAATTCTAGTTTTTACTTAATAAGGTTGGCAAGAAAGATATTAATATAGAGAGGGATAATCAGGATAACCAGGATGTTAAGTAGTATATTAGTGATGGTAAAGAAGATCTAGGTAGTTTTAAGGAAGATAATAATATAGATAATATTAATATGCATGTATCGCAGCAAGATATATCTAAGGGAGAGGTATCTAATAGAGATGATAATCACCTACCTATATTACAGACTATTATCTCTTAATTAGTATCTCAGGGATCTTAACCTTGCTATGCACCTTATTAGCTAGGGTATTTCTATTAGCTTATAAATAGGACTTATTAGGTAGATTATCTTTAGTATAATAGAGGAGTTCTGCTTTATAATAGTCTTCCTATAATCTAACCATGGTTAGATTACTTAACCTGTTTTTTAATATGTAATACTTCTGTATTCTCTTTAATTAGATTAGGTAGTTTTACCTAATCTAATAAAATCACAAAGACCATAACCAATAGTTTAAACTAAACTTGAATCAGTTTCACCCTACCTAAACTGAAACCAAAGTGATTTACTAGGCTAGGAACCGAACCCTCACCGCTGCGAGTTCGGTGAGGGTCGGATTTGATTTTAGCGGTTTGGTTATGCAACTCTATCTAAGCCCCTACTATAGAGGTATGTTATAATAATCTAACTATAGTTAGATTATACAAGCTTATGCTTAATAGAAGTATCTCTAGTTAACTAATATCTATAATAATAAGGATATAGATAAGGAGATATAGTAAGCACTATATACTAACTACTAGAATACCTAAAAGGTAAATAGTAATAGTTATAATACAGCAGATTAGACACGATGAAGATCCCATCTGCCCTAATCGGGTTGAGAAAGTTGGCGAGGAACGCACACGCCCAGTAGGACCATCTGGGCTGGGCCACTGCCATGAGTAAGGACGCGAGCGCACAGGGGATGGTGGCCATGATGACGATCCAGTCGGCTCGGACACGGTGCACGCTGAGCCCGACGACGACGTTGGTTAGTGCGCCAGCGATCGGGGCGGGGAGGAAACGGACGGCAGCACCGAGCGGACTGACGTGTTGGACTTCCTGGAAGAAGAAATTCTGGTACTGCTCGAAGGCGTTGAACGCAGCCCAGATGCAGAAGACATTGATACAGATGCATGAGAAGACTTTGTTCTTCCATAGCGAGTTTGGGATCAAGGCCGGGCGATTGAGGCGTTCCTGGCGGCCTACCCAAAGCACAAAAGCGATGAGCAGCACGGCGGCGAGGACGAGGAGAGTGATGTTCTGCGGGAGTCGGATGGCGGATGGACTGCCTGTGAGGGCTCTGTTTTTCTGCTATCAGCGACAAGCTCCCGAGGCTGATGAAGAAACATACGCAAGGGTATAGGATATAATGGCGAGAGCAGCACTTGCCAAAGCCACCCCAACCCAATCTATGTCAGATGCAAGATGCTGCAAGATATTGCTTGCGGCAGGGTCTTTGTATGTCTTCGGGAGCTGCCAGGCACACACAATCAACATGAGGAAGTTCGATATGGCAGCGATGAAGAATCCCCATTTCCAGCCGATAGTGCCTGTGATAACACCCCCAGCACCAGGCCCACCCCAAACCCTACCGGTTGAGCGCCACCCATTGACGCGAATGCAATATTCCGCGACCGACCCGGTAGGAACACCTCATTGATCAGACTCACGGCAGATGGTAGACAGAAGGAGGCCGCCACGCCAGAAAAGGCGCGAAAGACGATCATCTGGGTGCCTGTCCTGGCCAGTCCGCATGCGAGAGTGGACATTCCCTGAAGGAAGCAGCCGAGAAGAAACATCAGCCAGTTCCCTGCCACGTCGGCAACAGATCCGCAGATCAACAGCGTACAGCCGCAGGTGAGCGAGTATACCGTGACCGGCCTGACGATCCACATGAACATTAGTTGTGTTCTATGCTCTTGCAATGATCGATCTACTTTTCCAGGAGGTTGAGTATAAAATCACACATACCAAAGGACCAGATTGGATGGCAATTGCAAATCCGCAGTGATTGCAGGTATGGCCATGGTGACCACGCCGACCAGAAAGGTCGTGATGCCCGTGCTGTAAGTGATGCAACTGATGACTATCGCGGTCCTCTTTTTCGAGACTTTGTTAGCCTCCCGAACCTCCATAGCCATCATTTCTGGAGTGGTCGAAGCTGAGCTGTTGTATTCATGGTCTTCAGCACTGAGGTCCTCTGACCTTCCAGCGGGAACCAGCCCGATTGAAGCAGCTGGTTTGTTGGTCATCCATGCCTTGACACATCATAAGTGCTTTTCCCTCTGAAGAGAAAAGTCTTGGGCGAATGCCGGATATCTTTTTGTATAGTTATACTGTACACACAGAGAAGGACGTGTATTAATGGCTATTTTGCAACTGTATGAGTAAACCCTAAGCTAGAGTGGGCCTACCGCCTAACCCTCTATTAGTCAGATTTTGGATTTTGATTAACTAGACCATTGTTAGGCACATTGCGGAATATTACCGCGTTAAAAACTTTGTTGTTCCTTTGTTTTTTTGATCCTTATCAATAAGCCTAACAATTCGTAAGGCTCCTAGTACTTGGCCTCTACAAGGAAAGCCATAGCTTCAATCAAGTAGATAAATATAGTGCACACAATCAACATTATGGCTTGAATAATCATCGAACACGTAAATCAGGCATATAGCGTCCTCATTCCCTGAAGGACTTTACAGTTCGCGTCGCACCCCTTTGATATCGCTACCTACGACCACTTAATCACCCTGGCCTTCGGAGGCTGTATCTGCATTCCATCCGATGAATAAAGAAAGAGTGAAGAAGCCCAGATAAGTCACGGTCAGAAAGGCCGCGGCGCAGAAGTCGGACTAGATAAGATCTGCCATCTCATTTAGCAGATCTCGCATAGACAACGAACAGTGGCAATCTCTCAGAGAATTCACTGTAGCCGTGTACACTTGAAAATATAGTCTGCCTAGTGATACAACCTGTTTTGGTAATCACAACTCTGTAATATACCTTTAGGCCTGTCCTGGGAGACCTGCACTGTTATTAACTCAGCAGAATTCCATCGGAAAAGTTCGATTATCTTTCGCCATGGGACATATCTGCTTCTCCATGGCCCACTTGCTGATGACCGTTCTGGTAGGTATGGGCCACTGGGTCTACCTGCCTTTTAGCAGCAGGTACAAGGTTCAAATATAATGGAAAGAGGGCCCCGGTGCTAAAGATAGCGACAAGGATGCTGTAGGAGTAGGACACCCCATGGGACGTGGACACTGCATACTGTACAAAAGGCAGAAACGCTCCACCGCCGATAGCTGATGCCAAAAGAGAGGCTGCTGTCTTTGTGTGTTTCCCCATACCACGCAGACAAATGGCAAACAGGGTGCTGAAAGCACCACTCTCAAACAGGTAGATCATCAAACCCATGATTACCGCTGTCAAACCAGACGTCTTCAGACAAAGAGTGGAGAAAATCACCATGCCGGCGTATGCTATCATCAGAGTCCACCGAGGTTTCAGGAACCAGAGGACCAAAGCAGTCAGAAAACGGCCAACAGCAAACACCGTATGACCAACGGTTACATAGTCAAAGGGTGTAAGGTCCGAACTGTGATGAAGAAGATTGAGTTAATCATAGAGGAAAGAGATAGTGATAGCTTCTTACCTGATATTTGACGCCACCACCAGAGACTCAAAGCTCGTTGCTAGAACCTCTTGGCCGGCGACATAGAGGTATAGTGAGCCCACACCCAAAGATAGCGTCAGCCAGATGACAGGAACACCTAGTATTTTGCTCGATCCGTCTCCTCGACAGCGGATTGCGATCTGCTCAAGGTCGTCGTCAGGGGCTTCTGGAATAGGTAGGTAGTACAGCGCTGCAGCTAAAAGTAGGTCGAAAAACGCAATGCTGAGATATGTCCATTGTGAATTGATTAGAGTTGAGACGTTTGTCACATCCTTGAAAAGGACTTTCTCGGAAAGTAGTGGCGAAACAACTGTTGCGATAGCCTGAATGGCCTGTGAGATATTCAAGCGAATTTCGGCGTTGTCCTGTGGCCCGCATAAGGCGATGAAGGAATTGGCAGCGGTTTCTAAGACCCCCAATCCACCACCGATGACGACATTGGAGACAATGAAAGCGGGAAAAGACGAGAGAACGGCAGATGGCCAGAATATCAATGTCCCACAGGCGTAAACAGATAGGCCTGTGATCAGTGTAACCTTATAGCCCCATCCTTTCAAAATCCAGCGACCAAGCGTTACTGGGCTTACGAAGTAGCCACTGAAGTATGCGGCATGGATGCCGAGGGATTGCCAGGTATCGAGTCCGAGAACAGCCTGAAGATGGCCGGTCAAATTACCGAGAAGCCCGTATGAGAAACCCCACAGCCAGAAAATGAGTGTGACCAAGGCTATTGGTGCCAAGGATTCTCTATTATTGAGTTTCAGCATGTTCTTTGGCCCCTTCATCCGTACAAACTCAATCAAAGCGGCGCCGGGCTGGGAGTCCCCTGAGCGGACTCCGCTTAATTCAGGGTCTGTGACAATGAACCATTAGGACGAAGATCTATGTTATGTGCTAAGCAGGATTAAAGACTTTCCTGGAACTCCTTGAGAAGAGCCCAAATGCGACATTCTTCGGCTATCCAAACGTATCTGGACGAAACTATCTGTACTATTATCATCCCCACCCTCATCCGAGGAGACGGGGCGATCACCGCGGGGTCCGGAACCGTTTAGCTGTGCCATGGCGGACAAGCGAATATTCGCGGACGAACCGACGCCAGGTATCTCGTCAGGAGGGGTTTCCGCACCAGTCGTCCTCCCGTGCCTCTTGCCGCTGACGCCGATCATCCGCGGCATGGTGCGAGCAATGAGCGGCTTAAGGAGCGGGACACAACTGCAAATGACAGACATATTGGCCTCCACTACGGACCACATGAATGACAATGCAGCGAAAGCTAGTGTATCAGAAGTTAGCATGACCTGTCGTGACAAGAGGGTAGCATAGATCGTACACGAAATGCTGATCAAAGAGCCGCTATGGATAGGCCCCGACTGAGATGTTAGCTGAGTCTCTGTCAGAGCACGCTGAAGGTACACAATCCGGATCACGTCGACAACTGTCACAAAAAGTCCGAAGCCAAATGTGATTATCAAGATGAATTTCTGCCTCCGCGGCAGGTGCATCTTGGTTAGAATAGGCATCGGGAGGAAGAGGATAGCAATATCAGTGATTATATTCACTGGCGCGCTGGACAAGTAGAGTGTGATCACACTGGTACAGGACGCCGCTGCTGGCAGTGTTGGCTTCAGGACAGAACCCACTGGACGACACTGGAAAATAGTGAGGAAAGTCAAAGCGAGGCCAGATACATTAACTACAAAGAGAGTCAGGTAGTTCCCCAGTCGAAAAAGCTTTTCGCCTCTGGCGAAGGTCAGATAAAACACAAGGATCGATGTCTTTATTGTCATTAAAGCTGGGTTCTAACGGGCATTATCAGCATAGGTCATCTGGGAGTTCATCACAGCTGGGTCTCAGTGTACTCACATAAAGCACGGTGAATATAAAGGTAGCCCGAATGATGCTACGTCGGTTCTCTGGTTTTATGTCGGCTGCGGGAAGTCCGAGGCCCTTTGCTGTTGCGTACAATAAGGAGAATGAGAAGGCAAAATCGATGATCTGTGAAGCGTCAGTCCCCGTTTTGGCCACAGACAAAGACCACAAAGTACCCAGGCCAGAAGGCTCCAGTAATCATACTGCCCAAATTTCTTGACTATCACGATTCTGGAGTAGAAACGAAAGGCAACGAAGGTGGTCGCCAGGACAAAAATAGTAATGGAAACCACCAACACCGCCACTCTTGGATCTTTCGACATGATCAAAGATAGATTTTCGCGATGGCTTCATTGTGCTTACTGGTATAACATGAATGCAGCTTATTTGTATGCACAGATCAATGAATGGTATTATTGAATGTTTAAGATGAACTAGGATCTTTGAAATGCAGGATGATAAGCTAATATACCCCAGCGTATCTCTTAAGTTTAATCAAAAAGCTAGGCCTTAATTTTTTAAGTCCAGTCAAAGCTTACCGCATGATGGCACGTGGCATATTATCCTGAAATATCTGTTTTCTGCAGCTGGTTGTGATCGCTGTGTGTATGACTAACCCAACCTTCTAGGCGCAGATGACGTCAGCACTACGAAAGTCCCCCCCCCCGCCTGTTAATGTAGGATGTTCCTACAGATACAGCGCCCGCCCCCCCCCCCCCCCTCTCCTTCCAACTTTCCGTTTTACACAGCCCTCTAGCTTCAACCTATCATTACCCTAGCAGTGTTCTGACCTGATTCCGGTGAGCCATGGTGAGAAAAGAACCCAACAGGCAGTTCGTGCTAGATCCGCAGGGGATCCTAGTATGCTACAGAACTTAGCCAAAGCTAGAGTTGCATTTGGTCCGAGTTCAGGTGAGTCCAACCCCAGTTGGAACTGAACCGCTGCGATTTTGAGTCTAAATCTTAGAAATCAGAACCAAACCTGATCTGTTCTGATTTGGTGTGAGTTTAACCGTAAAATCCGCCCCTAGGCCTAGATAGGCAGTCACTAACCAACCATGGTTAGATTCAGTTCGGTTCTGTTTTGAATTATATAACCTGAATGATCCACGAGATCCTTCAACAGAATCCAACAGCAAAGACATGGTACAACAAGGAGTCAATGAGTAACATCATGGTCTACAACAAAACAGAATAGGTTAGATGTATGAGCAAAGACACTCTCGCTCTTTGAGCAGTCTGCTATGCCATTATTTATGGCTTTAGGGGGTAGAGCAACCGGGCCGTGGACCTTAAGGAATTTTACACTATTCCAGACATCAGTTATGAGCCTTACAATAAAATGTACGACACACTGCAGGCCATATCAGATAATCTTAAAAATATCCCAGGCTATTGTGTCGACACATACACCATTTCAATTCTGGGCAAACATCTTCAGTCAGCCCTGGGCAAGTACAATAAGCTCCTAAAGCAAGAATACAATGACAAGTTTAAAAAGTACTCCAAGTACACTGAGGATTCTGTATAGTCCCAGATTAATGAGTACATAATGGCCCATGGCAATGACCACTTCACTTATATTACGCAATCATACATTACCTGCTGCGCTGACTGTGGCTGGCAGGGATGTTATAATAGCTGCAAGGGGTCGTGCGGAAAAGGGCAGTCAGGCAACCAAAACAAGACTGTCTTATGCTCTATAACTCACCCTAATACTAGCATTGGATCCCATGGGCCTATAATCTATTAGCAGGTACAGGATGAGAGCGCTTTCCTTAAGGACATAGCTGAGAAGTATGGCGTTAAGCCATCGTTGATCACCTTCCAACCCCCGGCGAGCATCAAGCTCTGAGGGATGCAAGCACGTTGATGACTATGAGTGCAGGTACTGGTGGTTCGGATACCCAGCGGCAAAAGCCGATATATCTATGCCAGACCCTAAAGACTTGATCTCCACAGCGATGAGAAACCTGACTATTATTAGCGACACATTGGCTGATGCAGCAATGGATGCGGCAACACTTCTGTATGTCGGCTCCACAAGCGACGTCGTCACTGCCTCTGAGCTGCCCGTCTTCATGGCCGAGTTCGCGGTCGAGTCAATGGAGTCGTTGATTGATTTGCCACTCTGTGAATCGCAGCAAACCGAAACTATAGCAAAGTAATGAACGCACCGACTCCTTGGAGGATGTTACTGAGGGGGACTTTGAGTTTATTCAGTAGGTGCATCTATGTGGAACCAGAGAAGTATGAATTCTATATCTATACATGTCTAGAAAGAGGCAGCTTTTTTATGACGTAGCAGTAAATCGCTCCACCCAGGCCCGAATCTCTGATCTAAGCTCAGCCACCATATCAAGATTTTCATTCTCTGCCACAAAATTCATGAAACGTTCCAGGCCATTACCATTACCATTACCATTAGACTCGCGCGCGCGGCGGCAGCGGCCGCTGTTGTCAGCAAGAACCATAAGCTCCTTTGTGAGTTCAACAGCGCTGTCGACGAACCTCGCGATCTGGGCGAAGTCCTCGGGCTTGAGCCCCCGCGCCGTCATGACGGGCGAGCCGATGCGCAGGCCGCTCGGCTCCCGCGCGGAGACGTCCCCGGCGAGCACGTTCCTGTTGCTGGCGACGCCGAGGACCTCGAGCACGCGCTCGACGCGCGCGCCGTCGATGCCCTTGGATCGCAGGTCGAGCAGCACGAGATGCGTGTCTGTGCCGCCGGACGCGAGCGCATAGCCTAGCTCCTTAAGGGCGTCGGCGAGCGCGCGCGCGTTCAGAAGGACGAGACGCTGGTATTCTTTGAATTGCGGCGTCAGGGCCTGCTGTAACGCGACGGCGAGGGCCGCGGTCGTGTTGTTGTGAGGTGAGCTCTGATGACCTGGGAAGACGGAGCTGTTGATGGCGTCTTCGACGGTAGTTCCGTTGCCGTTGCCGTTGCCGTTGCCGTTGCCGTTGCCGTTGCGCTTGGCCAGGGATAGGGGTACGCCTTTCCGGTAGAAGATGATGCCGCCTCTGGGACCTCGCAAAAGCTTGGCGGTCGAGCTCGTGACGACGTCGCTGTGCTCAAAGGGCGAGGGGATCAAACCCGCGGCTATGAGCCCGGAGATGTGCGAGATGTCGCTCATGACGAAGGCCGGGCTCCTGGAGGCTATGGCGCGGATCCGCGCGTAGTCGATCAGCCGGCTGTAGGTGGACGTGCCGGCGACTATGAGCTTCGGCTTGTAGTGCGCCGCGAGCGCCTCGAGCCCGTCGTAGTCGATAGTGCCTGTCGAGGCGTCCAGGTGGTAAGGTAGAGTCTCGAAATACTTGGATATGTGGGAGATCTTCTTCCGCCCGCGCGTGTAGCCGTGCGAGAGGTGGCCACCGGAGGCTACGTCTAGACTCATCATGCGGTCATGCACACCGAGGAGGGCGGAGTAGACGTACAGGTTGGCGTTTGAGCATGACATGGCTGCATACATTTATTAGGGAAAAAAATAAATAAAAAAAATCAGATGAGAGTGACATTTTTCGTGGAGAAGCACGCACATTGCACATTAGCGCCCCATTCTTCCGGTCGAAGGTTGAAAGCTTGGAGGACACGAGCTTGGCAGGTCCTCTCGATCTCGTCAATATTCGCCGAACAGCTGTGGTACCTCGCCCCAGGGTAGCCCTCGGAGGATTTATCTAATGTGTCGACCATCAGTTAAGATAGGTATCCCCCTTAATTGCTGGGAAATGTGATCGACTTGCTTTGAAGGACGCTACCCAGGGCTTCCATGACCGCTGGTGACATGACATTCTCGGAGGCGATCAGGTTCAGGCATTGTCTTTGTCTGGTTTCTTCCTTGTTGCAATGTTAGCAACCAGGTGCAACCTTGGAATATTCTCTACGGCAACGTACGCGCTTCAGAAGTCCGAATATGACAGGGTCAGTCTCTTCAAGTGTTTGCGGCCTTGCTGTTGTGCTTTCCCATCGTTTAAGTGTTACTTGACATGGCCTTATAGGTTTATCCCACGCCTTTGATATGAAACTAGGTGTGGAACGGCGCGGAGCCCGCAACAACACCGGCATGATGGATACAATATATTGTAAGCAGCAAAGAGGGAAATGATAGCAGGCAGATCTGTAGTAGTTCTTAGGAGCAGAGCAACACTGTTGCAGATGCCAACAGTGAGGCTTTTAAAGCCGAAAATCCCTATCTCTTCATGTGATCCCCCTCTTCCCCCTCTTAAGGCTCCCTTGGATTACGCCGAATGTGGCGGTCTTGTTTACTGCGCACTTTTCGTCAACAGACTACTTTCTCAGGTCCGCCTCGTTGCATACAGACAGCATTTGCAATAGACTAATATAGGCACTATAGCTTCTGTGGTTTTTGGGAGGGTTTGCCAGCCAATGATGGAAAATCGAACAGGGTTCAAGCGGGGTGGCGCCCGGATAGCTCAGCGATGTGCGCGAGGCTGCGACATAAACAAGCTGAAAAGGGGGCTGCATATTCAGCACGCAAAAAGCCACGGCTCCTACTAATTTTTGGCTTCATTGGACTGCGAATGGCAGGATCATTATGGAGCGGAGTGATCAGAGGGAAGGGGACAATAGTACTGGGTCCCTAAAGCGGGGGACAATGAAATTGGGGCCTTGATAGAAAAATAGCAAAATGTGTTAGAAAAATAATAGTTGCCCTATTTACCATGAATTTCCCAATTAAAAAAAAGACATCAATCCACATCAATATAAATTTCTAGTTGATGGAGTCAATCCATATCATGGGGTTTTGTTAATAGAATGGATAGATTGACAACACTGGTCATAAACTAGACAGAGCTGAATGTGAAGCGACCTTTAGTCCTTTAGTTGGGGTGAACCTGATACAGGAATATTCAGGGATCTTGCAGATACCGCGAGAACCGCGGGAACCACAGGAATTGCGGGATTATCCGTGAGCCTATCAACTACCGATATAGTTAAGCGATGGTTCACCGCAAGAGATAAGCGTTCTGTAACCCATTTCAGGTATATTTTGCATGAGTGTAATAGGCTAGAGCCCAGTCATTGTGATGTTCCTCGGTGGGACCTTCAGTGCCTTATCTCTGCAAGCTCAGACGGTACAAAACTTGGTTCACGCTAGCTTCAAATCTGGCTAGCGGCTACATAACCCTTGCTTATGTAGCATAGTGACAAGTTTGGCTGGCGTTATGGAGGTCCCCTTGGGACCGGAGGGACTACTACTGGACCAGCCGCGTGGGGCTTTTTTGCGTGCTGAATATGCAGCCCCGCTGAGAAGATGCCAAGGGGCGGATCTACGTTATTACATGGGCCAATGAGAATTGCCAAAGGATTCACGGTCAATAAAACCGAAGAAGCAGGATGATATCATTAGAACAACGCAGTGCCTAAGTATGGAGATATCCAACCCGCTAAACACAGAAAGCGCGAAAAAATGTCCTCAGGCGGTTCGAACTTTTTGTTGTTGTTGCCCCTCTTCTGTATCCGTACCCACGGCGTTGTTGTATGGGTGCCTGAGAAGCAAGATGTACGTGCAGATCTGCCAATCTTTTGACGTGTTACAGTGGTACCATGACTATCGCCGGCACCCTGGCTCAAACATCACACCGAGGTGCGATACTAGGACTGGCGGTGTGAGATGAAAGCATACCTAGTGTTGAAGCTGTAGCTTGATGCAAAGTGGAATACACATATACTCCAACCTGGTAACTTGAATCTCATTACCTGTCCTGTCTTGTTGATATTCGGGCCGTCGCCCTCAACTTAGCTATTATACTCCAGCGGTCATCTACCATGCCCAATCTTCCAACTGTTACTCTCGATGGTACGCTTGCTGACTTGTACAAGCGTGCGGGCCCTAACTACAAAGACAAGCGTATAGCGCAGGCGGTGTGTCTCGCGAGCTCGGCGATTCATCTTAGCGAGGATATCCCTCGAAATGTCAAGTATCTCTATCAGGACGGTGCCTTCAATGAGTGCTCGGATGAGGATGGAAGCTTTTGTCTGGGCGCTGCGTGGGAGCGGGAATGGTCCGTAAAGATGAACGCGCTCTCTCCGCAACGCGATGCATTCCTCAGCGGCAACACGCCTGTCGTGATGTTCCACATGGGAGATTCCGATGCACAACGGGCACACGACAAGAGCGAGGTGGAGAGAACCATGTCCGCATTGTCGCCGACGCAACGGCCGGAAATACGCTTCTGTCTAGGGCCAGGGGACATGCCGGTCAAAGAGAAGGATATCGATCTTATTTCCTTCAAGCTGGTGTTTGACGGTCTGGAGGGACACAAGGTCATCATGCCACTGGAGACGGCCTGGTACATCAACACCAAAGAAGCACTCGCTAGATCAGATCTGCCTACGCCGAGATGCGACATAGTCAGAGTAGAGGGCCACGGTAACGTCGCCTGCTGCGAAACATGTCGAAACCACAACAGCTTCATCATCCCAGCGGGCTGCACGGGCACCAGGGGAGCCTGGTTTTCTGAGCAGAGCGCGAAGATATACCAGGCGATATCGTCACACCCGCTACCCTTCGTGTTCAAGAACCAGCAGGCCTACAGCGGCGCAGGGACACACCTCGTGCGCAACGAAGGCGAGCGCCAGAAGCTAATACAATATCTGCGGAACGGGGCCCTGCGCAGACTCCTGTCCTTCGTAAATGAGAGCAACCAACACCTTGGGCCCGCCATGATCCTGCTGACCGAGTTCGTGGCGGACGAGATCGGCAACTACGGGATATCATTTTTCGTGACGGAAGATCCCGACGCGCCCGTCTTCCTCGCCGTCACGGAGCAGATCCTGTTGGAGGGCAAACACTACATCGGCAGCTCGATCCGGTATGACCGTCAAGACGCGCTTAAGAAGAAGTTCGATAGGCTCGTGAAGGATATGGCAAGGTGGTATCGCGGCTACGGCTATGTGGGCCCCGTCGGCGTGGACGTCCTCGAGACGGCTGGCCCGAGCAAGGATGGGCAGCAGCAGCAGGTAGGGAGCCGGATGCAGAACGGAAAGCGCGAGCGGGATATCGGAAATGATGAGCATTCGGTCTTCCATGTGCTTGACCTCAATGCTCGCCCGTCAGGTCAGCTGTGCTTGCCGCTTCTGCGGAGTCACTTTACCTCTCGCGGTCTTCAATGCGCCGCTTCGTTCTTCATGCGGATATTGAAGAGAAGGAATAATTTCATCAGCTTGTTCGAAAAAGAGTTTGAGGAGGGAAGGGTGTGCATCCTGAGCTGGTATGATGATCTCGAGTCCGATGTTAGCTTCGGAAACGTGGTAGTAGGAGCTGAGGATCCCAATGGTCTGGTGGAAGACATGCAAAGGATTCGGGATATATCGGAGGAAGTTATGTTTTGATGAGATGGTGTAAATGTGGGCGTGATAGTGTTTATTTCACGTCCCTGAAAGTCAGGGAGCCCCTGGAATGCTTTATCCCCTTGCGGATACCTCTTGTTGGACCTAGCAATCTTGCTGCCTGCCCTGGCAGATAGGTGACGCACTGCTGTCCAGACAGGTAAATCTGCGGCGAATGGGCATGAGGCGGTGGTGAAGCTCTTACTCGAGACTGGGCAGGTGACCGTGGACTCAAAAGGTCTCAATGGTCGGACACCATCGTCCTGCAGTAATGGGCGTGAGGGGTGGTGAAGGCTTTATTGGGCTCTTCATCGTCGCCATCACCATCGCGGCTACCCCAAAACGCCAAATATGCCACTGCACAGGTGAACCAAACAACCTGGGCGTCCATTGAATTACTTGCTGCCGCTGTTGTTGCCAATGACTTCCATTTTGTATAGACTCCTGAAAGGGAGGAAGTAAAAGTCCAAGTACACTGCATTGGGAGCTGGGTCAGCTGGGCCATCATGGGCAGGACTTTAAAAGAGATTAGCAAATACATCTGAATTTGAACTACAAGGGACTCATCACAGTAATAGATGGTCCGTACTGGGGTCAAATATATCCTCCAGGGATTATTTGGAGATCGAGGGCGAGAGTTGTCAGTCTCTGGCTCGAACCGTGGGAAAGTAGCGGTTCAGAAAAAGGCACTCCGGGCGAAAAAGTATCCTAATCCTCTATAGTAAGAACTAGAATCTGCTTCTATATCCTGTTTACTGTATACGATTAACTTGAAGATTATATACATCTACAAGTCCAAGATGACATATTGTAATAACCAGACGGGCAATGCATGCAAACATCACGCAACGGCTCTTCATAAAAACCCCAGACGCTAGAATTGACTTCCCTTGCGCGATTGCTTTCCGCCCTCGCGTATGAAGTTCCGAGGCAACTTGTTGCTGGATCGCTAGAACATTACATTGACGGTGACTACTGCATTGCGGTGGTGCACATTCGTGTAGGAACTGGCTCCTCTGAATCCACCTTCTGCACAGAACCTTGAGCAATTTGCTGGCGTGAGACCCATTTAGATCCCCTCCAGTTCGTGGACAAAAAGGATCGTTCACTCGCGGGGTTTGTTGGAGGACTAGGGAGTATGTTAGCTGTACGATGTATGAGAGGACGGACGGACCACATATATGTATAATGATGGTGCAGTTTACTGAGGACAGGTCTGCGGTAATCTGTGACATAATTAAATTACCAAAATTGTTAATATTTATGGGCAAATTATTTTCACTTTGGGTATTTTGGGTATTTTGGGTTGTTTGCCAAGAACTTCTAGAGGAGTTGTCTTTTACAGGGGCGGGATGCCTCATACATATACTGTTCCCAATCCCTGCCATAAGGTTCAGCCACCGTGATACTCGACACGGGGGCCGAAAAAGTGAGAACCCAATCCAACCCGCGATTTGGCGAGGTCTAGAGCCAGGCAACGTTCTGTGGAATGAGTTTGTAACGACAGCACAGAATAAACAGTTTAAAAACCCTCAATTGGCTTTGACGTAGATGGTGGATCCGTCTCAGCCCATGAATTGTAGGTGACCATTCAGGTTCTCAATTCGATCACTTAATTCAATGCATTTTCTTTCCCTGTAACCTCCGTCTCGCCTCTGGAGTTCAGCAGAGAGAAGGGTTCCCTCCAGTCGAATATTGTTTGCTGAATATTCGAAGTTCTCACCCTCCCACATAAACCAACCTAAATAATTTTTTCATTCATTAGTACACAAGCTCCTTGGCATTAATTTCTGAAGTTGCATATAGAATAGTATACCGTCCTCATTTCCAATAAAATCGTTAAGGTCTATGGCGGAATCTACCCAGTTACCATCTTCATCCTTCACTGTGGCGACGAGAACGTGTCCGTCTTTAAGATAAAAATTTGAAGCAGAGTCCTGGAATGACATGTTGCAAAATCAGATTCGGAAATAATATAGTAAGGGTTCTTCAGGAAAGATCAAGTATGTCATCAAACACTCTAAGGCAAAAAAGCAGTTAGCGAGGTGTAAACATTCCAAGGAAAAATAACTCAACAGCGTCTCAGTCTCTCATTTTATACCCCGCGGCTTAAAGTTTGGCCATCTTGTAGTTGCCACTTCGCCGGGGTTTGAGTTGGTTATTATTAAATCAGTAGCCTTGCACGGGCACTTCGCATTCACAATCAGGTGCGGGTGTGATGACCACCCCCACAAAAACACTGTTATTCCCTATAACGGTCCTCATGAGGTCAGCTGCAGTCATGAAAACGCCCTCTATACCACCAGATCGATAGTTCTAGACCCATATCAAACTGTTCGGCAGTCTGTCCTCGGAAGACCCGGAAACCATATTAAGATCTAAAACAGTACATTTAAATATTGTCATTTTCCGTTTGCATCGACGAGTTGGTCCTCAACCAGAGCTACTTAGAGATAGTTCCAGTGTCGCTATCTTTGACAGTGTGGATATGATGTATACATCATCTTTCTCAAGCTAACTTAACTAGTAACAGTGTCGTGCGCGGAGTCCATGGGTCCTATACTGATTACAGTTGCCTGCAACCCCTCTGGACTGTAGAAAGGGTGGAGTCAATATTTACTCCTGTCACGTGGCGAACAGCCGGCGAGCCTCCATCGCGGGCCACTGCCTTACTTGGAGAATAGTTTCTCCAAACTCCGCATACATGAAATAGAAATAGGGGGAATGAATAGCTTGGTGAGGACCAAGTGATTCATTCTGATTATTGGAATATATATATTTTACTAAGTAAACCTATATCCTCTTAAAATATAGTAATCATAGTAGTGACTCGCAGCCTAGTTGATGATAACTTACTAGCTAGGAATCCCTTAAGTAGTTAACCTTCTAGTAGCTTATATAGAGTGGTTAAACCCAACCTGGAAACCCGAACCCAACCCAGCCCGAACCCGCCTTGGGCTGGGTTCGGGCCTGGGGGTCCCCAACCCAGGGGTTGGTTGGGTTCTAATTCTTAGAACCCATCTAGGGTTAGGTTCTAAAAACAGGTTTTAATTATATTACCTAGTAATTAGAATACCTTAAGTAAAAATCTGACTTAGGTTAGATTTCACTATTTCTATAGGTATACCTTAAGGTAAATATATATATATATATATAGTGCTAGTATGGTATTAAAATTATATACATACTAACTAGATTAGGTAGGCAGGGAGTTGATTTTTCGGCAGAATATCTAGAACCCGCTGGGTTATGGGTTGGGTTTGGGCCCTAAAAAATTAGAACCCAAACCCAGTGGGTTGGGTTCTAAAGATAGGGGAACCCGGCCCAACCCATGAAAATAACAACCCTAAGCTTATAGTTCAAATTGCTTCCACTGTGGATTGCTAGTTATAATTACTAGGTGATGTACTAATTAATAAAATAGAACTATAGAACCTGAGGGGTTAACAGCTCTATGCCTAATAGTTAAATCAGAGATAGCTATAGGTAATTTAACTCCCTCATTAACTAGAAGCCCCCTTAGTAATATTCCACCTATGGTATAAAGTAGTAGTAAATCAGGTACTATACCCCTAAATACATCTAATCTAATATTAAGCAGTAATGGGCACCCTATAAGCAATTAAAATAATAGGTAGGCACTGCTATCTATCCCTAATAACCCTCTAATAGTGCTACTTAACCAGGCCTTACTTATCTAACTTATATAAAGCCTATAGACAATATTAATCCAGTATAAGGAGGTGTTACGACACCAACACAGCCGTATTAGCACAAGGCAGATGCAACAGGCAGAATCTAAAGGACCATTGATCACCAATCAACCTCAAACTGATCACCCAGAGATCTAGGAAAGCACTTAATCTAGATGAACTCTCCATTATAGAAAAATAGTTCAGTTATACACTACCACACTATATGGATAACCATCACCACCAGTCACCTATATAACTGATCTCTAGTAATAAGTATTTATTATAAAGAATAATTAATAATTATCTAGAGGACACCATTCTCAGCTGCACTATTATATAATTACTACCTTAGGAGATAGATAACTACTAAGTAAAGGAGTATTACCTCTACTCTAAGGAATACTCTATAGATACCCTAGGAGTAGTAAAGGAAGTTATAAATAAGGTTATAACTAAGGAACTATATAAGGACACTTATTTATATTATATCTAGTACTCTTAGTTAGTTCCTCATATTTAATATAAATTATTTACTTAAGTATAAGATCACTAGTCTAATTCATCAGTTACTCTCTTACTATTAAGTATATATACTTAATAGGCCTTACTTCTATCTCTACTATTATTATTCTTATATTACTTTTAGATTATTCTTAACCCTAGGAGGTCATTATATCACTGCACTATTAGGCTACCTAGTTAGTAAGCCTTAGGTAAGTATAGGCTATAAGTCTAGGGACTATAGCACCCTATTCCTAAAGTTATTAATTAGTAGAGAATAGCAGAGACAGATCCCAGGGTGTAATAAATTAAATACTATATAATATAAATTACTTTAGGAAGTTTAATTAACTCTTAATATTAAATATTATAGCAGGAAATGCACTACAGACCCCTACTAGCTTAAATATTAGTTAGGTAGGAATACTATAGCAGCAGACTATAACTATATAACCTCTATAGATATATATCACTAAGGATAAAGTAATAGCTATGCTAAGCTAACTTTAGGAATACATCTATTAATTAGAATAATAGAATAAGAACCTAAATGGTTAACTTGTAGCTAAGTCTATTAAGATTAGACTACCTAAACTATTTAATAGTACTTAAACTAGGTTATAATCATTCCTTATATAACTAGATATATATATCCAGGTTAACAAGGAGAAGCTTATAAATAAAGTAGATAAAGTCCTCTTTACTACTATATACCTCACTAGACTAGCATTTAATTAGTTTAAACCCTTTATTAGGGATTACTAGACCAACACTGTGAAGAAGCAGAATAAGGATACTAAGAAGATA